TCTAAAACTTCAGTTATTAGTCGAGTGTTGCCTAAAGTATCATAAACCATAAAAAAATTTAATGTATAGCTTATCAGAATTTAAATACCGTATATGAATGTATAGGCTTTTTCAAAAGTCGCGTGTATGTATTGTTTTAAAATAAAATATGAAACAATTTAGATTTTTTTAATTTCATTAAAAATATGTATGTAGCTCATTACAAGTACGTACATGTGAAAATTTACAACATTTAAAAGTTCACCCCGAGCATGTTTACAAGCTCTAATACAAAAAATTAAAACTCCTAAGAACTTACTCACATATTATCACGTCATAGATTATTATAAGTGTTCTATAATTCGACTAGAAAACTATACTTTTTATGGGGTTTAAAAAAAAGTTCAAGTTTGGAAAATAAAGTTTATGTGAATAAACTAACAATAATAGATTAAATTCGCAATATCGTGTGAAAAAATGCGTACACTAATACAATGTGGTATAAAATACGTCAATTACAGATTCATATTTAAACTTAAACATCTAACGATAGATGGCGACTTCAAATTTAAATTATTTTTAAACATAAAGTATAACAAGTAATCAATATTTTAAATGAATTTTTATATTAAAATTGAAAATTGTGCATATGTAAACGGTATTCCTATAATATCAGTAAGTATATGAGCAAGTGAGCATGTATGTACGATCATTTACAACGATTATCATTTACATGTTAATATACATACATATTTTCACTAATATTTTTAATTAAGCTATACTCGTATTTATTGTGATTATTAGTCAAAAATTAGATTGAGCTTTTCTCTTAATGAATTAAGATTCAATCATTATCGTCATTGTCATTATGTAGGTTCATGTTTTTCATTAAAAAGCACATCATATTGCCAAACGCTTAATTTTAAGACAAAAAAAAAAGAAAAGCAAGAGAAAAAAAAACAAACTTTAATAAAAGCATTAAGCATTTTTTTTTCCGCTTTTATTTTGCAGCGGAATAATGAAAGGTTAAATTTAAAAATAAAAACAAAAACGGGAAAAAAAAATACAAACAAGTAAAAAAGAAGATAAAAGAAAAGGTGTTCACAATACCTTGAGATCAGTAAAAATCATAAATAAAGCAATTCCAAAAAAAAAAAAACAAAAATAATAATAAAAAAAAATTTAATACAAAACAACGTTAAAAGATGACACAAAAGAAATTGTAAAAGCCCTCAAGGCCTGAATAATACCAAAAAAAAACTACAACAACAACTCCGAAACATTAAAAAAAAGTTTAGTTATTTTTTTTTTCTTTACCAACTACGCCACATTTCACCTTCAAAATACCTTTTTTTAGCTCATTTTCGTATTATGTATTTTTTTTTTTTTTTTGTTATTGAATAACTTACGTCTGATTTTGATCAGTTATTCGACTCGTAGATAGTTTTCTACTTTTTTATATTTTTACATACTTACATACATACAAACACAAAAAAAAATTAACAACCCAAAAAACTCAGTGTCTGAGCGTTTTTTTTCTATACGTGGGTATTTAAATACATATATGTATGTACGTTTGTACATATGTAGAGGCAATTTGTTCCAGTGTTGTATTTAGACAAAATATGTATATAAAATTTAACTTTCATGGCTATTTTTGACCGTATTTCATTTTATATTTTCTTTTAATCTGGATTAAAAACCTTATATTTTTTTTTGAAATTTCTGATGGAAACTAATATTTTTCGGAAAAAATTTTTAATACAAGATTGAAATTTTTATTAAAATCAAGTTCATTTCAGTCTGGTAATACCGTAGTCACAAATATTTCGAAATGACAGCTAAGTTTATTTTAAATAATCTTTTAGTATTTTGAAAGTAAATTAAGAAAAATTATTTATAATTCATGAAACTTTAGCCTTTAAAGTAAAATATAACAGTTATTTAAAGTTATATAATGGGCCTAAGTATATATGTACATATATAAAATGAAAAAAGGGGAAAATTTTCACTAGAGAGAAAAAGAAACGTGCCGCAGGAAAATTAAGTTAAAAACTTGGATTTGATTAAGACATAAACTGTAGGTGGACCGATGCTAAATTGATCTGGAATCTATCCTTTATTCAGTTATTGTACGTACTTGTGTGTTATAATATTGACAAATTATTAAATGACGTTCAGAATTTAAGTCAAAATTTAGGTAAAAGCCGCTGGTAGTGGCCGCCACTAATTAAAATCTCATTGTTCAATATGCATTGTAATGTATGGAGAATTCAAATTTTTAATAAAATCAAAAACAACAAATAAGTTATACACAAACATATGGAATTCCAATCCTCTTTTCAGTGCTTCAACCAATAACTATAAAGTCCAGTACTCTCCTGCATTTAACTATAAAATTTCAAATACAACACTGAAATTTTAACATTCAAACTCATTAAACAAATTTTTTCTAACCAAAAATGAAATTTATCATTAAAAAAAAAAATATCACACGATATTCATGAAATTTCTAAAATGAAAAAAAAAACCAATTGAGAGAAAAAAACCAGATCATCATCAATGGCGATAGTTTATTTTTTTTATACATACATACATACATACATATATACATGCATTGTTAAAATTTGGTATTATTATGGAAGTACGAATTTTATTCAAATTTAAATTTTTTATTTAAAAAAAAATAAAAATGCAAAATGAAAAAAAAAATATTCAATTCAATAAGGTAAAAGTTTTTAAATAAAATTTTTTTTTTTGTATTGTAATTGAGTTTATGCAGAACTATGTATAAGAAATTTTTTAGAAATCTCTTTTACTAACAATACATATACGAGTAACGTATGTGGATTATTTTAAAACTTGTACAGAACTTCCGATTGCAATTTAGATTTTGGATATACATATATGCATATATATAAATTTCAAAGATAACATTGTATATAAAATATTTTTTTAATATAATTTTTTATAAAATTGTGATACAGATAATTAGGCATGCGCGCAGGATAAACTTCATTGTACTAAGAAGTCCTACAACATTCTATCTATATGCGAAGGCTGCAATTTCGCTGTTAATAATCTTGACAATATTTTCAGGCAACAATTAACGTTGTTCTCTTAACTTTTACATTATATGCATTACATTCGAATATGATATATTTAAAATAATAAACAAAAAAATTTTAAGAGAAAATGTTTTAAAGACGTTGCTTCCAGTCATCTAAGGCTTCTAATTAATAAAAATGTAAGTTTTATATTTTCTTTTTATTATAAATAGAATTTGAAAAAATTTTATGTATTTTGCAGCATCTCATTTTTTCTAAATTCTAAAATTTCCTTGAATTCAATTAATAATTCACATAAACGCTTAAAACCTGTACATTTAAGACTAAAAATCTTCGCACTTACAATCTAATATGGCTAAAAATAATAAATAAGAATGCTTCTGCATATAAAATTATATTGATGTGTATGTGTGTTCATATACATATACATATATACTTTTTCATGACATTTTCTATGACCTCACAGTAATATAGAATGTTACACAATTTCAATTTAATTTTGATTTTTTTTAAAAAATAAATGTTTTGCAATCATTTACTTAAGCATCACTACCAAAAATCTTATTTTCAATACATGCATTTATCCTTTTCAATTCTTATACAACCACTATTACATTTTTACAAGAAAACTAATTTTATGTGGCATATACATTAATTTCATCAACATATGAAACACAAAAAAAAAGGAGAGAAACTAAGAAATTCCAAAGAAAAAAAATTAATAATCGCATATTTCAAAAAGAAAAATAAAACGAAATCACTGAATTTCATATTTTATCGACATTTTTACTTCTTTATTTGTGTATGTAAATTAAAAAAGGATCACCATTGTTTGGAAACGTCAAAGAATTGTTTTTTTTTTTTTGTTTTCAATTTGCGTATTTGATTGATTATCTATGTATGCGTTTGAAAAAAAATTTTTTTTTTCAATTTTTCATAACAGAAAACCAAAATTAACAATAGGGTACACAACACAAATCTATAATAATAAGTGATATTATAAAAAATGAGCGTTAAGCAACAAGGTGTCCTTGAAATCCTTGACCGTATAATTATTCATTTATATTGTAAAATAACAAGGAGGGTTAATATAATTTTTTTTAAAAATATCTTTATGTATGTATGTTTATAAAAGAATATATATGTACATCTACATGTATACGCAATGTAAATAAATGTAAACATATAAACCAGAATAAAAGGTATTATCCATTCAGGTACCTAATGATGATAGGTTTTTAACGCATTCAATTAATATAAAATTAATCAAATAACATTTATTTGGGATACATGGGTTTGTTATGATTATTTGTAATTAAGGTGAAAAATTATAAAATTGATTAATTATTTATTACATTTTTTTTTTTCAATTTTAGTTTTCAATATTGTTAGCTGTAGTATTATTGAATTAAAATTGGTATGTTACAAAGTGATTGTAAGTGTTATAAGAGTAGTAATTAGTAAAATTTTGTAAAGTTTATCACATTTAATATTAATAAATGTGAAAAAATAGCTTGAACTTATATGTGAATTCGTTGAGTATCGAATAGTAGTTTGCAAAATTTTCTGTTTGCAATTTCTGATTTAATTTAGAACTGTAAATACATGAATTTATATACACTTAATGATTTATTTAATTTATTTATATACAATAGTAATGAATTTATATACACTTAAACCCACTCACTCAATAAATAACTGAAAATTCCAATTAACAATCAAAATTCTAAATATTTTTTTTATAATTTAAATTTTATTGAAATAAAAATTCTTACCATATACATTCAAAGTTTGTTTACGTATTTAAAACAGAAAATGTTTTATTTTCATTAAATTTCAGAAATGATGGCAATGAAACAATTCAGCAACGTTTTCATTTGTTTAGAAACATTATCATCCAGCTTTGCTATTCTACAACTGTAGCAACATTTCATTTATTTTCAGCTGATAATTTGACAATATAACGACTTACCGAATGAAAACTGTCACAATATAAGAACAAGAATAATTTATTATTGTAGGTAAAAGAGAAAAATTATTTTAAGAAAACTATAATTATCCAGAAATATTTACTTATATTAAATAAAATTATAGCGAAATGGCATTCGTTGCAAAAGCTGGAAAGCATTTGGCATCACTAAATAAAACATTAAATAATGCAAAATCAATTTCAACAACAGCTAAAACACGTAAATTAATTTTTATAGATATGTATATTTTTACGTAACCTACCAGATTTGTTTTTAATAATTTTTTCTTAACATTTTTTTTTTAAATATATTAAGTTGCCGGTTGGAATAAAGATTTTAAACCTGCACCATATCCAGAAACTGATAAAGCAAAATTAGAAGCTGCAAAAAAATATCGTCTATTACCTTCTGAATATAGACCATATGCAGATGATGGTTTAGGTTACGGTGATTATCCAAAACTTGAAGCTGGTTTTGGTGTGGAAAGTAGAGATCCTTATTATCCATATGATTTTCCAGAACATAAAAGAAATTTTCATGAAACTGTAAGTACTTATGTATCTAGAATTAATCAAAATTTAACATAATGTAAATGGTTAATTTTCGATAATTTGAAATTTTTGTTAAAGTTTAGCAAATTTCATTTTTTAATTTTGTTCCAGTATATAAATTATACTTAGACTAAAGTGTTTTATAAATTTTTTAGTTCCATGCTGATGTTGAAATGTATGATGAATGCCATTACAGTCAGCCAGAAAAACCAAGATATTCTAATGCTCATTACTTCACTTGGTTTTTGGGAAGTATGGCTGCCTTCTTTGCGATCTATTATTATTTGGAACGAATGAGAATGTACCGCCCAGTTATACCAAAACAATATCCAAGCAAAGATAAGAAACATTATACATTTGATAGTTAAATTATACAACACAAATAGTTAATAATTTCATTGTTAACGGGGGAGTTAAGAAAAAAAATAACGAAAATAAATTGTGATCCAAATCATTAATAACACAATAAAGAATTCTTTTCAAACCGTACTTCAATATTTTATTAAAAAACTTAATTTTTTATTTTATTAGTCGCAACTAACGTAAAGCAATAATATTTAAATTTTGAATTAAAATTATTAAATTATTATATAATTCGTTATATTCTGATCCAGATCCCTACTTATATCAGTTTAAAAACTTAATTATGTATTAAGAAATTAAAACATTTTTTTTTTAGTATTTAAATTTTGTTTTAAGTATATATAAATAATTAAATATAATTTCTAACTTTAAGAAACTTTCTAATAATGAACTCGAAATTTTAAATTTTTATAAACTGGACAATGGAGATGTTAGGAATATTGGCAGAATTAGTTGTCTTTTATAACAATTTTATATAGTGAATCATGATGCTTATATTTTTCTTTAATAGATGCACTGATGAAAAGTATGTATTCAATAATCAAACTACCTTACCAAAGTGTACAATTATAATCAAATTTTTTTATTAAAGTCAATTAAAAACCAAATTAAATTTATAAAATTACTTTAAGATTAATTAATCAAACTAAATTATTTAGCATACTTTCATAAAAATTCTTTCTAGGTCACTGCAAAAATAAAACCAAAAAAGGAATAGAACAAAATAATAAAAAAAAAATTTCAACTTCCCTATTTTATTATTTTTTTATCGACCGTTTCCTTTTTCTATTTATAAAGTATGACAACGGAAAAAACAAGGAATTTTTTGAAATGTATGTGTAAATACTTAAGGAATTTTCATCCTCCACGCAAAAAATTATTTTAATTTTCAAAGAAAAAAAGATGCCAGATGATTTATAAAATTAATTTATTGAGCGTATAAGGAATGATCGTTACTCATGCAGATCAAAATAAAATTACACAATATTTTTCAACTCGCTTTTAAAAAAACAAACTTTTAGAAAAATAAGCTTAGAAATGAAGATTATTCGGAAATACTCAAATTTTAACCTATTTAATGTTGATCATTTGAATGAACTTTTATTGTGAAACGCTTTAATCAAAAATATGAGTAAATTAAGATTTTTAAGTCTAGGATGCCATGCCATCAGTTTACGTACTCAGCATCTACAAGCTTTCAAAATCTTTTCAATAGAAGACATACGAATACAAAATTAAACAGCATGATGATGTCGATTCATCTTTAAAAAAAAAATCATGATTGATTCATAATATGTGGTTTCGTCAGCATGTGTACATATAGAGCATTCATATATGTTTAAAAATATTTCATCATAGTTATAAATAAGAGGAATATTCAAATATTTTTGTATTAAAAATTTTATTGTTTAATAACGTTTGGAATGAGCAAAATAAAAAATGGTTGTCTTTCTACCCCTATACATATTGTTTTTCAGAAAGAAAAAAAAATTAAAAAAGAAAAAACAAAAAATTATAATAAAAAGGACAAAAATCATTGTCTTCTCGTCATCACCAGATACTATCATCACCACTAACATTATAATCATTTTGATATCCATGAAAAAAAAATTTATTATATACTTACTTCTTAACTATTCATATATCTATAGATTATTTAAAATCATATATAAATCTACACATAAATCAGTTACATTAATACATGTGTACATACATACAATTATATCTATGCATTTTTATATTAAAATTTTCTATCAACATATAGATACCTATCACCTCTTATATCAATTCATTAAATCTACACGAGTCCCAGTATTATATAATAGGATTCTCTTTTGTTTTCGTTTTTTTTTTCTGTTTTTTTACATTTCTAAATGTACATGTTATGTATGTATAGGTTAACCGTGTATATACCAATTCAATTGATGCAATATTCAATTTGTAGTCAGATACTAAAAGAAGCAATAATAGCAACAAAGTGAATAAAAAACAATAAAATAAAATATCAAAAGAAAATAAGTGAAAAAATTTTTTAACTTTAAGAAAATTTTATATTCTATCTATCTAACCCTTGCTACCTCATGTATATGTATACATATACCTACATATATACAATAATGTTATACAAACTAAGTAAAAAAGATCTCATTTTTATTTTCTCTGATTTTATATCTTTTATTTTAATATTATTTTTATAAAAGCTAAAAATTTATATAATAATGAATATAGAAATTAATACATTTTCAAATATATATTTATTATATAAGGATTAAAGTACATATCTACATATACATTTAACAAAATTTTTATAACTTCTAATTTAAAAGAAAAAAAGAATACTCCAATTGAACTACTATAGTGGAATTTTTTGTTTTTATTTTTTTTGGTATTTATTTTTAATAAGGATATATAGTATATTATGTACGATCAATATTATTGATTTAAAATTTATGTAGTAATTTTATTACATTTTTCTTATTAATTCTAAATTTTCAAATATTCATATTTATAATTGAATCCTTAAGAAAGGTTTGTAAATCATAAGTAAATTTGAATAATGTTCTTACAAAAATTAATTATATTTTCAAATTTATCGTAATTTCATGGCAAAAATTCAAGAATATGGGTTTTATATTCAGAAATTCAGAAATTTGTATTATAGCTGAATTGAAAAGCAATATTTATGCTTAAATAAATTCTCCTAGCTGTTGTTGAACTAAACAACAGCTACTCTGTTTAGATTGAAAAATTGTGCTATTGCAATTATCATTCAATTGGAAGGGTACGTTGTTTTGTTTAAAATTTAAAATTACTTATGTAATTTATACAATAATATTTTTCGAAATGAAATTTTTTAATAATTTTTAAAAGTTCTACACAATTATTCAAAACTTATACTTAATAAACGATTTTTCATTTTATATTGTAATTTACATACGTGGCTGTTACATGAATATTAAACAAATTATAAAGAAATACACAAAAAAATTGAATTTCAGGATATTGTCATTGAAATTTTTCAATAATTCTCGTACATCATCATCATTTACGAAAATTATTTCATATTATTTTAAATTATTTTCAATCTCATAATATAATAAGTTTGTTAAAAATTATCAAAAACTAAAAAAAATTATTTGTTTTCTGTTTAAATATTAATAAATTAATTCTTTCCTAAAAGTATGCAATTTTTGGGAATTGAAAATATAAAATATCCTTTAACAAATAGCTATTATAAAATTTTGCGATATCTTAATTTAAAAAAGATAATTTTTACAAACTAAAATCAAAAGCATTCCCAAAATATTAAAATTAAAGATCATTAGTTCTTAAATAATCTGTTTAATTTATGAACGCAGATTCATGCTCAATAATTTGAGTTTCGGCAATTCAACTTCAATTCCTCTAATAAAATACATTTTAAATTAATTTTGCCATTCATATAAGCCACATAATATGTGTAGTACATAACTTAAATTTTTTTACGTATTCATAATTATTATTTCAGAACCCAGAAGCTTAATATATAGTAGATTCAACTGCATATAAAAATTATATTAACTTTAACACAATATTTAATTTATATTTATGTATTACTTACATACATATAGGATTACGATATCATATATCATATGCCTATATTTAAAATAATATTATTCACAATGCGTATATGTGTGTATACATATGTACAAACATAAAAAAAAACAGGAATGTTATGACCTAAATATAATGCTTGTAAATTGAAATAAGCATTTTAAGGATTCTACATATAAGCATCTTTTCTTCTTATTTCTTTTTGTTGTTCGTTTTTTGCTTTTTTTTTCCCTATACTGTTGCCTGTATTCCAGAATTTTATTATATACTTTTAATTTTTTTTTGTTTTTCTTATTTTTCTTCTCTATTTCTATCATCTTAGTGTTTTATTTAATTTTTTATTTTTTTCTTGATTTCAAAAAAAAAAAATTTCGAAAAAAAAAGAGGAAAATGAAAAACAAGAACAAAAAAAAAATATATTAAAAAATTTTCTCTATCTAGAATTTTATGAAAAAATTTTTGATAGTTCAGTGCGAGGCTAGAACTCGTAGCGATTGGATGTGGTTACTAAAGTTCTTTTATTTTTTTATTTTTTAATTTAAAAAAAAAAAAAATTGCAAAATTTTTTTGCAAAAAAAAAAAAAAAATTATTCAATATTAAAAAATTTTTATTTTCTTAACAAAAGAAAATTCTACAGTAAAAAAAAAAACAAAAATCAAAGTAAAAATTTAATTAAAAATTTTTTTTCTACTAACGAAAAAAGTAACGCGAACAACACCTATATATCGAAGAGAAAATTGAAAAAAGAAAAAAACCAACATACTAACGATATATATATATATACATATATATATATATCAATTCATACATATTAGCATCAACGACACAATATAGTATATATAGAAAGGACTCCATCTCGATTTTGTAAGTAACGAGGGAAAAGAGAGAAAAGTGTAACAGAAATTATGTTTTTCCGCCAAAAGCTAATTGTAAGTATATTCATATGATATATATACCTTTAAATTAAATATAAATTTCACAATATATACTTATATATATATATGATTACTAAAAAAAAGGAGATAAAAAAAAAACTCATTAAATCCATTACATATCTTATGTAATCCTTTTATAATTTTATATTTTTTTTATGATTTTCTCCTTTTTGTCTCATTATTACATTTTACACGCATTGTTTTAACAATATTTAATTTATTTTTTTTTACAATGATCAAACTTTCCTATGAATACCTATAAAATTTTCATTACTTACTTTTTGTTTTTTTTTTTTTGTTAAAAAAATGGACGCCCACTTGTTGATTCAATCAAATCGCCGCGATTTTATAGTCCCGTTTTGTCTACAAAAAATTTTTCCTATATATTTATATATATATATAAAATTTTTATATATATACTATGTATATTATAAATTATTATGCATTTAATAAAATTATTTTTGATATTATATTACACTTGCTTAAAATAGTATATTAAATTAATTAAATATTATTAATATATAATATCCATGTATATTACTTAAGATAATATTTTATAATATATTATAAAATATTATTTAATTATATAATATTTATATATAGTACTATATTATATTTGTGTGTACTAAAATATTTTAATAACTCCAATACAAAAATTATTATTATACCATAGAAAAATTGTAAAATATTAAAACAAAAAATTCATTATTAATTTTTTGAGAAAGCATTCGGGAGTAGGGGTTTAGGAAGAGAGTAAAATATAATAAGAGAAATACAAAATGTGATGCTATACACACACTCACATTATATTTCATATATATCCCGCTCCTTAATATTTCTGTATAATATATACATATATATTTTCGCAATATAAAAATTATCATAGCATATAAATTAAAAATTTTTTATATATAACAGTAAAATCAGAATAATCATTATCAGTATATCTTATATCATCATTTGAAAATTACATATAAAAATCAGGAATCATCATCAAACATCATAAACATTATTTTAGCGAATAATTTTTTTTCTGAATCTCTTAAAGTCAAATTCAAAAATTTTCGTCTCCAAATTTTTTTTTTCATTTTTTTTTTCATAAATATCCAATAAAAGAGTATTCAATTAATTTCTACTTACTCTCCTACCCTCTTCTGTCTATAAGTACTTTTCTTCTATTTATTTTTTTTAGGTATATCTTATGACCCCCAAATTGCAAAATATGTATATGAAAAATTTATTTAAAAAAAAATTTTAACATCTCCATAAAATATTTTATTAATTCTTTCCTCTATATATATTTTGTGATTTATGAATTATAAATGTACATAAATAATATTGAATGTACATGCAACACCTAGCCAATAAATATTATTTTCACAAAAAATTATAGGTAAATTAAATTTGCCATTTAAAGTATAAATTACACATCTAGGCTCTTACAATAATAGTAAAATTTCATTCAATTAAATTCGCATAATTTATTAATAAATTTTGTTGTTTTCCTATTATTGTGCCAATTTCACACAATTTTCCCCTATATTTAAAATAATAATGTTCAAAGATGATATAGATTTCTGATAATTTCCTAATAATTTTCATGTCATCATATTATTAATTTTTAATTTAAAATTGAATTTTTTTGTTTTCTTAAAAAAAAACAAATAAATGAATGAAAAGAAAATTGATTTAACTGTGTACTGAACTACGTATCGTTGTATATTGATTTATTTAACGATATTTGCATACAAGCCCTAAATTTCATTAATTCGATGAACTGCAAGATTTCTTTTCGCAAAAAATTTTAATGGTAATTTTTTAAGTTTTAATGTGTTTTATTTTAATTTTAATAATAAAATAATTTGGGTTGAAAATTTCGGCTAAAATAACATAATTTTCGAAATTTACGTTTTAACAAATTTTTTAATATTTACGATCAAAAATATTTGCAGCTCTTGTTTCCAAATCATTCAAATTTAGATTTTAAAATCCCAATTAATAACGAAATTAATTAAGATTATTAAATTTCAATTAATTTTTTTTTTAATTTTGTAATTTAGACCCTATTGTGACCGGGTATACATTCAATTTTAAATACAAAAATTCAAAAATAGACAACAGATTTGCTATTTTTTAAATAAATTTTCAAATATAACCGAATTAATTCAACGCAGGACTTGTATAATTATTATATATACACAAAAATGTACGACAATTTATTATTATTCATTTCTATACTGAAAAATATCACAAAAAAAAAAATAAAAACGGTATTACCATATCATACAACACTATATATGTCATATACTTATGGCATCTAAAACATTTACTAAGAAAATTGTAGAAAGGAGGGTAGAGAGAGGAACTTAAAGAAAGTAATATAAGAAAATAAAAGAGTAAAAAGTCAAGAAGAAAACAATAAAAAAGAAAATATTAGAAGAAAAAAGGACAATGACAAAAAAATTACCTCATTTGTCACCTCTTTTTTTCGCATTTACCCACCCTACCTATCTTCTGTGCTTCCAAAAGAATGAAAAAAGATTTTTTTTTTCTTCAAATTCACAAAATATGCGGGAGAATGTAAGAATAGATTATGAGTTTATGCTGTAAATATGGTGTTAATAATAATATTCCTTCATATTTTTGGTTTTGTTGCGTGCTCAAATATATATACGCACGCATACATTAATACATATAAATAATGAAAATATAAAAACGTGAGAAAGACCCTAAAATACTATAAAAGAAGAAAAAGAAGAAAAAAAAATGAACAGAATAAATATTTTTAAGATTTTCTTTTGAGAATCATGAATTTTTTTTTTTTTGTACGTTTTACCTTTATTACATGAGCCTCTTCTATAGGTATATGTTGACTTCATAACGTTCTTAATAAATTCCGTTATAATGGGTCCGTATATATTATGAATATAAAAAGCCTTATGTCTCCTTCATACTCTTTCATTATTTTCCATGCTTGTTTTGTAGGCATTTGTGATAAAAATGTGTACCGCATCGTATACGCTTTGATTTTTATCTTTTTGCCAAAAATTACTTTATACTTTTCTTTTCTTAGAGGAATTTTATTTTTTTTTTTTTGTTCTGAAAAAGGTAAGGTGTGTAATATGAAGAACAAACGAAAAGTATAAAATTTTTTCATATTTCGTTTTGTAAGAAAAAAAAATAAAAAACAAGAATTTTCTTCTCTTTTTTTCTTTACAGTCTTCTTTTGATTTTTTTATTTTTTCTTCCCCTGTTGATTATTTCACTACTCACCGCCGCCATCATCGTTCTCGTCGTCGTTGTCGTTATCGTCGTTATCATTGTATTTAATATTTTGGGACCCCTTTAAGTATCGATCGTTTTTTTTTTTTTTATTTATTGTGAATTGAGAAAGAATAAAAATCATGAAAAATAAGAGAGCAATCATCTTTATTTTGTTTGTGTATATATAGATGAAAAATCAAGATTACAATTTTTTTATATGCTCTTTAATGCTTACATATAGAGAGAGAGAGAGAGACATTAATTTTGTTGTACTCGTTTATAGTGTATAAAAGTTGCTTTGCAATAATTGTGTATATTAAGTAAAATGTGCGTAAATAAGACGTTCAGTCTTTCAGTCTAATTTATTTAATTTTTTTTTTCTCTTATTTATTTTTTTTTTATTTTTTAAATCATGATAAGTCCACTTCATTGAATATTTATGATTTTATGATGATTGTTTTCTTTATTTTTTTTCCTCTAAAATTGTTGAACTTATATTTTTAAAGAATAAACATTTTTAATAGAGTGGAAATTTTTTGAAATAAATTTTTACTTTAAGAAGAAAATTAAGACATAAATAATTTTATCCTTATTTTCTTTGTAGTTAAATTGAGTTGATTTCTTTTGCTTTAAACAATAATTTTGTTTTAAGGTTAAAATGGTTTTTAAAGGCAAACAAAGATAATTATCGGGAATCGTATTGAATTTATTTTGAAAATTTAAAATAATTTTATTAAATGGTTTGTAAAATGAAGCAGACAGATAGAAGGATTAATTTTATTCGAAAGCTGATCATTATAGAAAAAAATAATGCTTCATACTTTGTGTATTTTAAATGTAATTTTTTTGATATAAAGAAAAATATAAATGTAATAATTAAATAAATTTTGTGAAAAATATAAATGTAATAATTAAATAAATTTTGTGATAATGGAAAATTTTACTAAAAAAAATGCTTTGTAACAGGGTGATCATTTAAAATTTTTTATTCTGTTCGAAATTTTCAGTTTACAAATTAAAGATATTTCAAATTTTATGATTTGTTATATTCTATTTGAGTCTTGAGTTTAAAACTAATTTTCAAATTCAAGTATATTAAATATCATTCTTTTCTGCAATAATATTATAAAAAAAAAATTAAATTCTCCAAAATTTATCATTAATTTCGTATTAATACAAAAATTATCTATATTAGTTTAAACTTGATCTTTTTATTGTTCTTTACTAGTTTGTTCAAATTGTAGCCCCGTGGTATATGCAATTTTTGTAATATTATTAAATTTATCTTATTATCAGATATTATACCGATATCTTTTATTATTATTTTAGTATTTCTTAATATTTTCATATTTCATTCTTATTTTGGTAATTTAATTAATATTTTATGCCACACTTACTGTAATTTATATTCAAGATTTTATGCCCCAAAACAGGAAAATACATGGTCAGATTTTTACAGAAAAATATATGGCCCATTTTAATATATTTTAATATTGTTTAATTTGCTCTAATTATGTAAGATCTTTGGTATAGAATTAAAATTTTAAAAATTATTGGGTTTAGAATTGAATATCGTATGTATCTCCAATAGTATATAAGCTTAAAATCATAAAAAAGATATAGATTACAATACTTTTTAAATCCAAACAATTTATGAACTTTTTATAATTGATATACATACATACTCGTATTTGTAGTGTTATAACTAAAGTAAAAAAAAAAATTAATACATAAATTCCGCTAAAACCATTTTCACTTATATTTTTATTTCAATTCCGTTCATATTTAAGTTCTTAAACCTCTTGCGACTTATATTTTTTGTTTTAATTAAAATTTACATGCAAATAAGTATATATATATACAAATATACATAATATACTCACATATATACATATTTATAGACTTTCTCTTACAAAGAAATAAAATCATTTAAAAAAAAAAATTATATTCACTTTTTTCTCAAATTAGATCATTAAAAGCTTAGATTTCAATTCAAATTTTCTGTCATTTAGTTTTACTTTGTATAATGTATTGAAAAGGTAGAAAAAGCAAAATATTATTAATATTTTAATGAATATGTGTTATAACATATACGGTATAATATATAAGTATTTGTGGTATAACATATACATACCTATATTATCCATTAATAGTAACAAATTAAAATTTCAGAAAAATTATGCGAACTATTTATTAATTGAAATTTGTTTATTTTTGCTGAATTATTTAAGAATTTTGTTAAAATATCACAAAGATTATGTATTAGTAATATTTAATTTAATATAAGAGGAGAAATACACTATTCAATGATAACTGTACTACAAACTACAAATATATACATATATATATATAAGTTAGTGATATGTATTATAGCTGAGTGATCTGCAGATTGCGATTTCAGCTTGCTTTAAGCATATTGTAAGAAACTATTTCATTTTGTTACAGATATAAATACGATATTAAAAATACCGATTTAACAATGTGTTTCTCTTACATATTACGAGATTGTTTTCAGTGAAATTGAATTGTGCGTACATGCCTTAATAATTTTTTAATTAAATTGATAATAGAAAATATTACATATTGAATATTCAAGCCTATTTTTCATTCATTAATACATAAATATAAATATTTTCGAAAAAAAATCAATTATTCAAAATAATTTTTATAGGAAAATTGCATATAAATAACTTAAATTAAAAAAAAAAACACATAGGGCCTCTGATCGTATCGTCTACCACGCTATTCTACACAGCAAGTGAGAAGAAAGTGAGTAACTATCATTATATTTGTACGAGTATAATGTATTTTTCGAGTGAGAAGAATTATTCGGTATTACGTTGCGGTAACAAAATTTATTCACTTTATTTTTGAAAGTGAAACGTTCAACCGGTAATTTAAGATAAAATGCAAAAATCCAATTAAAAAAATGAAATTTCCATTAGAAAAAACAAAGAATTCTGAATTGAAAGTGAATAAAAAGTGATAGATTAGATACACGATTAGGTTGTTAAACTAACAAAATTTTTGCATATTTTTAGGTGCATTATTGTGTATAAAATATTTCATTTTGTTAATGTGATTAGAAATAATAAATTTAATTTAATTTATAATTGATAAGATTATTTTTATAATATTTTCCCTGTTAGTATATAAGAGGTATTTGTATACAATCCCTGTTAGCATACGTATTTTTAATATAATCAGAATTAGAACAATTATTATGAATATCAATTTAATTTATAAAACATGTAGTATGGGCACTAAGTGTATTAGAAGGCAAAAAATTTATTATTAAGCTATTTTTACAAATTAATTATTATATATGAAACAGCTCAGTTTAACAGTTGAACAGGTTAAATACCAGAACATATTTTATAGTTTACAAGATTTTAATTCTTAAAAATTTGACTTATAAATTGTAAAATAATATACATATGTATAACAATAATGTAAAATAGTTTTCTATATATTTGTTCAATTGAACAAATAATATTAAATACACCTGTTATCACAATTATTGGAATATGAGCAAATATATCATATAGAAAATATTTCAGTCAACCTTAAATAAAAAATAATATGCTAAAATTGTTATATTATTTCTGATTTTAGTTAAGATCAACTATACGTAATTGAATTATGTCAATTTAAAATAATAGTTTCGATTAAATATGAAAAATTCAATGAATAACTTTTAGAATCAATGTCATTTAATTACAAAAATAACCGGGATAAGGTTCCTTTATATAAAATTTAATTTCAGCTATTATACTCGTAATTTCTTATATTTCAAAATCCTATTTAATATTGTTTTTCTTATCATTTATACGAAAATTATGTAGAAAAGACCAATACAAAATGTATTAAATGCATTATATACGAGTATAACATTATACTAAGAATTTAATTATATGAAACACTCTGTAATATTAAAGTGCGTGTTGATATTTAAAGAGTATATATGAAAAGAAGAATTTCAGCACGTACTTAATAAATATTTAATATAGAGAATAATAAAAAGGAAAAGCATGAAAAATAAAAGAAAAAAATTAAATATAAAGTATAAGGAAAAATTGAATTCATTTTTAAATGCCATTTAAATGAAATCAATTATCATTCAACAAGTGGGTGTTATTATATATTTTAACGCTCAACAATTTAATAATTTTTTTCCTTTTTTTTTTTTTGCTCTTCTCCTTCCACTGTAAAGAAAAAAATAAGAATTTTAAATGTAAAATTATAAATACATACACATATACCGCAGGAATAACCGCAAAGATGAAAGTGAATAAGTCATTGGAACAACTACAATTTTCGATTAGAATCGGAAATTAAATATTTGGTATAAGGTTTATATACCAAATATATGTATATATAGTCAGTCGTTATGAGTTTGTGGAGTATGTGTATTAATGTGGAAAGTGTATATTGTGCTTGTATAAAAAATTGTTAGGAAAAAAAAAATATTATAATAAAATCGCTAAAGAATTCTAAAGGAATTTTTACTTCGATTCTTCCTTTTTTCAACTATTATATAAAGTTCTTAATAAATTCATAAAAAATGACGTCAATAATTGAAGATATCAAAAACTTAAATTCATCTTTATATAACTAAACATTTGCAAATTATTTATGTACATAAACCACCACAATGTTTTTGTGTGTGTATACGGGAATTCGAAAACTTGGTACACTATATAGTGGGGTTCGAGTTATATTTTCCATAAGAATATATTTTAAAAATTGATAATGAAATAAGATGAAATGTCGATACATTGGGAGCACAAATTAATTAAATTTAATTATAATTACAAAATATATTTTTAATATTAATGGAGTTTTTAAAAAAAATTTTAAATTTTTATGAAATTGAATTTCGAAAATTTATTAAAATTAAATCATTAATAATTTCTCTATAGGCATATTAAATAAAATAATTAATTACAATTAAATTAACTATAGAAAAAAAATTTATTATATTTTTTAGTAAAATACTGGTTGGGAAATGCAATCGCGTGATCCTGCTTTTGAAACTGAACAAGTTAAAACACAATATAATAAAACAATAAAATCAACAACAACAATTAAAAATAATGGATTATCAGGTGTTGAATTCAAAGTCGAACCGAATAGCAAAAATCCATTTGAAAATAATTATTGCATCGATCAGAATGAAAAGCAGGATGAACAGCATAAAAGCCCAAAGAACCCAACTATGACAGATTCTACACAATATACGGGTATATCTCAACAATATGAACATCAACAGCAGCAACATCAGTTGCAGCAACAACACCAGCAGCAACAGCAGCAGCAACAGCATCATCAACAACATCAACATCAGCAACAGCAGCAACAACAACAACAACATATACAACAATCACAACAAGTTATACCCGATTATATGAGAGGATCATCAGGTGGTGGAAATGATAATTCACCATATTATAATAAAAGATCATGGAGCTCTTTAAAAGCATGGATTATTAATTGGAGGGGTTCAAGACGTTTAGTTTTGGTTATTGTTGCGATTGCATTATTATTGGATAATATGTTATTAACAACTGTTGGTAATTAATTAATTAATTAATTTATGTAACAATATCTACATATTTATTTTGTCTAATGTAATAATTTGAATATTTTGTTTTTTTTCATTTTCAAAACAAAGTTCCAATTATTCCTGAATTTCTTTATGATATACGACATCCAAACGCTACTCTTGAAGATTCTTTAAAAGCAACTGCTCATATAAGAGCCACTGAGCAGCCACCACCACAAATAATTTATGCACCATGTAATTGTTGTGCTAATTCTTTTGTTACTGAGCCTGGTTGGAGTTTAACAACAGAATCAGGTAAATATTGATTTATTAATTCGCTATTAAAAATTTAACATATTTACTCAATTCAAAATAAATAGAAAATGAAACGAGACGGCAAGAAGAAATTATGCAAGAAGAACGTCATAAAGAACTTGTTGGTGAAACAGTTGATGTTGGTGTTATGTTTGCATCTAAAGCTTTTGTCCAATTATTAGCTAATCCATTTGTTGGGCCTCTAACTCATAAGTATGAACAGAAAACCTAAAAAATTATTATAGAAAATAATTAATATGGATATTTTCTTTCAAATTTTCATAATGCATAGAATTGGATACAGTATTCCGATGTTTGCTGGTTTTGTTATTATGTTTTTATCGACCTTGAGTAAGTTTAAATAAATTTACTTTAAATCAATTGAATTGATGTTTTAAATTTAATTTTGCCAATATAAGTTCACTTTCTCATCTCAATTCATAACTATTTCTTAATTCTAAGCATATATACCATACATTTCTTTTTAGTATTCGCTTTCGGACGTTCTTATGGAATTCTTTTTATTGCTAGAGCTTTACAAGGTGTTGGTTCATCATGTTCTTCTGTATCTGGTATGGGAATGTTAGCTGATCGTTATACAGATGATAAAGAACGTGGTAATGCAATGGGTATTGCTTTAGGTGGTTTAGCTTTAGGTGTATTAATTGGACCACCATTTGGTGGAATTATGTATGAATTTGTTGGAAAATCAGCACCATTTCTAGTATTATCAGCATTAGCATTAGGTGATGGTCTTTTACAATTGTTTATGTTACAACCATCAGTTGTACATACTGAAGCAGATCCACCATCACTTAAGGAATTAGTTATGGATCCATATATAATAATTGCGGCTGGTAATTATTAACATACCTACGCACATTTTCTTCCAGTATTTAGAAAATAAAATAATTGAAATTTTCTTTAAGGTGCAATTACATTTGCTAATATGGGTATTGCTATGTTAGAACCATCACTACCAATATGGATGATGGATAATATGCAAGCGAGTCGTTGGGAACAAGGTGTATCATTTTTACCAGCATCAATAAGTTATTTAATTGGTACAAATTTATTTGGTCCATTGGGACATAAAATTGGACGATGGTTAGCTGCACTTTTAGGATTGATTATAATTGGAGTTTGTTTAATTTTGGTAAATATTTTTATTTTTATTTTTTATATATATTTTTTTATTTCATGTAATTTTTAATTTTAATAATTGTAGATACCGATGGCAACTCATATCAATCATTTGATATTACCAAATGCTGGTTTAGGTTTTGCAATCGGTATGGTTGATTCATGTATGATGCCAGAATTAGGTTATTTAGTTGATATAAGACATTCAGCTGTTTATGGTAGTGTATATGCAATTGGTGATGTTGCATTTTGTATTGGATTTGCAGTGGGACCAGCACTAAGTGGTACTTTAGTGAATACAATCGGTTTTGAATATATGTTAGTTGGTATTGCTATTTTATGCTTTTTATATGCACCACTTTTAACATTTTTGAAATCTCCGCCAACTAAAGAAGAGAAAAAAGTAAGTGAATTTTAAATTTTAAAAATTAATTCATATTTATTTATTTATTTTTTTTTTAATATTTTAGTCTCTTATAACTGGAGATAAATCATCAGTAAGGTATATGACTTACTTGAATGAAGAAGAAGAAGAATAAATATATTATATATTAAATATAACAATAAAATATACTTATATACAATAATAATTTTAACAATTTAAACGAAAGGAACACAATGATAATAAAAATATTATATTATATATACATACTTACTAATTGTTGATTATAAATATTAATATTAAAAAAATGAAAAAAATGAAAAAAAAAAAAATTTGAATTATAAATAAAAAACTTCAATAAAACATGAGAGCAATAACATTCAAAAATTTCTCTATCATCTCAGGTAAGCATTAAAAAAAATTATAAAATATTTATTTTACATATAGTTCGTATAATTTATTATTGCCTTAATTAATTAATTTCATTACTAATTATTACTGTTATACTTATTATTTGGAAATTTTATATTTATTCTAAAATTTAATATATATTTGATAATTTTTGATAAAGAATAGATTGGTGGACAAAAATTCAATTTTACGATCTTATCGAAAATACGATCAAACTTTATCGTATTTTCTAAAATCGTAATCTAACTAAATTTTTTCTAAAAACTCCTATATTAATTTTTATATTATAATAGATATGGTAATTCTATATTATTTTCTATAATTATAAAAAAAATATGAACTAAAAAATTAATAAATTGTAGATCGAATTTTAAATATTAAAGTTTTCATTATAAAAAAATTATAATTATTTAATATTTTTTAATATTTACTTTACCAATCATAAAATTAATTTATTTGTATTTGGAAGAAAGCAAATAAGAGCTTTATCTTATTTTTAATAAGAGAACATAAATATTTTTCTGCCATTCAACCTGTTATGCACATGAAATGACAGAAGCATGAGCATAAAGAGAATTATAACACTTTTATAATTAAAGAATTTAAAATTCTCCTAATTAATATAGGAAATTATTGTTTTAAATTCATCTTTCTTTATAATCTAATTTGATAGTTTTATTCAAAGTAATGTTAAAATTTATAGTTCTTAAATTCACAGTTAGTTTATTAATATTTTATTTTTCAATTATATTTATAATTTTATTAATTACAAAAATATCACTTTAATTAATAATAATTTTGTAATTAATAATAACAAAAATGTCAAAATTAATAATAAAAAATCGAAAATCGAGAAATTAAATTATATTCTAACTGAGATAGATCAATAAAATTTTGACAAAGTATATATTAATCATGATACAAGGCAGAGGTGGGGAACCTTCGGCCTGAGGGTTGCATGTGACCTGTAAGGGTTTTTCGTGCGGCCTCGCTCCGCCACCTTTTATATTTGTATGCCCTTTAAATATTCAATTGCTTTCAAACAATTAAAAAACAAGTGCAAATTTCTCACTAAATATATTCTAACTTGATTTAAATTTAATAAACAATGAAAAGCTTCCTCGCCTCTGCTATCAAGAAGTATCAGACTCGAGCTCAATAATTATTTTTTAAATATACTTATAGAATGTTATACATTACAATAAAAACTCATTAATATTAAAATATTTATTTATTTATATTTTTTTTTCTTTATATATCTTTTCAGATTAACATATTATATACTACTTATATAAATATCATTAAACAAAAATTATATATATATATATATATATATATAATTTATTAAAATTATATTATATGTATATATATATATATATATATACATACAAGAAACTTTAAAATTTTAAATAATCACTTAAACATATAATATTAAAGAGCGATGTATTCCCATTAAAAAATCTTGCTATAGAGGTACAAATATAATATTATAAACTATAAAAATATTATATAAAATTAATTTTATTGTATATTATATACATATATATATATATATTAAATAACAGGGGTTATTAAGGGATTTTCAATAAGTTATATATATATCTATCTATATATATATTCAATATTACTGTTATATAATTTAAGTATAAATATTTATAATTTTATTAATGAACAAAAACAAAAAGAACCATTATATACATACATATTTTAATGATAATCATTTTAAAATAGAGAAAAAATAAAAAAAAAAAATTCAAATTCAGCTTTAATTGATTAAAAAATATTCATATATATGTTATTTATATATATTATAATAATTATATGTATATATAAATATATACATTAAAAAAAAAAATAAAATAAATCAAAACTAAATTGAAAAACTAGTTGAAATTGTATATTTATATATGTGTAAAAGATAATCATTATTAACAAAAAAAAAACAAACTAACAAACTATTGTAAATTATTACATAATATATTAAAATACATACTTACATTATTATATTGAAGACATATAATGTCATTTAAAAAAAAATCATATTTATTATATTCATATTGTATACACATATAATATATTAATAAAAAAAAAAACATATACATACTGATATTTAGATTAAAAAAAACTTAAATTTATTATGATTATTAACTATACATACATACTTAATATTAAAAAATTAATATTAAAAAAAAATTTAAATTAAAATAATAATTTTAAATATAATGGATGACATATTACGAAAAAAAACATAAAAACAAATGAACATAAGAAAATAACAACAAATGATTGACAACAATAACAACAACAACAACAACAACAACAAAATCTTCATTATTATTATGTTTAATTATAAATATGAAATCTTAAGTAAAAAAAAATTACAAAAACAAAAAATACCAAACAAACCATTGATATTTATTATTAAAACAAAAACAAAAACAAAATTTAAAAAATATTATACATAATTATTACATGTTATTCGTGTTGAATAGTTGCATATTATATTACATACATACATATATTAAGAACATTTACTTTAGAATGATGATGAAAATTTTTAAAATACATAATATTATTAGAGAGTAAATTAAAATACTCTAAAAATAAAGAAAACAACATAAAAATACAAAAAAAAAAATTAAAATAAAAAAAAAAATTTTTTTTATTTTTATTTATAAATACCTAATAATTTTTTTCAGTGTTATCAGTGAGCTTTCAATATTATTCTTAACTCGTATGAGAAAGAGTACAAAAATTGTGCTGTGAACAGCGTTACCAATGTCACAGTAAATTTGGAAAAATTTCGATAAAAAAACTGAAAAATCTGGCAATATAGACAAAAAACAAAACTTGAAATAAAATTGCATTTAAAATGAAGTTTAATTTGTATATTTTAAAAAATCAACCTTACTTCAGAAATAATATCAAAAATATTAAAATCAATAATCGGTTAGTAAAATAGACAATCGTTGTTCTACCGCAATTCACAATAATACAATATTATTATCCAATTTCAAAAATTATAATTAATAAATATAGTTATAATCCAGCTTCAACATCACCTAGTTGTCAATTTATTTAAAATAATTTTTTTTAATATGCATATATACATATGTATATTGATTTTTGAAATACTTGTTTCAAACGGTAGAGTATGACAATAATTCACAAAATAAAAAATTTAAAATAATTTGCCAGATTTTTCTCCAATGCCAAAATATAACCTTTTGGGTAAAGTTAGAAAAATCTGGCATTTTTGCATAAGAAATCTGGTGATCTGGCAGGCTTTTGAAAAATATGAAAAATCATATAAATCTGGCAATATGAAAATGCTGGCTTGGAAGAAAAATCAAGTAAGTGGCAGTGTGAATTATATTTTTGAGTTTGAGCGTTTTCTACATATTATTATGATCGTAATATGTACTGTATTTCATTTTGTTCTATGGAGCTTACACAATTATACGACCTTAATAAATTTTGAAGAAATTTTTACAAATAAAAATTTTAATTAGCAAATATTTTTTCATTTCCTCTTATTTTCACTCGTTTCTCTTCCTTTTGAGTTTTAACTCAAATTATATTTCATATTCTGAAAACAAAATTTTCTGTTTTATATGGGAAATTCATTTAAAAACAAAATGTTTAAATGGTTGAAATTAAAATTAGTGAATTTTTAGAAAGTTTTGAAATTGAGATTGAATGAAATATTTATTCATATTTTATATGTAAATATTTTGTAAATTATTACTTTCAAATTTATTTCATACATTGGTAAATCCTCACTTTTCGTTATCTAAGCCTCTTGATAAAAAACAAATTACTTTAATATTAAAGCGTTGTTATACATATTATACAAAAATATTCATTTATGTATAATAAATTGACTCTTAATTGATTACAATGATTGACTTTAATCTTACGGGACAACATAATGAAAATGATTACATATAATCGTATATTTAGGAAAACATATAGATGGCAAAATCAAACAGTATAGATATTTTTTCTTTGACTTGAGGAATCTCTTTGCATTGCAATTCCCTTTGTCATCTAGATCATTAATTTTCTCTATAAATGAATGTGTGAATTATATTTTATATGCAAAGAACTCCAAATTTGTGGCAGATTCTATAGGTTTTTAATAACCTTTTATAAAAAATGTAAGTACAATAATCAAATTAAGAAAATTCATTTTTATATATTTCATGAAATATAATATATTTAAATTTTCAAATAAAATAAATTTTATAAATATAATATATATCTACATAAAAATTTTTTAAAATTTGGCGGTCATAATTAAAAATTTCAATATAATATTCAAAAAAATTATTTTAAAATTAGATTAAATTACAATATATTGATATTTTTTTATATGTTTCTTGTGAGGTTTCATTTTTTAAATTATAATTACACATATAAATTCTATGTATTCAGTTGTGATAATATTGTTTTTTACATTATTTTAAAAATATTCAAAATATATGTACATAAATAAAATCTTGTTAAAATATTGTATATAATGTACATATATACATATACATTAATAATATGTAAATAACTATAATTATTTAAAAGTTGATTCTCAAACTGAAGCTCGTTTCAAACAAAATGTACTTGTAATAATGTCTGTCGGCCGATATTCAGATTCTAAAAAAGCTTTATGATTTGGACAAGTTCTTGATCCCAAACATGTACAAGAACAAATTGATGTTTGTTCTTCAGTATCTGAATAATAATAATTACCACGCATTTCTACAAATTGACCATTTACCATATGATATGGTTCTTGAAATGTTAAAGGTTTTGAAGCAGCTACCATTTGTTTTGCATCCTCTTCTTCACGTCTCATATCTTCAGCATTCCTATTTATATAAAAATTAGAATAAAAAATGAAAATATTTTTTAAATTTAATTTAAAATAATATAATTAATTTACGGACATTGTCATAAATCTTAAAACAAGTAAATTAATACTAGCAGCAACCACAGCTAAACCGAATAAAATAAAAACAAGGCTTAAAGCAACATATCCTGGTTTATTCATTAAGGCTTGATCATTTTGTAATGCAACCTTAAAAAAAAAGAGTAAGAAACAAATAGTTAAAAAATTGTTAAGAAATAACCGACTATAATTATTCTTACATAATCTCCAAAACCAATTGTTGTTAATGTTACAAAACAATAATAGAAACTATCAAAATAACTCCAACCTTCATATCTTGAAAATACAGCTGCTCCTGTTGTTATTATAATTGAAGATAACATACCAGTTGCTAACATTAAATTCATTTCAGTCGCCTCTGTTTGACTACATCTTAGATAAGTTTTAGCTCTTTTTATTATAACTGAAGCAAATTTATTTAATCTTTCGCCTATACTTTGAAACATAACTAAACCTAATGGAATTCCAACCTAAATATTATATACATTTAATGTGTTATATAGCTTTTAGTAAATATAACTAGAATTATAAGTACCATTGCATATGCCATACAAAATGCTTTTCCTCCAACTGTAACTGGTGTTGAATGACCATATCCTATCATTGCTAATACAACAGTAGCAAAATAAAATGCACCAGCAAATTTCCATTGTGGACCAGCTTTATGAGGTTTATTTTCAATTATTACAATTTCCATCATTCTATAATCTTCGGCAGTAACATTATATTTTTTTATAAAATTATCTTTTAAAGCTTTAAAGAAATTAATAAATATTTATTAGAATTCATTTTTATGATTATACGCAGTATTTAATAGTAAATGATAATAAAATATTGATTACTTGTTAAAAATTCCCATCGTCTTGATTCAGTTTCTGATTCTAATGAATCAAAAACTGCAGCTCCAATTAAAAGATATGTAAAAGTACAAACGACTAATGACAATGTTCTAACCTTCAACATAATTTTAAAGAAAAAATTAAGATTAATGAAAATTTAAAAAAAGGGTGTAATTTTTTTTTTTAAATTTACGTTCTGTCGTTTCATAGTGCAGTGTAATAACAATCCAAAAAATGTATCCTGTCGCTCTATGAGCATCCCCTCTATATCAATCAAATTTATTATTTTTTCCTTGTTTAGATTTTAGCAAAAATGCTCTTCTGCGATAACACCAGACATTATTTTTATTGGAATACTTTTTGATGAAACTATAATATTTTATCTTTAAAAAAAAAACGAGATTAAAAATATATTAAAATAATTTTGTTTTATATAATATGAACAATACTGATAAGAAGTCTTTTGATATTATTTTAAGAAAATTTTAAGAAAGACCATAGAGCGCATGGCATAAGTTTGTCAAAATAATAAACGACAAATATTTGTAGATTTCTTTAAAACTTACCTAAATTCACAAGTTTGTTTTGTATTTTAATATTTGTTTTAAACAAGATGTGTTTTAACAAAAACAAAACTTCGAAAAATTTATGATTAGCAGTTCTTTAACATTTTGAATATTGCCACATTTTTAATTTTCTTTAAATTTTCAGAAAAATTAAAAAAAAAGAATTATTACCAGAATATTATGGCATGAATTGCCACAGTTGATTGTACTTAATAAACCTAAACATAATAATTTTATTTACAATTGCAATATGAAAATCAAAAAGTATTTAATTTTTAAATTTTCAGTTATTTAGAGTTAAAAAAAATGGTTTTGGTTTATATTTTTTTAAACGTTATCAGCGAGTTGTCAAGAATCTGTCAAAAACAACTAATACCTACGTTTACACGACGAATTTTGCATCAATGGTTGACATACGTTTCATTCTCATTGCCAACAAGAGTAATGTTCGTTCTTGCTTACAAAGAAATTGGAAAGGATATCCTTGCCAGCCAAGAAGGAAATACGTTACACTCATTTTGCCCTCGTGGGCATCCAAATGCAGTATGCAAATGCATGCAAAAGTAAAAACATGTGTATATAATTTAGTTTATTTATTTGTAAGCCAAAAAATTTCAATTACTTAATTTTTGTCATTAATATAAAAATTTAAGAACAAAATATGTGGCTAAATAATATTTATTCTTTAAGTGTTTAGATTAAATATAAAACTATAACCATACCACCTAAAAATTATTTTGATAATTTAAATAGAATTTCATCAATTGGCTTTACAAAAATATTGCAAATAATATTATATTTACATATTTTTATTTATTTATTGTACAACACACGTTATTCAAGTGTCATATTCACTGCCATCTAATTGTAAATATTGAAAACGAAGGTTAGCAACATGTCAATTATTTTCTGCTAAGATATGACAAGTTCAAAGCCTTTGCTAATCGTACACATATAGTTCTTTTTTCTGTGGATCTTTTTGAAGTAAGATCGTCGAAGTTTTTAAAAATATATATTTTAAGTAAGTTTTACAATAAGATACTATAAAAATACTATTTTTTAATTAAATTTATGTGTTCCAAATGGCAATTGATGAAAATAACTACTTAAATATGAAATTATAGTAGTATTTGTCGCATAAATAATGATTTGTTTTTTACCACGTGTTGTAGGATGGCGGACACAGATGTAATACCTCCCGAAGAACAAATTCCAGCTGAACCAGCACCTGCTGATATGGACACAATTCTTGCTATAGATTGTTTACCACAAGCTGAATTACCAGATATAAAATTATTTGGAAAATGGAGTTGTGATGATGTTACTGTCGGTGATATTTCACTACAAGATTACATTGCTGTTAAGGAAAAATACGCTAGGTATTTACCACATTCAGCTGGCAGATATGCAGCCAAACGTTTCCGTAAAGCACAATGCCCAATCGTGGAACGTTTAACTAATTCTTTAATGATGAAAGGGCGTAATAACGGAAAAAAATTGATGGCAGTCCGCATTGTTAAACATTCGTTTGAAATTATCCATTTATTGACAGGAGAAAATCCATTACAGGTACCTAAATGCAAACCTTTTTCAGATTAGCAATTGACATGACACAAATGATTTTCACTTGAAAAACCTTGATAACCCTATTATTTTTTAAATTCTAGACATTAGTCCATGCAATCATTAACTCAGGACCAAGAGAAGATTCAACCCGTATTGGTCGCGCTGGTACAGTTCGTCGTCAGGCTGTTGATGTGTCACCACTTCGTCGTGTTAATCAGGCAAGTTTTTTTTAAAAGGTTTCACATGAACAGCTTAATAAAATTTTTATCGATAGGCTATCTGGTTATTATGTACAGGAGCTAGAGAAGCTGCATTTAGAAATATAAAAACAATCGCAGAATGCTTAGCTGATGAACTTATCAATGCCGCAAAGGTATAATATTCATAATATTTAAAATATTCTTAAAATAATTTATTTGAATTTTAGGGCTCATCAAATTCATATGCTATTAAAAAGAAGGATGAATTAGAACGTGTTGCCAAATCTAACCGATAAATATTATGGCACCTTATCCATAAATATGAAGCTGTTCATATATTTAAAAAATTATTTTTCAGAATAAAAAATAAGGACAAGAAATTCCATTGTTTTAAGAATTACTTAACTTCCATTTTTTTTTAAATAGATAAGAGATTGATATGCGAGTATTTTTCAATTATTTCTTGTACATTGTAGATTGTACCACGACCTTAAAGATGTCCCTCAATTATTTCTTACTATGTTATTCGACTAAAGACAAAACCCTGAACCGTTTCCAAAATTTAAATCTTTTGCTATTAGCTTCAAAAAGCACTATTCTGTGTAAATTTACACATAAATTAGTATGCAAAAATAGCAAAATCTCTATTTCACATTGTATTACATTTATAAATACAAACATTATTATTCCATTCCTTATTACATATGTTTTATTAAAAATTCTGTTAATACATACTTAATTATAAAATTTAACTTAAAATAAAAATTTCAAGTTCTATTTTAAAAATTTATGTTTAAATATTTGAATTCAACTTTAGATTACCATTAAACGAGGCGCTATATTCATTGACATCAACTCTTGGAATAATAACTTTGCAGCGTATGGTAATTTAACTTGAGATATCTGCGTTTTGTTCTTGCATCCTTTGCACTCAAATGTATTATTTCTTAAATTTGCAATCGCTATCAGTCCACAGAAATTGCAAATATGAATTCTGTAAGGATCAGAAACTTCGAACAAACGTTCTCTCAAAAATTGAGCAGCGCCGTGTGAAATTTGACAATCACGTTCCATTTCGCCAAAACGCAAGCCACCATCTCTTGCCCTACCTTCCATTGGTTGTCTCACTAAAATTTGTACAGGTCCACGGGCTCTAGAATGAATTTTGTCATCTACCATATGTTTAAGACGCTGATAATAAGTTGGTCCCAAAAATACCTGGGCATTAATTTTTCTTCCGGTATGCCCGTTATACATAACTTCATTACCTCGAAGATGGTAACCATATTCTTGCAAAAATGTCGAAATTTTCTGTACATTAACAGCGTCATTAAATGGAGTTGCGTCACCAATTTCTCCTTTATTTGAACCAAGCTTTCCTTGCAAACATTCGATTAAATGGCCAATTGTCATACGAGAGGGGATAGCATGAGGATTAATAATAATATCAGGTGTTAAACCTTCACATGTGAAAGGCATATCTTCTTGCCTATATTGAATTCCGCAAGTACCTTTCTGTCCGTGACGAGAAGCAAATTTGTCTCCAATTTGCGGGATGCGCACTGAGCGTACTCTGATTTTACAAAACTTATATCCTTCACTGTTTAATGTCAACATAACCTGATCAACAATACCAGTTTCTGAATTTCTCAAAAATGTGGATGCATCTCGCTTTGTGAAACGTTTTGTTGTTCCTTCCAGATCATCATCATTTTCTGGTAGGTTTATTGTCTTTCCAATAACTACATCGTCTCCAGAAACTCTTATGCCTGGTGCTATGATACCATCGTCATCTAATTTATCATAATGTGCATTTCTCATACCCTGACATGTGTTACGCGATGGTTTCTCAAATTGTTCTTCTTGGTCTCCTATACGTTTATTTTCTGAATCCCGATAACTACGGTAGAAACATGATCTGAAGAATCCTCTTTCTACGGCTGAAGCATTTAAGATAACACTGTCTTCCTGATTATAACCAGTATAGCATAAAATTGCAACAATTGAATTTATGCCGGCAGGAAGTTCTCTAAAGCGCAAATATTCCATAGATCTTGTGGTAACTAATGGTTTCATTGGATAATATAACACATGTGCAAGGGTGTCCATACGAACATGATAATTTGTAATGTAAACTCCCATAGCTTGCTTACCCATAGCACTTTGATATGTGTTACGAGGGCTTTGATTATGATCTGGAAATGGAATAATTGATGCACAAACCCCCAATATCATAGCTGGATGAATTTCACAATGTGTGTATGTTGTACAGTATGCATAATCTTTGTCCTGTTTTAAATCATATGGAGACATAGCAATCATAACAGTTTCCTCTTCAAGAGTATCGATATATTCTACTACACCAGAAGCCACAAGTACTTGCCAGCTATAGTTATTATAATCACGTTCCTTTAACATTTCAATATGGGTTTTCTTCAGAAGCAAATTGCCATTTTCAACAATCAACAACGGTCTGCAAATTCGTCCAGCATCTGTATAAATACGAATTTCACGATCCCGAATGTCTCTAATCATAGATACTTCAGATACAATGATATCCATTTGACGTCGAAGTTTACGTAAGGTAGCCATTAACTGTTCAGGATCACGATGTATTCCTACCCAACAGCCATTTACAAAAATTTTTGTTGCATCAACTATAGCTGAAGGGGCGATTTCCTCAAGATTTTCCATAGACCATTCTTCCAAGAACTCTAGAATAGGTGATGGTTGAGAACCAACCGAAATATAAGCCATCAATGCCAAGTTTTTTACTAAGCCTACAGCCGCCCCTTCCGGCGTTTCAGCTGGACATAACATGCCCCACAAAGTATTGTGTAACTGTCTAGGTTTTGCTAGTTTTCCATCTCTACCTATGGGTGAATTTACACGTCTTAAATGAGATAATGTTGATGCAAATGTTAATCTGTTTAACACTTGAGATACGCCAGCTCTGGCTTGATGAGCTTTTTTCTGGTCGCCCCAATTACCTGTAGCTAAAGAATATCTCAATCCATCGGTAATTATATTAGTTTTGATGGCCAATTCTAAGTTAAAATCTTTTCCTCTATCAATAAATTTTTGGGTATACATTCTTACTTCTTTCATAAGGTTTTTAAAAAGACCTCTAAATAAGAATGCCAGTAGCGGACCAGCTAAATCAAGTCGTTTATTACCATAGTGATCACGATCATCAAGTTCTCTTCTGCCCAAGGCTGCTAATAATAATCTATGTACCATGTATCCAAGGAAGTAAGCTTTTTTTGTTTCGCAAAAATCGGACACACCTACGTGGGGTAACATTTCCTTTTGTAATATTTCTTTAGCATACTTTATACGCTTGTCTTTCGTCACACCAGGTCGCGCACCTCTAGCTCCTATGAAATTTAAAGCTACATTTTGTTCTTGAACTACGAAAGCTTCATCAAGAGATGGTTTAACCATTTCCATCATTTCAGGATCATCAAATTCATATATGATATGTTCAAGAATATCTCTATCAGCTACAAAACCGAGGGCTCGGAATACTATCATAATTGGGATTTCTTGTTTGATATATGGTAAAATTGCAATAATTCTTTGACCAATTGCAGATTTTTTGATTGTTTGACCACCTCTTGCCATCATATTGACCCAAAGCGTAGATGTTGGTCTTGAACTATGTTCAAGGCAAGACCGGATCTCGCATTTATATGCATATTTGCCATCTTTCATGCTAAATACGTACACTGTATTTGTTGCCATTTTTTCTTGAGCAATCAATACTTTTTCTGATCCGTTTATAATGAAATAACCACCTGGATCCAATGGACATTCGTTTAATTCTGTTAAATCACGATCAGTCAGTTGACTAAGCAAACAATAAGTTGAACGTAACATAATTGGAATTTTGCCAATAAATGTTTTTTGATTCTGTGTTTCAATTGGGTCTTGCCCTTCAATTATTTTCGTTTTGGTAATGTCGACATAAAGTGGAGCTGAGTATGTCAAATTTCTCAAACGAGCTTCATTCGGCATCATTGGACTTGGAGAACCATCTTTTTCCCAATGTGTTGGTTTTGACAAATAAATTTGATCAAATTTTAACAAAAATCTAGGTGGAGTTTCTATTTCACCGGACGTATGTTGTGCCTCTGCTTGTAAATCTATTGCGGGAGAGTCTTCAACAATTCTCTGAACGGACATTTGAATAAATTCGTCAAATGAATCTAATTGTTGTCGTACAAGACCTTTTTCATCAAAGTATGCGTTTATAACAATCCAGCAAGCTTCTTGCCATAACTCGTGAGTAATTTCTTCTGCATTTTCTTCCTCGAAATTTTCTTCTTCATTTTCATACATTTTTACGTATTATTTTTGAACTATATTTTTTTATTTAATGAAATAATTTTCCAAATCGGTAAAAATAATATTTTCACAATCCCAGCGTTGGGATTTGAGTAACTTAATTACTTAGCATCTGTGAATGTTTAATAATAATGTTGCTAATGGAAAATCTGACTTAAGTTAGCAACTTTTCTGTTGTCATAAAGTTTAAGTACTAAAGGTAATAGGGTGTTTACATGATATTACTGAACTATTTGACATTTTACAAAGATTCAATTTTTCAACATTGTGTATTCACCATTAGCATGCAACGACAAAGCGAAAGGTATTAATTTATCAATAACAATAAAACGTCGAGATAAAAAAAATTTTCGTGCTTGAAAAAATATGAAAATAATTCCGATGAAAAGGTTAATAATATGAAAAATAGAAGACTCTAATGATAATGTAGAAGACATGACAAAATCATTGTGTTATGTGCATAATGATTTAAGTTTGTGCTTAATTTTTTGTGTTCAAATGAATTTTATAAGTACTAAAATATTTGACAAAACTGCTATTCATTAAAATTTTCTATGCTGTCAACTGTGTAAACATCCCCAATTTGATGCTAATCACATTCTAGTCATTATGACACTTTCATTTTAATTCAACAATTGTCAATTTTCTTAAAAACAAAATTGTTTTGATTGTTAACTTTAATATATAAAATAGTTTTTACTGAATTAAAATTATGTCGAAAAATAAATTAAAATTAACTTTGCCTCCAGGATCTGTAGATTCTTCTTCTCAAATTTGTACACCGCCATTTAAAACACCATCTGGAACAGAGTATTAAATTTATTCATTTTAAGAAATTGATTTTCAACTTTATACTTTCAGCTTACTTGGAAAACCTAAAACTAATATAGAAGGTATCGTTGATGCTTTAGAAGAATTGGAAATGGATGATACAGCGCGAAAAAGAATAAAAGTTTTTCTAAGTCAAAAAGAAAAAATTGGGGAGTTGGGTGAAGAGGATCTTGAAAAGCTAGGTGAACTTGGATCAGGAAATGGGGGAGTGGTCGTTAAAGTCAGGCACATTCCAACTCAGTTAATAATGGCACGTAAATTGATTCACTTGGAAGTAAAACCATCAATTAAAAAACAAATTATTAGAGAACTTAAAATTTTGCATGAATGCAATTTCCCACATATTGTGGGATTCTATGGTGCATTTTATAGCGATGGGGAAATCAGCATTTGTATGGAATATATGGATGGTGGCTCATTGGATTTAATTTTAAAACGAGCTGGGAGAATTCCAGAAACTGTTTTAGGTAAAATTACGTCAGCAGTTTTGAAAGGACTAAGTTATTTACGTGATAAACATGCTATTATGCATCGTGATGTCAAACCTAGTAACATTTTGGTTAATAGTAGTGGGGAAATAAAAATTTGTGATTTTGGCGTATCTGGTCAATTAATTGATTCTATGGCAAATTCATTTGTCGGTACTAGAAGCTATATGTCGGTAAATATAATTTTCCTATTTTATATATTTAATTTTTTTATTAAATTGATATTTGCAACACTGTTCCTTAAAGCCTGAGCGTCTTCAAGGGACACATTATTCAGTTCAATCTGACATTTGGTCATTAGGACTATCATTAGTGGAAATGGCTATTGGAATGTATCCAATACCACCCCCTGATGCTAAAACACTAGATGCTATTTTTAATAAGACCAGTGAGGAAACTAATCAAGCTGTTATAGAACCAAAATCTATGGCAATATTTGAATTATTAGACTATATTGTAAATGAACCTCCTCCAAAGCTAGAACATGTCAGTTTTAGTGATGAGTTTAAAGATTTTGTTGATAAATGTTTGAAAAAAAATCCAGAAGAAAGAGCCGACCTGAAGACTTTATTGGTTAGAAAATATTACTTTATTGTGTAAAGTTTAAATAAAGTGATTTTTGGTTTTGTAGAATCATTCATGGATAACAAAATCTGATGAAGAAGAAGTTGATATAGCGGGCTGGGTCTGTAAAACAATGGATCTTCCACCATCCACACCAAAGCGAAATACGTCTCCAAATTAAATATATTAAAAAATTTTATATTATACAATCCTCTTAAGCTATTTAGGTTCAAAATGAATATATTTGTAATAAGAATGCTAAACCTAAATTTCATAAAAATCTCTTAAAAAAATATCCTAATAATAAATTAAAGTGATATTTTTATGATTTAAGAAATGCACCAAAAGCATATTTAATGTAAATTAAATATTATATTCAAGAGTGTCACTCGAACTGAATGTTTAAATTTTAAAATAGAGAAGAAATTTAATTAAGTTTAAAATTTATATTTTAAATATTGTAAATAAAAGCATTTTTAATTCGTTTTTTATTGGCGTCTCATATAGTATATATATATATTTAATTGTTTAATGTAATTCAGATTAATTGCTAAAATCAGCCGGTTATTTATGAACAAAATAATTCATACATAATTAATCTAAAACTAATTGAAAATTTTTGAATTCTTGATTTGTGTTTTACGTGGTTTTACTATTCCTCGCAATACGAAAAGAAAAAACTTTTAATTTTAATGTAATTTTTGCACATAAGTACTCAATTATAATTGAAAATTTTATGCACAAATTACAATATACATTATATTTATAATAAAATGGAAATATTAAAATAATAGTTAAATTAAATATTCGATGTATTATGCCAAATGCAAATTAATACGTTGTGAATTCATTCAAGTAATAAAATTTTGAAATTAAATACCTAAATCAAATCAAATAATAGATAATCAATTGCCAGAGTCTTTAATTTTCTATATACTTAAATAAGTGTTTTTAAAATAAAGTGTACTAATAATAAAATCAATTTCTATTTAAATTTAATGCAAATAAGAAAATAAATTAATATTAAAAATCTATTTTAATGCTTGTTTTAATTATTATTTCAGTTTTATTAATTATAGAAAAGTGATGATAAGAACATTATTTTCTAAAAGGGTATAGTTTTTTCTTTCCAACTGTAAAACTGCCAATTGGAACTTATTCAATTTGTTATAGTTTGTCTTTTACATTTACATTATTTTGTGCAAGAGGGAAATTAGGAACTCTATGTTTATAAAAATATTTTAAAGTTGATTATGAATAAGCAGTAGATAATTTGCTTTTGAATGATAAAATTAAATATTAAATTCAGAATTTGTTACATAGATATTTACTTGTATGTTCGATGTACAATAATTTTCTAATAAAAGAAATTTAACTTCACCGTCGGCAGAATGTTAACATTCTTATGTAAGGTTTTACATTAACAGCTAGTAGCAATAACTTTAATAATAATAATTTTTTGATGTTTTTACTGAAGGATTACTCAATATTATATGTACATACATATGTACATATAAAAAAAATCAGAGATGAATTCAAAAATCAAAAAATTTTAACAGATTTTAGTAAATGAAAAATAATACAAAAATATACGTATAATATGCAAATTAAAAAAAAAAAATAAAAAAATACTTTATAATATATGCAGATCTATATATTTTATATGAATAAAATAAATCAGACCAAGAAAAATCATAACAAATTAGTTAACTAATAAACGTACATAACAAATATTCAAATTATGTTACTAATTTTCCAACATTTTTATGCAAAACGTTTTAAATTTTTAATGAACTCTAATATGAAATAAATTAGAAAATAACCTTAAGGTAAAAATATAATAAAGTCCCAGCAGGATACAAAAGGTTGTAATTTTGTATGTGTGTCCTGTGGTTTTGATTTAACTTCTATATTATAATGTATTAAACCGCACACAATAATAAAATGAAAAAAAAAATATATATATATAAATAAATAGAACAAAAACGTAAAAAGTTTAAATTGCAATTATTTGCAATTATCCTGTTTTTTTTTTTTCTATTCGTCTATTATCCATCAAAATATCATCACAAACCCTAAAACAATACTTGTTTTTTATGTCTTAAAGCTTTACATATTTATATACACATAATATTTTTATATTTTAGTATATACTGGCGATGTTACGGTCTAGAGGATATGAATTTTAAGTAATATTGTGAATGGAAGATTGTTTCAAAAATTTGTAGAAATACAAATTGAGTTCAGTTTATAAAAATTAAGTATTTACATATGTACATATGTAAACAATGTCCATGGCTATTATGTTATTGTTTTTAATTCATTTATGTATATATTTTAAAGTGACTTATTAATAGTTAATTATTAAAATAGTTATAAACTATAATTGATTGCAAAATTTTAATTTTTTAAGTTTTATATTGTGGGAATTGCTTATCAAGTATTTAAAATTCTTGATTTTATAGTTTAAGATATAATATTTGAGTTTGGGTTAAGTAAAAAATATTTTATTTTATTTTTTCTAAGCTAGTACTGTTATTGTATTTTAAGATGTACATAATAATGTCATGTCTCTGCATAGCGTTATTGTTTGCTTCAACTAGTTTCTCCATGATATCATTAACAAAGATGATCTTCATTAAAACAATTGATATTTACATTAAAGTTTTTAGTTTACATTATATTATGAAAGCGTAATTGTAATATTAAACAAAAATTTGAATGTTGGAGTACATTAATTAAATCCAATAAACGCCCATTATTATATTCTACTCTTTATTTACTTGTGCCGTAACAATTTTTCTGTCTTGCTACACGTTTTTATAAGGATTTTTTTTTTTTAATATTATGAATATAACATACATATCTTTGTACAATTGTGTGAATATGATTTTATTTTAAATATCTAATGTTTATTTTTCATGTTTTGTCATTGTCACGTACAAGAATATTATATAAGTGTATATTGTGATAAAATTATAAAAGCAAAAAAAAAAACAAAAAAAAAAAAATTGATGTCTTCAAAGTTAAAGAAAGTGGATAATTTATTTGCCTTACAATCCTACAGACTTTTTTAACACACTACTCATATCCTCATTAGACATAATAAAAGATTTTTTTTTCTTTTTTAATTTTGTTTTAAAATCCAAGTATAGAAGAAAGAATAAAATAAGTATTTTAGTTAAGATTTATTTAAAAACGAATAATATTTTTATATTTTAAATAGAGAAAATTTTTAATTAAAAAGGGTTTCTAGATAATGCTCGTAGGTATAAAGGATACACCTACGATTGTAAAATTATCTATGATTGTAAAAAATATTTTTTTTTCAATTTTTGTGTTAAAATATGTGTATTTGTACAACTTATAGGCGCACAGTATATGAGTAATATTTTAATGCAATTAAAGTATAGTGTAACTTATAAATTAAATATAAAAAATAATTGTATCATAAATCTAATTCAACCGAATTCAATTTAAATTAAATATAATATATTTTTGTGTTGAATTTTGTTAAAGTGATTTCACTCGTATTTCAACTAAATTTATGCAGTACATTCGTGTTAGATAATGGTATACATATGTACATATTACCATTTTACAAAAAATGCAAACCTGAAGAAGTACATTACAGATTCGTTTCTATTTAGTCAAATGTTCTGTAGCCAAGGTCTACATTAATTTAATATTTGTTCTAAAAACATCCAAATTTTTCAAATTTACAACTATTATGTCAATACATACATAAATACATACGCAATATAATCATAACTTTAAAGAAAAAATTCAACTCTTCTTTTTGTATTTAAAAATCCACAATAAATATTTTGTAATTTTCTTTTATTTTAATTCTTTTGTTAAGTAATTATTTAGTAAAATTTTTTTTTCTTTATCATTTGCATCAATTATAATTATAAATAATAAGGAAGGCTTATTTTATTGAAAACTCTTGAAAGAAAAAAAAAAACCCTTAAAAAACCGAATACAATTAAAAAATGTACACTAAAAAATCATTTATTGGTATGTTTTTTTTTTTTGTTTTTTCATTGTACAAAAATAATGTATACTTACAAATATCATTATTTTAAAAAATTTATAGATACTTATTTCACGTATATTTGAACTAAATGCGAATGTAAATTTTTATTATTTATAATAAATGTGTTGTACCGTTTGTAATATCAGAAAAACTTTGAGATTGTAATGATAATAAATTTGATCATTTGTTTTAGATAATAATACAAGGGATACATTTAGTTTAAGATCTAACAGCCTAAACAATTTTAAGGTTTCTATTGGCACACAAAGGATTTGAATAAAATTTGATTAAAATTCGAGGTATAAAACCTTAACCGATTCAGTTTGACATATCAAAAGAATATCATCTAATTCTGATCAGTTCTGTTCGTTAAGTTTGATGTCTTTTAAATCATGCCAAAGGTATAATAACTTATTTAACATTTTAAACTATTATCCTCACAAATATCTTACTGTTATCAAGGTTAATATCATATTTCATCGTTTCTTTAATTGATGTATGTATGCTGTAAACATTTTATTTGCAATCATATGGTTTTTACATATAAATTAAGGTACAGATAATTTCACCCCTTTGTAAAAATAAAATAAAACGATTTTGTTTTTTGTACATACGTTTCAGGATTTCTCAATAATGTACTTGTCTCAGTAAAAAAAAAAAAAAAACGCAAAAAAAATATTCAAAAAATCAAGTGTAGTCACACGTAATCTTGAGTGTCAGTTAAATTGGAATATAATAAGGATAAAATTATTGAATAACATATTTTATACATCCTTTAATGCCAATATATTATTTTTTGTATTATCTATATTTTTTTTTTTGATATTTAGACTTTTGCGTATTTATTTCATATTTGTTTTTTTTTTAAAGGATTTTTATTATTTGAGGTTACACAAATTATCAAATAACAAAAAAACTTTTTATTAATTTGCCTTTATGTACTTGAATCATTTAATATTTTTATTGTTATTCCCTTTGTTTTAAAAGTGTTCTTTTAAAAACAAAAGTTTAGAAATTGATGGAATGAAGGGTAAATTTTTAAGTAAAAGTTTTATTTTAATGATTTTGGTTTGTTCCTCTTTCGTTGTTAACTTAAATATTTAATTTTTAATCTTATTTTATTGATTATTTTATTTTTAAAGAATTCCTTTTATACGCAATTTATGCAAAACAATATTCTGTTTCGTTAAATGGCTCATGTTCTCTTATACAAATTATTATTCCAAATACGAATTTAAATATTAAAATATTATAATTAATAAAAATTATGAAGAATATTTTAAATTTAATTTTTCAACATTTAAAGAAAGTGTTTGCTACATTGCAGTATATAATAATAAACTACTCAGTTATAGAATCTGTAATTTTATAGTTAAATTTAATATAATGATATTTTAAATGTTAGACAATTTCTTCAACATAATTAAAATCTCATACATATCACAACCAAAAATAATATCGTATCACAATTTAAAAACAACTTGTCGCTTTAAAATTACATTTATCAAAATTTAAATAAAAATATAAAAAAATTCTTTTCACTAAAAAATTTTTTTTTCTTTTAACAATGTCAAAAGGTAATTTAAAGGAAATTACGTATATCCTTTACAATAATAAAAGTATACAATAAATTTTAAAATAAAATTTTCTTAAAATTCTATAAAATCTGAAATTCTTAACAAAAAGGAATCTTATGTAAAGGAAATAATTTTATGTATGTATGTATGTATGTGAATAGTTTATATACTCTTGCTCCTTATTGTGAAAAAATGTAACATTTACATATTTCTTGATTCATAGTTTTGAACTTTTATTTCCGAATTATATATTCGAAAATAGCAATATTTTCCGAATTATAAGCGATTTCGCGGTAACTAAAATTGTATTACTAAAGTCGATACATACATAGTTAATTGGTATTTAATACGCGCCGGAAAAGTCTCTCGATTGCATGTTTTGTCAGTAATAAAATTGTAATATAGAATATTTATATAAGTACTAAGTGTTTAAGTGTACAAAACTTTAGATCTAGATAATAGGCTTTAAAAATATGTACATATGTACGTATACAAGGTAAAGTGACATAACCCCTGCAGCTCAACTTAGCTAATAGCAGCGAATTGTGAATAGTATTTCACAATGCTAGACATTGGGATTGACTTAAATTCTAAATGACGACATAATTCAAAAAATATTACTTATTCAATATAACCTAAATTAAGTAAAATTATATACAGTAATAATATAATCTCGATGTTAGAAATATTTTCATACTATATGTACAATCAAAAGATTACCTAGATATAAATTTCATAAAATATCTTTAATAAAATATTTTTATATAAATTTTTGTATGATGAATATTTTATGATTTTAATTATAATTAATAAGTTTTACTTTGTATAACATCATGCAATTTAATATGATACACGATATTTATTATAAAATAAGTACAAAAATAGTATCTCATTAAAATCTAAAACATACATACGAGTACATATATTTTTTTTTTATAAATATAAAACCTTTTATGAAAAAAAGCGCACAAAAATCTCTATTCATTTTAATATTTTGTTCATTATAAAGTGTTAGAAATATTCAACGTACATCTCTATTATAGCTTAATGCATAAAATCATTCACATAATATATAATATTTATACTTATATAATGGGAGTAATGTATTTATCATTAAAAAAAAATAATCATTTTCAATCATTTTAATTATGAAAATTAAAATAAATCTCATACATACTCTTATTAAACAAAACATCGTTTTATTATTTCAAAACTTCTAGTTATGCTTATTTAATTTTCCATTATGTTGCTCAGGTATTATATACGAATCAGTCGTATTATCTGTGTTATATATGTACGTATCTTTATTTATTATATTTTAATTTGCTTTAATTCTTCTATTTTATATCTATGTAGTATATGAATTTATGTACGTGCTTGTATTCTGTAATCAGTTGCATTATACATATATTATGTATGTATACATACATACTACAATATTTAGAAATACGTCTTTAAAAAGGATTTAAGAATAACGAAAAAAAAAACTTAACTGTAATTAAGGATCTACTATGCCTAGGGTGCATATAACAGCATAATAATAATTTATATTTGACTTTTATATAACATTTTTACTCTTTAAGTTCTAAACACATATTTTAATGTTATATTTTTTGTACATTTGCACGTATACAATCGCTACAAAAATATCCAGAAATTAATGCAAACTTAAAATATTTTCATTGTTTACTATTAAACGTAATATTTATAGCAGCAGTTTTATTTAAGTTAGCTTTGGTACATTAAATAGTAATTATATAATGTTACTAATATTTGATATGATAAAAATTTAATGCATAAGCATCGTGTGATGAGAACGATGAGTAAGATAGTAGGATCGGTAACTATCACTATCCCTTATTTTAAAATTTTTGTAGTAAAGAAAATGTTGATACGCAATTCAGATTACGAGAGTAAATAACCGTGACTTCAAACAGTATTGCTACAATTGCTACAATAGCAATTAAAATCAAACAGTACTGCTACACATTTAAATTCATAGAAATTAAAAATTATAAACAGAATTGTGTGTTAATACTTTAATAATACTAAAATTTTTAATTAAGGGAGTATTACTGCAATTATGAATTCATAGCGTATACTTATTCTATCAACTCTAAGTAAAAATATTATAATTTTTAAAAGCCGTCTTTATGCTACTAGTTATTACATATTTATATTTCTAAGACTTATACATAGAGTATACATGTTACATTTTTGAATATTGTACGAGTACAATCAATTAAAATAATAAAATTATTCTCTATAAACTAAATCTTATTATATCAACTTAATATATACATACATACATAATATTAATTGAAATAAATGGTAGGCTAAAAGATCATAATTTCTAGGAGCAATCATATTATTTTTATTATATTTCTTTTCTAGTTTTTTTTTTATATTTTTTCCTTTTTTAATTTGAATAAATTATGTGAAAAAATTTAAATAATATTTTAAATAAAACGAACAATATATAAATATGATAGAAATCATAAAAACACACAATAAATAGTTATTATATAAATATGTAAATGCCATCAGCCACACATATATAAAATATAAATGTGTGCGTGCATCTGCATATTTAAATATAAATCGCATTTATATTCTTAAATTATGCACAATAAAATGAATTAACTTCAATTTATATAATAATTATAATATTTTTGTTCTTTTTAAAATGTTTCACTCTTTTTGTTCTTGTTCCTACAATCATATAATATACAACAATTAAATGCGAAATAATAACAATTAGAAAACATATTATAATACAAGGATATTATTATTTCAAATAAAAATATACAAATTATGTATGTATGTATATGCTATACGTATATTTTAAAAGGACCTTAAATACATTTAAAGCAAAAATGAAAAATAAACAATTACATTTACATATTTTACTTCTTTTTCTATCTTTATGTTTTTTTTTTTATTTTTTAAAGGACTCTTAAACAAATTTTAAGTAAAGTAAAAGGAAAAAATAAAATCAAATGCATTCCAGTATTGTTATTTAGCGAAAAATGAAAAATTAAAAAATCATAAAATCAAAAATCAAAAATAAATAATATCAACAAAAGATATAAAACCTTGCCAACCATATTAAAAGGTCCTTTTTTATTCTACAATATAAGATCCGCCCACAAATACACAATTTTTATATGTATACAAGTACAAAAATTACAGTTATCCAATTGGATGTATAAAAATAATAAGGTGGCGGCATTTTGTATATTAAATTTTCATGTTATTTATAATTTTTGTCTTTTTTAATATAGGTGTAAATGATGTTGATTGATTTATGTAATATGGTTTTTAATATTATACTGGAAAAGTTAAGAAAAAAAAAAGTATAAATTATGACTTTTCATTGACTGCATTGTTTGCAATAAGAGTGGTATTTTCATTGCATCAAAATTCACTTTTCAATCAAAATCCGTTCTTGAAATCCATTTAGGCTGAACCGTTTTATACAAAAATATGATCAGCTTTTGAATTAAATTCGCTTCAAGGAAATAGACCCGTTTTAGGAGTTCATTTTCAATAATATTTATTTCAATAAAAAGCAGACGTCCTTTAAGTATTATATTATATATCAGTCCTTTTCCTTTTGGGGAACTAATATATTCCTCAAAATTGTATTGTAGAAGCAGGATCTACAAGAAATGTTCATTATATGTTATGTATATTTTAAAAGTTCTTTGAATAATAACTTACAAATTTAGAAATTATTAATAAAATATTTGCATTTTGTCATATTTGCATTACTTGGATCTCGGTCATATGCTGTTCACATCAAATATTTTTTACTAAAAATTTTTTTTTTCATTAAAATCCTTATTTAAAGCTATCTCCTGTGTATAACGGTATAGTAAAGATGAAATGTGTTTGGGTACATCATCTGAGAAAAAAAAAGAAACAAAAATAAAATAAAATACAAAAAAAAGTAAAGGAAAAAAAAAGGTTAAAAAAACGCAAAAAAAATGGTCATCATTATACAGTTATCATTATAAAATACAAGAAATAAAAAATAAAAATATAAAAAAAATATGAAGATTTTTGTTTTTTTTGCATGCTCATTTCTTATAAATATTTATTAAAAGTCTGACGATATACTTAAAAGCAATTTAACGTTTCTGTAATAGAGGAAAAAAAAAATAAGAAAAAAAAAAAGAAAATAAAAAATAAATAAAAAAATATCATTAAAATTATTTAAATTTTTTTTTCTGCACACATCTACATATACACATACTGTACTTATTTATGTAATTTTTTATATCCTTTTTAAAATAATTTTTTTTTTTCAATTTAATTTTTAAAAATGTTTCTTTTTACTGCTGCCTACACTTGTACATTTTCATTTTATTCGAATAAAAATATTTAAATTGATTTTAAAACCACTGATATAGAATGTAAAATTGAATTCGGAAAATTTAACATAAGGAAAATAATAAAATATACAGAATAAAAATAATAATTATCTCAATGGATATCGAATATTTATGAATAAAGTGTATGTGAATTAAAAAAAAAAAAAGAAAAAAAAAATTTGAATTTGAAAAAGAAAGAAATTAAATGGTAAACGTTTAAAACTTGAATATTGAATCAATTAAAGAATAATAGAATATCAAAGAAAAAAATAATTAAGAATTTATTATGAAAATTTAGAATTAATTATTAAAACCATAATATTTCCAATAAAATTTAAAATAATTTAATTTTTAAAAAAGCTATATTAAAATTAAAATGTTATAAATATGCAAGATAGTTCAAAATCATTTTTAATAAAAGATATTCTTGGTGAATTAATTAAGACTGAAAGTTCAAATGATGAAGGTAAAAAGAAATTTTTTTTCTTATTTTACATATTCTGTATAAAAATATGATAATTAAATCTAAATTTAAGAAAATATTAAATATAAAGAAATTTAGATTTTATTCATGACTTTCAAATATGAAATAATTGTATAAATTATTAAGTAACATTTCTATATTAATAACAATATTATTGAATTTATCAATTAGTAATTACCTAATAATATATTTTATTTCAAAATTAAGATTTTTAAGAAATATATGTTATTTTTCATTTACATCCCATTTTAATTAATCACGTATGTGTTGTTTTTTTTAATTACTCGAGCCTATATTAAAAATTTTATGTAATTAAAATTCGAATAGAGCTTAAACAAGAGCTTAAATTAAAAGTAAATAACCTTATGTTAAATAATTTTTAATTTTATTTTTAAAAAATATTGAGATCAATTAACATTTACTTTTAAATTAATGTTTTTCAATTATGAAATTATAAATAAAGGCTTATTGATTCCACAACTAGTGCCTAAAATTTTTGTTAATTTGGAATAATTTTTAAATAATTTCAAAAATAATCTTAGTCATACTTTAATTGGCGGATATTCGTACATAGTAAAATTTTAAATCCATATACATGCATACATTTAATACAATAGAAATGATTCTTAATATTATAAAATTTAGCAATTAAAATATTAGAAAATTGAACTTTTGAAATGAAAATTGGGTCGTTTAATGAATTTTAAAAATTTATATGAATTTAAAATTTGCTCCAAGATATAGAAATTTAAAAATATAAGAATGTACATATAATTGGAAATAGAAATATGAATAAAAATTACAATTCAAATTTTGTAGCAAATTACAAAACTAAATAGATTAAGATCATTAACACCCAATTTAAGCATTTAAATTGCTTATAAATTGAATAGTATAACTAATGTTACTCGAAAATTTTATGTTGTTTTCAAAATTAACAATTTTTTTTTTTATTTTTGTTAGATTAGTCCGTAACTTATTTATTTTTTATAATTACTTTTTGTTAAATTGATTAAATTAGATTTTTATTGTTATTATTATATACTACTGTGATTATTATCATAAATGTATTATTAAGAGTATTATGTTAATTAAATGTAAATACAAATTAAATTACTTAAATAAGACCTCTATTCAGATTGCGGATTGATAGGATAGGATAGGAAATCTAATATTAATTAGATTTAAAATAATATTCAAGAAAAAAATATATTAGAGTTCTTTAGAGTATTAATATTAGTATATTAATACTATTAAGTAGGGGTTGTGATTTTTTTAAAAAATGAATTAAGAGATCTTTTTCTAATAAAAGATAAATGCATTTAATTATGTGAGTAAAGCGAATTTGTAATTAAATAAAAATTTTTTATTCCGACGGATGTAGTTAAGATTTACATATTTTAAGCAAATTTTTTTTTTTTTTCATATTATATAAGTATTATGTTTAAATATTGTTTTTGTCTAAATGAAAGGAAAGATTGCATCTGTGATTTGAAAATTTTTCATTAATTTTTTTTAACTTTTGATGCAATGAATTAAATTTACATCAAATACAATTTTTGAACATACTTAAAGCTACTTAATCTATGAAAAAAAATTCTTGTAAATTTTAATTTCATTTGCCTCTATAAAAGAATTAAGTAGAGAAGATTTCAAAATTATGGAAATGTATAATTATTCTACCAAAACAAAATAGCTGATCAGTTCATTTTAATTGAAATTTAAGTTTTCTTGTTAATTAAGTTTTTAACAGTAGATGATTACAATTAATAAAATTTACTTAATTTTAATTCATGTTCTATTTTCAAATTTAACCAAATTATATCTAATCACATACATACGTACATAAATATTCAAATTTAGTTGAATTATATTTTAAACAATTTTATATTATCTTTTCATATTAATTATTTTAAGATGATCCAGAAATCTTGGATGATAATATTGAAGTAGATGTAGAAGATCAATCATCATCAGATACAAATTATTCAAATCCAAGTAAATTATGTGGTAATAATATTAATATTGTTCGTCAACATCAATCTCATCATGATCATAATGGTAATAATTTACATATGTTTGGTGATTCAACAACATCAAATATATTACTATCAAATAGTAATGAGCAATTACTTAAGAAACCAAATACAATAACTAAAATAAGTCGAAAACCTAGAAGACGACGAACTGCGTTTACTCATGCACAATTAGCATTTCTTGAAAGAAAGTTTCGTTGTCAAAAATATTTATCTGTAGCTGATCGTAGTGAAGTGGCGGAAACTTTAAATTTATCTGAAACACAAGTCAAAACATGGTATCAAAATCGGAGGTAATTTAATTTTACAATCATGAAATTTAGCAAAGCTTGTTTGTTTAACATAAAAAAATTATTCAACGCCAGGTTGTTGATTATTTACAATATTTAATTCTGTTAGAAAATTAAACTTCTTGTTTTGTGCCCACAGCTTTGTCATTAAATTATATTTTGTTAAATATTTATGAATATATTTGCAGAACAAAATGGAAACGACAAAACCAATTACGGTTAGAACAGCTACGTCGACATGCTTCCGTTGAAAAAGAACGTGCCAATAGCGAACAACATCCTTCTGCAACTTTACCTTATTGTACAGCAGCACTTTCTTCATATTCTTCAAATTCTTGTACTTTATTAACAACAGCAGCGGCTGCGGCAGCTATTTTTCGTAATTTAAGCTATGATCCTGGATGTCCTTTCTAATATTTTATTCAAGAACAATTTGATATTATATTATATTACTGTAACACATTCATGTAAAATATTTGCATCAATTATGTATGTCTTTCAGGATTAATATAAAAATCATACGTAATGTTATATTACTATTATTATTATTTTTCCATCTTGTTAAAAAAAAGCAATTCTGATAAAAATAATGTAAATTTGATATTGTAAATATATTTTTCTTACTATCAAACAATAATGCGTACTTTTTGGAAAATTATTTACATACGTTATGTAAATAAAAAAAACCTTTGAATCATTCTAGCTATAAACGTCCCGTTATAAATACTTATATATTTGCATATACATACATATGTACATCCCTGTTTGCATTGCACATTTTTTGTACTTGATACACTTTTTGGGTTCTATTTAATGATGTACTCGTATAATAGATTCTAATTGAATTTATTATTTATATATACATATGTATATATGTATTTAATTAGTAAAAATGATTGATTTTTAATTAGCTGTATTTAGCTATGTACGTACAGTAAAACCTTATCAATCTTATTCGTGTTTAAGTAGCAATTACATAATAAGTACATAATATATGCATGAGCAAAACACATACATATTATGTATGTATATAAATGAGACTAACCAGACTTAAGCGAAACTACTGTTGCGAACTTAACCGACGGTGATAAAATAGTCTATATCCTACTTTATCTCTGGTGATTTTTTTATGCAAAATACTGATTTTGCCGCTGTTTGTATTTTGCAGACTTTATTATATTATATAAAAAAACTAATATTATTCAATTCGGAAATTTCAAGACGGAGAACAGAAATCGTTCACGGTTTACACTTTATAGTGTTCGCTTTATGTTTATATACACTTTAACATAATATAGTGAAAGAAAGCTAATATATGTGCACTTTATATAACGACGAAAAATCAATTTCATTTAATTTCGAGTTGACTCCGTCTAGGTTTAGGGGTGCAAATTTCAACAGTACAAGAAAATAAAAAAAACGAATCACACTTAAGTTAAAATACTTTTGGTCTCCTAGAAGGCCACATATTACGCATATTATTACATGTGCCGTTTTTTTTATAATAATAGTTTCTGTGTGGTTTTCTCAATTATCCCACCCTTTTTTTTATTAATTATCCGTAAATGTTTTCCTATTTTAGGATGACATTGACATAAATTTGACGTTTTTGCAAATTTGTAACGTCAAAATGACAGTATGTAGTACGAAAACGAAATGTAAATGTTAAAATTTTTTTTAGTATGCTTTGGAATCGGGAAGGATAAAAAATTTATAATTTTTTTTTATGGCGAATACGGGTGTGTTGCCTTTCGTTAGAGGAGTGGATTTCTCAGAAAATGCATTTGGTGTAAGATTATTATTTTGTATACATAGTAAATTTTGTATTTGCGTTTTTTTTTTTATCAAAAATGGTGTGTGAAATATTCAAAAGTGAAATAAATACTTTTCACATTACATTCACATTTTTACAAATGAATTAGTTGTCACTAGTTTAGTCAGTACATTTAAGACAATAAAATATTAAAAAAAACAAAACAATTGCAATATGTATGTGTATGTACATATTGTTTTCAAGTGTAATACTTAGATAGTCAAGTCAACTTTTTATTTAAATGATTCAGAATGAAAAATTATCTGAATTCCTTGATTTCGTACATATTTCACATTAATATGTATGTACATATGTGTACCCATATGTACTACAAATTTCATACTTTCTAAATAACCAATCTGAAGATTTAAAAGTTCACTCAAACAAAAATGAAGAAATGGATTCATCAGACATTTTGCGTATATATGTATATAATATACTAATTTTATACAAATATGTTAATTTTTAAGTTTAAAATGAGAATTTATTTTTATGTAGAACAATGAACTGAAACTGACCTGTTCTGTCAATGTTTTTTTTTTATTAAATGGCCTAGAAAACTATGAAAGTGAAATGAAATTTAATCAAATAAAAATGTGCGCAAAACTAGCAATTTTGATTATATTTATATTCCTGTAAAGCATAAATCAAATAACATTTCCATTATTTTTAGGGAGATCAATTTCCTCAGGCTGTGCGCCTTATGTCACGTGTCCAGTGGCTAAAATTAGATAAAACTTTTCTGAATGAAATACCAGAGGAATTGGGGCATTTACAGAAATTAGAACATTTGTCATTGAAAAACAATAAATTAGAAAAAGTATTTGGAGAGCTTACAGAATTAGATCGCCTTCGTTCATTGAACTTGCGACACAATAATATAAAGTCTTCTGGAGTTCCTCCAGAATTATTTCATTTAGACGAACTGACATCATTAGATTTGTCTTATAATCGTTTAAAAGAAGTGCCAGAAGGGCTTGAGAAAGCAAAGAGTTTACTAGTGTTAAATTTAAGTAATAATCAGATCGAAACAATACCGACATCTTTGTTTATACACTTAACAGATCTATTATTTCTGGATTTATCGGACAATAATTTGGGAACTTTACCACCACAAACTCGACGACTGGCAAACTTGCAAACTCTTATTTTAGCGAATAATCCTTTGGAGCATTTTCAACTAAGGCAGCTTCCATCTTTGCATAATTTAGAAGTGTTAAATATGAAAAACACGCAACGAACGCTTTTAAATTTTCCAACTACATTAGATAGTTTATCGAATTTATCAGAATTAGATCTTTCTGAAAATTCTTTGTCAAAAGTACCAGATTGCATTTATAATATCATAACCTTGAAGCGATTAAATTTGAGTGACAATGAAATAACTGAATTATCAGGAAATGTGGAGTTTTGGCAAAAGTTGGAGATTTTGAATTTATCTAGAAATCAATTGAAATCACTGCCTCCAGCTCTTTGTAAATTAGTTAATTTGCGGCATTTGTACTTAAATGATAATAATTTAGATTTTGAAGGAATACCTTCGGGAATTGGAAAACTTTTCAATTTGGTAATATTTTCTGCTTCTAATAATCAGTTAGAAATTCTTCCTGAAGGACTTTTTAGATGTGGGGGCTTAAAAAAATTAAATTTGAGCTCGAACAAATTAATCACTTTGCCTGAAGCTATATATCTACTCTCAGATCTTGAAGAATTAGATTTAAGCAACAATCCAAATTTGATTATGCCTCCTAAACCTAGGGAAGCTGGAAAAGGAGCTGGAATAGAATTTTATAACATTGATTTTTCATTGCAAACACAATTACAATTAGCTGGGGCGAATATACCATCTTCGATTCCAACAACAAGTGTTCCCAAATCAGATCCTATTGCAAGGAAAATACGTTTACGTCGGGGTCCAAGAAGTGAATCAAATCAAGATTCGGCGAAAATTTTGAAGGGGATGAAAGATGTAGCACACGACCGTCATATAAATGATGGTATTAATGATGAAATGTCTGAAACCATAGGAGAACGACCGGAAAGTTTAAAACCGAAAAGGTGGGATGAATCTTTGGAAAAGCCTCCATTGGATTATTCCAAAATATTTGATAAAGATGATGGACAGTTACCAGGTTTAACCGTTTGGGAAATCGAAAATTTTCTTCCAAATAAAGTTGATGAATGTACGCATGGTAAATTTTATGAAGGAGATTGTTATATCATATTAAAAACTGGTTTTGACGACATGGGATCATTAAATTGGGAAATTTTTTTCTTAATTGGAAGTCAAGCCACACTTGATAAGCGAGCTTGTGCTGCTATTCACGCTGTCAATCTAAGAAATTATTTGGGCGCACGTTGCAGAACTATAAGAGAAGAGCAAGGGGATGAGTCAGAAGAATTTTTAGCATTATTCGATACAGGAGTAAGAATTAAAAAAGACAATATATTTTAATTATATTTGCAGACAATATATTTTAATTATATATTATTTTAGATAACATACATTCAAGGTGGTCGTACAGCTACCGGCTTTTACACTTTTGAGGATTCTACATATGTGACACGTTTTTATCGGGTTCACTCTGATGGATCATCAGTGCACATGGAACCAGTCCCAATTTCATATGATTCACTCGACCCAAGATTTAATTTTATGTTAGACGCCGGCTTGAAAATATTTTTATGGTTTGGAAAAAAATCTAAAAATACACTAAAATCCAAGTCTCGCTTGATGGCTGAAAAAATAAATAAGAATGAAAGAAAAAATAAGGCTGAAATATTGCAAGAAAATCAAGGTTCAGAGAGCTCAGACTTTTGGGAAATGCTGAACGTTATTCCTGAAGAAGTTGCCAAGAAATTAATTCCAGAAACCGTTTCAGAAGATTTTGAACCTGTATCTCCGCGATTATATCAAGTACAACTGGGAATGGGATACTTGGAGTTACCTCAAGTTGAAATTCCCGAAAAAAAACTTATGCATACTCTGCTAAATAGTAAAAATGTGTATATACTCGACTGTTTCATTGACATGTTTGTTTGGTTTGGAAAGAAATCAACAAGACTGGTAAAGGCAGCAGCTATAAAACTGTCTCAGGAATTGTTTTCCATGATCAAGAGACCGGAACATGCCTTAGTAACTCGAGTACAAGAAGGAATTGAGACCCAAATTTTTAAATCTAAATTTATTGGCTGGGACGAAGTGATCGCTGTTGATTTTACAAGAACGGCAAATTCTGTAGCCAAGACCGGTGCAGATTTAACGAAATGGGCTAAGCAACAGGAGACACGGGCAGATTTGGCAGCTTTATTTTTACCAAGACAACAAGCCATGAATTTAGAAGAAGCGCTTCAACTAGAAGAAGATTGGAATTACGATTTAGAAGCAATGGAATCATTTGTATTAGAAGGGAAGAAATTTGTTCGTCTTCCTGAAGAAGAACTTGGCCATTTTTATACTGCAGAGTGTTACGTTTTCTTGTGCCGGTATTGTTTGCCAGTTAGTGATGAAGAGGGAGCTGACGATCCGAAATTTGCGGAAGATGAAATTCAATATGTTGTTTATTTCTGGCAAGGTCGTGATGCAGGTAATATGGGTTGGTTGACTTTCACTTTTACTTTACAAAAGAAATTCAAAACAATGTTCGGCGATGATATAGAAGTTATAAGAATTCACCAACAACAAGAAAACTTAAAATTTATGTCACATTTTAAAAGAAAATTTATAATTCATACGGGTAAAAGAAAAGATAGAACGGAAAATGAAAAGAAAGCAGTAGAATTTTATCACTTAAGATCGAACGGGGGAGCTTTGTGTACTCGTTTAATTCAAATTAACCCAGATGCTGCACATTTAAATTCAGCATTTAAGTAAGAAACTAACTGCAAACATATTTAAAACAAATTTTTTCTAAAATAATTTTTTAGTTATCTTTTATATGTTCCATTCGAAACAAATAACGAGTCACAATCTGGAATTGTTTATGTATGGATTGGTTCAAAGGCTTCTGCAGAAGAATCAAAATTAATTCAGGAAATAGCTGAACAAATGTTTAACAACCCGTGGAACACTTTGCAGGTAAGTTATAAACGAAACTCGGATTCGTCTTTTTTTTAACTTAATATTTTAGATTTTAAATGAAGGTGAAGAGCCCGAAAATTTCTTTTGGGTAGCTTTAGGAGGTCGCAAAGATTATGAAAAAGATGCAGATTTTATGAATTATACTCGATTATTTCGATGTTCCAACGAAAAAGGATATTTCACAGTTGCCGAAAAGTGTTCCGATTTTTGCCAGGATGATCTGGCTGATGATGACATTATGATTTTAGATAATGGCGAACAAGTATTTCTTTGGCTTGGATCCAAATGTAGCGAAGTGGAAATCAAGCTCGCTTATAAATCAGCACAAGTATTTTTAGATTTTTACAAAAAATCTTTTTTTTTTATCTGCTAAATTTTTTAGGTTTATATTCAACATTTGCGTATTAAGCAACCTGAAAAGCCGCGCAAATTATTCTTAACATTAAAGAATAAAGAATCCAAACGATTTATAAAATGTTTTCACGGATGGGGAATGCACAAAAAGAATCCAGATTAAAAATAATCTGATCCGTTATTAATCAGATATAATTTAAAAAGCAATATCCATATAACATAACAAATTAATTTTGTGATCGCGAACACAAAATTTCGTATAATAATATGTATGATAATCTATTTAAATATTTAAGCAAAACATATTGTATTATTTTTGTTTTATATAAAAATGCGATAATTGTAGAATAAGTGACTTTATTTAAAAAATTTCAAATATACGTTATTTAATTAATATGGCCCAATCATTTTATTTAAAACTTTATATAAACTTTTTTTGTGATATCTTATTTATTGCAAATTTTGATATTGTCCATATACATTATATAAATAAAAATTTTAATTAGTAGTTTATTTTGCTAATTTATCGCAATCGTTTATGTAATCTGTACCAATTTTTACTATAGCAGCTCCAGTTCCAACACCTAACACTGTTGCAAGTGCTGCATTATCATTAGGTACACCGCTCCTTATCATGGCCCATAAAAGTACAGAACCCAAACTAAAAAGTACACTTCCCAAAGCGCTACAAAAATATTTTATCCCATTAAATGATTTCAAATTATTTTTTATTCTACATGAAATTTTTTTTTATACCTATAAGCAACTTTTTTCTGAGAAGATGATGAACCAATGTGAGGTCTGTTATAAAGATATAATGTGGTGCCAAAGATTGTGCTCAAAAGTAATGCGTTGGTAACATCTTTTTTTGGAATCAATCTAAAATTATTTTGTGCGAGAAAAGCATATTCAATAGGTACTTTATAATGAAATTTTAGAATTCTTACTTTGCACCAAAACTGGGGTTTACGACATTGATACCTAACACACCATAGCTAACAAGACTGAAATAATTTACATCAGTTTTGTAATAACATTCTATTTGCTTTATTATTCAACAATAAAAGCCAAAATTTAAGAAATATTTTAATAAATATAAAGTATAGAAAATTTAAAATTTACCGAGTTCAATTCTAAAACACCTATGTATGAATGTTATGTATACCTTTTCTGGTATATTTATAAATTTCATCACATCATCATTCATCAACATAATATTATTATAGCATTGTATATTTATAGTTCCATGTAGGATTATGCATAAACATATATAGATATACATATTATATAAATCGACACTTTTGTATTTTCTACATAATATATTAAAATGCATATTGTATATGCATACAGCAATATATAAACATTGACAATTATATGCTATAAAAATAGATTATTGATTATAAATACACACCGGTTAAAAATCCTAGTTAAGTATCCATTTTGAGGAAGGAAAAGGGATTTTCGTGAATCAAATAATAAATCTTTCCAGCTATTACAAAATCTCTAATTTTGGCTTTTTTACACTATTGTATATAAATAATATAATTTAAATCTTACCTAGTTAATGGAATATAATGATGAAGTACGTTATCCCTTGTAAATGGTTTCAAGCCCATTTTTTCACATAATTTACACGATTTCTTTGGCTCAGTCATTTTATTTGATATAAAAATTTAAAGAATATTACTTAAACACGTTCTAACACAAAATGTCTAGCAAATTTTAATTATGTAAGAAAATTAAGACATCCAAACCAAAACTCTTTTCACATTTCATAAATTTTACTTATGTATGTATATATTTTGACAGACGTTTCGGTAAAAGCTTTTGAATGTTGTTTTTGTGTTACATCATTGTTTTTTTTTTAGTATTTGCTTTTTGTCAAAAACTAATTAAGTTGTGAATTTGACCAATAGTTTATTTTGCGCGCTGTGGTAGAAAAGAAGGTAATATAAAATAAAATAACCAAAGTTCGATGAAAATTTTTTTTTGATTCAAAAAAGCTGTGCTTTATTAAAATAGATTTATATTATTTAGAGTGGCAGTATAAAAAGCATATTAAGAGCAAAATTGAAAAACAACTCCTCGAGTTTTCATTTTTAGATTGTCCCAGAATAACTTTAAAATCAAAAGAAGCTCAATCTACTATAAAAATTAATATTTTTATGATGAGAAAGAAAAGCAAGTATTTTCGTTCTAGTAGTCTCATTTTTCACTTATTTTTCTAAAATGATTGTCAAAACTATCTGAGTTTCAGAACTCCAAATAAAATCCAAAACAAAAAGATAGGAAATCCCATTATAGAGAATTGTAAAGATAATTCGTTCAACAGAAAATATTTGGATGAAAAGATGCAACAGTAAACATCTGCAAAGATGCAGATTCTAGTTAATATGTAAGAGAAACAAAGAAGAAGAAAAAGGAATGAATAGCACAATAGACAATTACAACAAAAATATATATAGAATTACAACAACAATATAACCGCGTGTAAACACTGAAATAAGTTGTGTTTTTTGGTTAGTTGGTTGCGGTTTTCATGCAAAAACTTTTATAATATTTGTAATATGATATTTTTTTGTATGCTGTTTCCACAATATGTATTTTATAGTAATTTCGCTATAATGTAGATGCACCTTTGGCTAATATTTGTACATACGAGTGCCTTAAAAACTGCATTACAAGCAAAAACTAACTGTAATTATCTTTAAGTAGAGATTTTTACAATGTGAAATAAATTGCACATTATTGACATATATGTATCATAATAAATTATAATTGATGCAATTGACATACTCTTTTTATACACATATACATGCGTATGTATACTGTTATAACTTTAATTGTTAATAATAATTTTGTAAAGATATATTGTATACCTTCTTAACATATTTTAATAACTGTATAAAAATAATGTTAATTTTTCTTTTTCAATAATTCAGTTCGGAATTATAAGTTTATTTTTTTATTTTACATTACATGCATTTCCTCTATTTCCATTTATACATGCATAAGTTAGTTTAAGTAAAGTGTGATTGCTATTTTAGGTTTAGTTGAGTTTTGACTCGTTAGGTGTAAACAACATAATACAGTACAAATTTTTTATAAATTAAAATTTTTATATTTTAAATCAAAGTAATATAAAAAAATTGGAGTTTCATTAAAAATATGTTTAATATAAGAAACAACTGGTAATAATAATAATTTTTTATATTTATTAATAAGAAATGTTATACATATATATGTATATAATATTTAACAAGAAATGTTTACAAAATATTGTTAACAACATCAAGGAAATAAATTACTCTTATTTTTTAAAGTTAACAGAAAAAAAAACATAAAAGCTTTACTACATTAATACTCGTAAGTTTCGGTTGAAAGGTGTAAAAAAATGTAAACCTTAACTACACCAATTATTTGTAACGCATTGATTTTATTTTTGTTTTATTCGTAAATATTACAGTTACTGACCGTAATGCAAAAATAAACAAATACCTACAGAATTATATGTGTATGTAAGTATGCTCATGTAGTTACGTTAACATTAATACCATGGCTAATATAGAAAGTGAATGTTTAAAACATGTAGTTTTATACAAACATACATACATACTTACATACATACATATTTTGTTATTTAATTTGTTATTATATCACAACACTTCAATACTGGTGTATTATAAAACATAAAAATCGTCAATTGATTCACGTAATGAAAGTGAAATTTTTGTTACCTTTGATGAATTGAATATTACAAGTAAAAAAAAAATAAAAACAAAATACAAAAAAATATCAATAAATAATTTAATTTTTGCAAAAAAAAAATACGTATAACACATTTCTTTTAAACACGATTTTGAAAATATTTTTACAACTTCGATTTATTACGAATTAAATAAAAGTATACCACCTTAATTATAATTGTGTAACTAATGTTATACACAATTATATAATATTTGTGTTGAATTTTTAAACCAGTTTTGAAATTTAGCCTTAACCCAAACTCTTATATAGTTTACATATTTTTATTTATTGCTATACTTTCAAATTGTTTTTTCATATTTGTTTACATTTTATACATTTGTTATGTTATACTATGATACAATAACACTAAATCAATTCGAATTTCAAATATTTTAAATTAACTATTGTATTCTATTTCAGGTTAAAATATTTAAATTGGAACATCTTAATAGTTGTGGTAATTATATTATCGAATGGTTTAGAATTATGTAATGCAAAACCAACGCAAATTGATGAAAATAATGATACAACATTAGATTTAAAGTATGTAAAATTATTAATGTTATTTAATTATATGGTAATAGGTTTTTCATATATTCTTCCATTTTAATAATTGCAGTAGTGAAGATACATTAAGAAAATTAGAAGCATTAATTGAAACAGTAAGGAAAATTAGAGCAGATGGTGGTGCTACTATTGACATATTTGAAAGTTCAACAAATCAAGCAAGTGAAATTGTAACTGTTACACCAATACAAGAATCTTCCACGGCTGATGCAACAACAACACAAGCGCCTACAACAAGAATAACAACAACAACAACAGAAGAAACAAATCTTGCAGATTTAGAAAGCTCATTTGGTGGCTTAGGAAATGTTAGAGAAATTAAAAAACCAGAAAAAGTTAATGGTTTTTATTTCTTGGCCGACGTTAATTCATTTTTAGAAGTAGGTGATGGTGATGAAAAAGTTGTTATTAGATATAATCCAAAAATTGGAAATCCAAGTAATTTTATACCAATACCAGGAACAAGAACTTAAAAAATTATTTATATACCATCATGTAATTTAGTTAATATACAATATATTGTATATAAATTTGTACATTTTGTATATAATTTAAATTATAATATTTTAATAAGGTTTATACGGACTAATTATATATGTAAAATTCCCAATTTTGTGTTTGTAAATTAAATTATTTTACAGGAAATTTTTAATTTAAATTTATTTTATTAATGTTAAAATGTGTATTTTAATGCAATAATTGCTTATACATATAAAATTATTAGTTAATTAAATCTTTAAATTTTTTGTTTATTTCACGGAAGATTTGTAAATATTAGAACTTAAAATAAATAATTTTTATAAAAAAGTAATTCATTTTTGTAATTATTTTATGTTTGATTTAATATACTTTATTTAGTTTTAAAATAACGTTTTAAGGCCACCCTCATCGTTTTAAGACAACTTTATGAAAAAATATATAAAATAAATACTGTATTACTGCAATTTTCGAGCCCGGGGTTTGTAAAAAGGCTATTTAAAGCCAATTTACTTTATTACTTTTTTAAATTACTTCAATATTGTATGAAAATATGAAATTTAATTATTAAAATAATTAGCTTTATTATAGAATTTGATTTAAAAAATTTTACCATATTATTTATAATAATAAATAAGTTAAAAGCAATCAAATGTAAAATGTACAAACATATAAATTTGTTTATCTACTGTAAATCTTCCTGATAGCATCTTCCTGATAACATTGTTCCATATCTACTGTGTAAAGATATATCCTTATATGTGCTGTTTAGTTTTTTACTCTTTGTGAGCCTTTTTACATTTAAAATACATTAACATTTATTATAAACGTATACAATACAATAAATTTTACAATTACGAAAGAATAAAATATTATTTTTAAATTTTGTCTTTAAAATAACTAGCTAACCACATTTTGACATAATATTTTACGGAAATGTCAATACAATATTACGTATAGAATTGGTACATACCATTTTGTCATTTTCTTATATTATTAAATCACATCATAAAAACTTTCTATTGCATGCGCAAAACATCCTATACTACTATATAACAATTACAAGAAAATATAAAATTAAAAAAAAGAGAGTTTTTTGTGCAAAATTTATTTTTTTATCTTCATATTTTTCTTTAAAAAAAAATCTATTTTATTTTTTAATAAAAAATTTTTTTTATTAAAGATGGCAAATATAAATACAAATAAATAAAAAAATTAGATATTAAAAATTTATTAATAAAATCAAATTAATTTATTTGATATACATGATATAATTATAACAAGTATAAAAGAAATCTATTAAAATATACGTTAAATTTTTATTAAATAAAAAAGTTTAAGCTAATTTTTTATATAAATATATTAAATAAAAATAATAATTTATATTTTATTTAAAATGAAAAACAATAAAATTTATAAAATATATTTTTTTAATAAAAATGAATTTAAATATTTGAATTAATAAATTAAGGCAAAAGAGAAAAAAAAATTATTGAAAGAAAGAAAAAGAAAAGGAAAAAAAAATACAAATTTTCTTATATCTTGTGATGCTGTAAATTGATTGTCAGAAGGAAGGATACGTATTGCAAGGATTATAAGAATATATAGATGAGAACTTTTTTTTTCTTTTCTTGAAAATAAATATTTTTTTTTTAAAGAATTTTATATTGATTTCAAAATATTAATTTAATTAATAAATGAAAACTATAATTATATTTTTTAAAAAAAAATTTCATTTTAATAAAACTATCATAAATATTATAGTAAATCAACAAGAAGAAAAAATTCTTAAAACCAAAATGAGATGAGTCCTATAAGTATGCAATTTAATTTTAATGTGCTCAGTTTAATTAGAATTTATTATAATAATAACTTTAAAAAATGTGTAGTTTAATAATGTAGTAAAACAAATTTATTTAAATAAAAAATATTATTATTATTTATATATATATATATTAGTGATTATGATTATTAGGAATTTAGAAAACAAAAATACATATATTAGGAAATTATAGTTTATAAAAAAAAAAATTGAAAAAAGAAAATATGCAAACTAGAACAACGCTCAATACATCTCAAACATCTTCTTCAGCAACATCTAAGGTAAGCTTTATACATTATTAGAGATTTATGGAAAATGAATTAATTTAATAATTTAATTATATTATTTATTAGGTAATTCTAATTTTTTTTCTTCATTTCAATACCGTATACAAGTATTGAAATGTACAATATTGTATAATAATATTATATAAAAGTGTATTCATAAGATGTGTGTATTTTCTTAAATTTATATATATATAACATTATGTAAACGCATGTTTAATATATGTACGTATACATTAAAGGTATATTATGATAACAATTGTATATATATAAACAATGATAGAAAATATAACACTTACTATAATTACACTACACATTTATGCAAATACAAACATATATTATTGAAATATATATATATATATATATATATACTATATATATATATATATATAATTTAATTGTAAATCATAATACGTATTTATATATATACCTACGAATATAACAGTTCTGCAATCATTTTAAAATTTCATTCAAAAAAGAATATTATGTATGTTATAAACTTAGGTTTGCTGAAGGGAGTGTATAAAATGTATTCAATACATAATTCAAATTCATTCAGTTATATACATACATATATATGTATTACAAGATATTAATAATAAAAAAAAAAACAATAAATTTGTATGTATTTATGTAAATTAAATATAAATATGACCTATATACATAATTATATAAATATATATGTATATATAAAGGAAAATTATTGTTATGATAAAGAAAGGATATTTGGTACAAAAATATCTACATAATTATTATGTTTGTATAAATTTATCATTCTATATTTTAAATGATATAAGGTATATAGAATTTTAAAGATGACTTGAAGAAATACAAGGATAAATTTAATCAAGTGTATTTGATATTTTCATATATACTTGAGTATGTGCATCATAATATAATGCACATACTCGAGTGTACGTATATAGTAGTTATCTCGATTTAAAATATTTTCCGTAATTTCTTTTGGGTAGACCTGCTATATTGAATTATTTAATTAAAAATTAAATTTATTTACATGATTGTTGAATATAATTACTTATAAATTATAAAAATTGTGAATTAATTTGCATTTTATTAAAATTGTCATTTAAACGTCACCATTGTGTTTATTATTGAAAATAATTTATTCGTTTCAATTTCAAAATTAATAAATAAAACTTATGTAAATTTAAACTTATATACTTATAAAAAAATTTTATATATTTAAATACTTTTTATTTATTAAAAATTCTTTTTAAAAATTACAGGTTGTCGAATTGAATGGCTATGTTATTATATTGGTACAAGGTAAAGATGGTAAAATTAAATTGTATGGATCACCAGCTGAGAAGGATAATCTTGAAGTTGCCGATGAAATTTTGGATATTAATGAAAGAAAATTAGAAGATTTACCAAGAGCGGAAGTAATAAGACACATACATGAGGTAATTTAATTTAATTTTAATTAAATTTAATTTTCATCAGACAATTTAAAAAAATTTGTAATTTTTATTTTTACTTCTAAAAACATAGTGTATACAATCATGTATGATAAAATTACGAGTAAAACGAAGAAGTGATTCCAAATTAGGTATACTTAAAATTTGGAAAATTTCATTCAATTATAATATTATTTTTATTTGTTTATTTAAGCTGGTGAACTTGGTAGTGTAGTTCAAGATGCTTTCGTTATTGCAGTTGAACAACAAGCTCGCGAAAGATTACAACGATTATCAGCTTTAAAACGTGTAACGCCAGTTGATATGACTTTACTTTCTATTAAAGTAAATATATATTCCTGATTAAATTTGTTTCAATTTTGAAATTTATATAAAAACGAAACAATTATTTATTTTAGTTAAACCAACAAAGTTCTGGAGAAGCAGGCGCAAAAGCTTCTAGTGATTTTAGTTTCTTAAAAGATGTATCACCAATTTATATGGCATCATTCGAACGCACACATTTAAATGCTAGTAATCCAACGGTAGCTATAGCGCCAGCAGTATCATTAGCAGCAACAACATTATCTTCAGCTACAATTCCAACTGAAGAGGCTAAAGTGCCTGATCAACAACCAAAGACATTAACAGTTGAACCACAACAACAGCAACTACAACAACAGCAACAGCAGCAACAACAACCAACAAATACAGAAACAATATCAACGTCAGCGTTAACACAAAATGATCATAATGATAACAATAATCAAGTTGCAAATAAAAATAATTGTAAAACCGAAATTCCAACTATAGAAAAAACTACTTTGAATACACAAATTAGTATTCAACAACCACAACAAAATAATTTTCAAACATCATCTTCATCGTCATTATCTAGAAAAAATTCAAGTAATTTACCACAACCACAAGTAAATAATTTACAAAAACCTTGTATTAAACAACAGCAACATCAAGAAATTGATAGCGTATCAAATTTTCAAAATAATTTTAAAGATGAAACAACGACAATTAGATCATGTAGTAGTACAAAGAGTTCTTTCAAAGAAAACCAATCTATTCCAATTGATATAAGTGCAACCGATTCTTCTATACATTTAGCTCAACAAAGAAGTTTTAAAAGATCTAGTAGTAATGAACCAAATGGTATACAAAAGAAACCATTGCAATATAATCTTTCACAGCCCCACCAACCTCCATCTTCAATTGCAAACACTTCTATACAACAACAACAACAGCAAAACAATAAAATCGCTGTAGGCAATAAAGACTATAGTACTTTGGTTTACAATTCAACGGCAATTTTGCACAATTTAAATAATATTCGTTTGAGTAATGGCAGTACCAGTAATGGTAAACCTGATAAATGTTATAATTGCATGCAAAACAATATATACAATAATACTATTAATGCGACTACGGAATTTCAACCTGATAAAAATTTAAATTTAGAATGCAGCTGTGATTTGATGCTAAATAACAGACAACAGTCAGGGAATTTAGAAGTAAGATATCTCCATTATTAGTATCCCTATTATTAATAAGATATTTTTAATATTTAACAATATTTATTTTATGATTTCAAAAAATTTAGAGTAACATAGATGGTAAAATGATTATGGATCATCAAAGTGTTATTCCTAAATATCAACCGTACAGGTAATAGTTCCTGCTATATTTTTTTGATTCAAATGTTTGCCTTCATTTTTTACTATCTTTTAACTTTATCTTTTAATTTTTCGTTGCAGAATGAAAATGGGCCCTACTTCAAATTTAGTTCTTCCTACTGATGATAATTTATATGCTAATGAAAGTGGTAAATTTTCCTTTGCTTGGTAAATTTTCAAAATGTTCATTGAGTTTTTTTTTAAGGATTTGTCAAATTGACTGCTGCTGCTGAGGTATTAAAGAGTCAATTGAATAAGAGAAGATTAACAGTGTTATCCGATCGAGTGTTTACAGCTTTAAGTTTACTATCAGAGCCTTCGATATCAGAAGCCTTTCATGTAAGAAAAATTGTGTCCGAAATACTTAGTCAACAGATTAATGGTTTGCCAGTAACAACAAAATCCCAAACATTGTCAAAAGATGTTACTGAACAGTTGAGTCAATGTAACTCAATGCATGCTATCGAATTAGCAAATTTACTTACAAGCCACGAAATGGAAGGCCTATTTTTAGCGCATGACAAAATTGCTGAGACAGCCAATTTAGTTATATGTGAAATTGATTTGGAAAAACAGCATCAATTGCAACAACATCAACAACAGCAACAACAACACCAACAATTAGTTTTTAATAAAAATTTAAAAGAAGCTTTAAATAAGCAACAAAATCAAAATTATCCAATAGTTCACTCAATGCACTCAAATTCGATTTCGAAACCCTGCGTTATTAATAACAACAATACCCAATTGAATTTGCAACAACAACCTGAACAAGGTCTATGTCAAAGCGGATTACAAGACCCAAATAAACAATACACCAACGACACATCGCAAAATTTAGTAAGATTGATACATATAGAGAAATCATCAGAACCTTTAGGAGCAACAGTTCGAAACGAAGGTGATGCCGTTGTTATCGCAAGAATAGTTCGAGGTGGTGTTGCCGAAAAATCTGGTCTTTTACATGAAGGTGATGAAATTTTAGAGGTTAACAATATTAAAATGCGTCGTAAAACTGTTAATGAAGTATGTAACTTACTTGGTGCTATGACGGGAACATTAACATTTTTAATTATACCGGCGAGCTCATCGTTGAAAGGTGGTGGTCGTGAATCAACTATTTTACATGTAAGAGCACATTTCGATTATGATCCTGGAGATGACTTATACATACCATGTCGTGAATTGGGTCTAAGTTTTCAAAAGGGTGATGTTTTACATGTTATTTCACGTGACGATCCAAATTGGTGGCAAGCATATCGCGAAGGTGAAGAAGATCAAAATTTGGCTGGTTTGATTCCGAGTCAATCATTTCAACATCAACGTGAAACTATGAAATTAGCGATAGCAGAGGAGGCAGCAATGGCACGATTAAAAGCCAAAGACAATAATAAAGGTAGTGGAATGTTATGCGCACGAAAAGGAAAAAAACGTAGAAGAAAAGGAACAGAAAGCGGGTATGTTAAGCATGAAGATGGCAATACATATATAAAAATTTAATAAATAATGAATTGTCGTTATTTTAGCCATTCGTTCCGATCTGTTGCCACATCTGATGAATCAGATGAAGAAGAAATTTTAACTTATGAAGAAGTTGCTCTTTATTATCCTAACAGTTTAAAAAAACGTCCCATCGTATTAATTGGCCCACCAAATATTGGAAGGCATGAATTAAGACAAAGATTAATGTCAGACTCAGAACGTTTTGCAGCAGCAATCCCACGTATAATTATTACATTAATTTTATAATTATTCAAATACTAAATATAAATTTATTTTCAATTTAATTATATAGACACATCAAGAATGCGTAGGGATGGTGAAGTTCCTGGACAGGATTATCATTTCATAACAAAAGAACAATTTGAAGCAGATATTTTAGCCCGTCGGTTCGTTGAGCATGGAGAATATGAAAAAGCATATTATGGTACATTATACATATATATAATTTAATAAATAAAATAAAATCTGAAATAAATTTTAATTGAAATTTAGGTACATCTTTGGAAGCGATACGAAAAGTTATCACTGATGGTAAAATATGTGTTTTGAATCTTCATCCACAAAGTTTAAAACTACTGAGGGCTTCCGATATTAAACCGTATGTAGTTTTTGTTGCACCACCAAGTTTAGAAAAATTACGTCAAAAAACACTTGGAATGGGTGATTCTGGAAAAGTAATTCTTTTATTTTATATTTTATTTATAACATTTTGTTTTATATGATCTATATCTCCGTATTTTTTATATTTTATGAATTAAACAAAAACAAAGGAGGAAAATTTAAAAGATATAATAGCAACTGCTCGTGACATGGAAGCTCGTTGGGGACATTTATTCGATATGATTATCATAAATAATGATACAGAAAAAGCCTATCATCAGTTATTAGCTGAAATAAATTCATTAGAACGTGAACCACAATGGGTACCAGCTATATGGTTAGTTAACGAGAGAGCCGATTTATAACTCATAATTATATTTATATTATTATTATTATTTTTGAGAAAATATTTTAAAGGAATAATTATTAAAATAGCTATGATGATGTATATCTGATATTTAAATCTACTATATGAATGAAATATAATTAAATTATAAATAAAAAATAAAACTCATAAAATATTTAAATTTCAAATGGTAAAATCAAATCATGAACTCAAAATACAACAATGACGTAGGTAGTTGAAAACAAAAAAACAAAAAAATAAAAAAACACTTTTAGCAATAACTTAATTTCTATATAGAAAAAGAGAAAAATTAACTAAATAAAAGAAAAACAAAGAGTAAAAATACTGTTATATTGATTTAGTTTTAATTAAAATTAATTAAAACTTATTTAAAATAAAAAAAAAAGATAATACCAAATAAAAAGAAATTCTAATAAATAAATAAGAAAAAAAAATAAAGAAAAACGACAAAATTAACTAAAAAATAAATCTCGTTAATCTTTTGTTTTATTTTCCAATAGAAAAGAGTAAAATTTGAATAAATTTAGGATGAAATTAACAATGACTCTGGTGAATAATGTTAAAATAATTATTATATTATGGATTTATGCCTGTTCTTGGTTTGGGAATAATATACAATATAAAATAAAAATCAATTTTATTTATTTTATTCAGATCTATTTGGATTTTCCCTTTTGATAAAATTTTCTTATTTAAGAAAAATACCATGTAGACTGTCAGAATGTAAGAGAACCTAGTTAAATAAATATTTTCAAAATTTAAACAAAGCTTGCTCTTATATAGAATTACCACAAATCAAATATTAGACCTATAATAATATTTAATGATCCCAGTATAATAGCCATGTTCTTAAAATCTGTTATAAATTCTCGAGATCACATGTTTTACCTTTTCTCATTTGATAAAATTTTTTCCTAATGTTATAAAATAATTCAATATTAATTTAAACTTCTTGATAGAAAAAAATTTATTTTTTTTTTGTTTGATGATCACCTTAGAGAAATTTTCCTATATTAATAAAATTTGATACAATTTCAAAAATTCAATAGACTAAAACTGTAATTGCCTAAATTTAAATTGGATATTTTAAGAAAATGAATTAAAATGATTTAACATACTGAATACATATAAATTTTTTTCTATTTTTACAAATCTTAAATAATTATTTAAGAATTTTCAAATAATTCTAAAATATAAAAATTCTATTATCTTAAATGCACACCATAATACCTAAATACCTTATCTACAACAATATTGTCATAATAAAATTCGTTTGTTATATTGACCTATATATTATAACCTATATGAATTATTTCATAATATATAGAAAATAATATTTTTCTTATATATATTCATTTAAAATAATTATTAAATATTGTATATAATTACATATATAAATTCTTTCATCATTTATTATTTATCATTCATTTTCATTAATGAATTTCCATTAAATTTAAATTATTTTCTCATTTTTATAAATCCTATTTGAAATTATTTCATATTATTATGATATTAATTTCGAATAGGACTAAAAAGAAACCACTCTGTTATATGTAATTAAGGGCCCAATTTTCGAGAAATAAGGAAAAAAATAAAGCTTTTCAACTCTTGAATAATTTTTATCTAAACTTTTATATGTCATACCATTTATAAGATATTTATGTACTAAAACAAATTGAAAATATATATACATATATATATTTTAAAAGAAATTCAACACAAAATGTTAACATTTACTGCATTAACCTAAATGGTCAATATTTTTGTATATATTAACCTCTTTTTTTTTTTTAACCTATCAAGAAAAAAATTAAGAATAAAAAATAGTAATGAAATTCTTCCGAATTTTCCCCCTTTAATTTTCACATGTACAATACATCATATTATATTTTCTGTTTTATTTTTTTTTTACCTTTTACAATCATTAATTTATCGTTTTCATTAAAATTCATGGTGTATAAAATAATACTTGAATATATATATAGTTTCAATGTTATTAAATAGAAAATAATTTCCTTGATGAAAAATCAAATTCAAATGATAAAATAGAAAAACTTTTGTTTTGTTATACCAATATGTAATAAAATATTCAAAAAACATAAAGGGGGATGAAATAATTATTAAATTCATATTGTATTTTCTTTTGCATATATTTCGGAGTTTTTATACCTTCCCATATAATATGTACAGAATATAGCTATGTATTATGCTATTTACAAGGAAATTTGAAAATATGTAGAAAATTTATGAAATTATCATGAAAACTTTTTAGTTTTATTCTTGTTTTTGTTTTCTTTAGTTTTTCTATTACAAAAAATGTGTGTGTTGTAATCATTAATTTATACACCACGTTATAAAATACATGCGCATACTTTTTTAGTTTTTATGTTTTGTCCTATGTAAGTTGAATTTTGGATTATGCTTTGATTTTTTTTTTTTTAAATAGATTGTCTTATATTGTGTTTACAATTCAAGTTTATAATAGGGATATTGTTTAAAATTTTATTTAAGTTTGAAATGTTTTTTTTTTTGTTCCAGATTTATTAGTAACAATATGAAATTATTTAATGCAGAATGAATCTTAAGTATATCATCTTGTTAATATTTGATAAACTAAAGTGCTGAATAAAATTTAATTTTAATCTGTGTGTTTCAAGCTTAATTTATTATGTATATTTATAATTTTTTTGTATATTGCTTTTAATAATAGATTAATTTACAAGATTAAAGTGATTTTTAAAATTTAAATTTGAGTTAAATTACATTACATTAATATAATTATTTAGTTAAGGATGTAATTTACTGAACTAAACTTAAACATAAATTTCTAAACTAAAACAAATTGGATGTATCAGCTGTGAACAATGAATAGATTATATCAGCTCATATTAAAATTCAAATTTATAGATTCTTTATAGTTTAAAAAATACAAAATAAAAGAAGTAAAATTTTAAATATCTTTTATTGAATTAATAAGGGAAATGAAAAATTTACTTAATTTTAAATTGCAATAGAATTGATCATTCATTCTTTTTTGTTAGAATTACATTTTGTGTACCACATAATATTTTTTATTAAATTTTAATATATGAAAACCCAAATCAGAGGTTTAATTATGGCATTTTAACATAAACTATAATAGCATGATTTTGTATTTCATGATAGTTTCTATAATAGCATGATTTCATATTTCCTTCTTCCACCCAACTTGATTTTGTTACTCTCAAATTATATTTGCTATTTTTCAATTCAACTTTCTCATTTTTGTCTGTTAAAATACCAGTAAATATTTTAAAATATTGGTCGAATTTCGAATCTTCTGTAATAAAACTGTGACTAAATGGGGTGAGAAAAATTTCGTATATTTATGAATAACGTACATTTTCTTCTCACTCGGCGATTAAAAAGGAAGAAATACAAAATTATTACGGCCTAAAATTTATTTAAAATAATTTTCGTCATTCAATGAAAAATTGCAATCGTATAAGATCGAATAAGAAGATTGAAATTTCAAGTGAAATTTTAAAAGTATTAAATAAATAAATAAAATTTTTTGAATTCAAGAATGCAATTGTATAATTTTTAATGTATAAGAAATGGAAAAATAATTATTCAACTCTTATATATATTACAATCCCCTTAAAATGCATAAATAGAATTCAAAATTCTTGTTTACAATTATACCGTTAATTACAATATAGTTTTTTCTATTATTTATTTATTTATACTTTAAATACATTTATGTTTATCCTGTATAATAATAAGTTACATTCATTATTATATGCATTACTTTCATATATTATGTATGCTTTTTGTTTTTGTGTTATACAAAAATATACATATAAAACAGTTTTTTTTTAAACTTTCAAATTTTTTGATAGATTTTATAATATGTTAATACTACAATTTGACAGATTGAAAAAAAAAAGCTTAAAATAAACTTTTTTACAAAAAAAAAAAAAAAAAATTCTTTGCGCGGGTTTACATCCTACAGTTGCGCAGCGTAACTTTTTTTTTGTTTTTTTTTTTCCTTACTGCCCTTATATACCAATTTTGTAAGCTTTTATTTTTTCATAGTATATGTCAATATAGTCGAAACTTGTACTGAAAAAATTATATATTAGCAAAAAAAAAAAGTTATAAAAAAATTTTATTAAGTAAAAAATAATTTTATACAATTGTAAAAATTTAATAAAAATTCAAATATATTTAGTAAAATAAAATTTATATATTATGTTTGTTATTTAGTGAATATATTTAAAAATTATAATAATGTACTGTAAATAATAAAAAGAAAAGAAGAGAAAAATAGAAATTTGTATAGTCAAAGAAAAAAAAAGTATTTAATATTCATCGATATATATATGTATATGTGTAGTATATGTACATATTATAAGAAAAAAAAAAGGTTCAATTTTTTTTTAAGTTCATTTTTTTTTCTCCTTAAAAAATGAAATAGGAAAATTTTATCTAATTTTCCAAAATCAAAATACAAATTATACAAATTATTCAAAAATAAATAAACTACTAATTTTTTTTTCTTTTGGTTTTTTAAAAAAAAAAAACAATTTTTCTTTTTATCAAAAGTTCTTCGAAAAAAATTTCAACTTTAATTTTTTTTTCAAAACTTCAAAACCAAAAATGTATATAGTATATAGCATATTATTATAGTATAGGAGAAACAAATATTTCGAAATTAATTTAAAATATATTGCAAAATATAAAATATAGCATTAAAAAAAAATAATAGAATTAACAAATATATAAATTATATATGTATATAAATATATAACTATATATGATACCGAAAGATTTCAAATTTACAATAAAAGGAAAAATAGCAGAATTATTAAGTATTCAAAAAAATAAAGGAGAAAATTTCATAAATTGCAATATGAAAACGACATCGTCTATGGTTATTTGACGTACACGATATCGGAGTATAAAATAACGAAAAAGAAGAAGAAGAAAAAGAAGAAAAAAAATATAATACGTGAAATATAATATAATTATAATCCAATAAAATAGCAAAAATCCAAATAGCAAACAAATAAAATAAAAAAAAAATAACAAATTTAAAAAATTTTAATCATAAAAAACACATAAAAAATATAAAAAAAATGGTTGAAAATCTTCAATAACAAAAAATTGTATGAACATTTTTTTTTTTTTTTTTTGAATTCATACATACTAACATATACATCCCTCTACACATCTATACATACAAACACACACTTACATCTAGAATAATAAAATTTAATTAATTTAAAGCAAAAAATTAAAAAAAAAATATTACATGTATATATATATATATATATATATATACATAAATAGATAAAATATTTAATTTAAAATAATAAAAAAGTATAGATAAATTATTTAAAAAGAAAAGAAAAATAATAAATATTAAAAAATCTAAAAAAAAAAATTAATAAAAATTCAAAATTTAATTTTTTTTTCTTAAATTTAAATTAAGAATATTTTATTATTATTATCCTTAATTATATGTATATATATATACTTAATAATTTTTGCAATAACTAATAACGAAGTTGTACATAGAAAAGCAGTAGATATCTTATATGACGGTAAGTGATTTTTTAAGATTTTATAGTTTTTAAACACGAGTATAATAACTACATTAAGACCCATTTTATGGAAAGTGAAATTTGAAACAAAATGTTAATTAAATAATACGGTAAATTGAAGAAATAAAATTAAATTATTATCCTTAAACCGTATTATTTTTAACAACATTTCAAACAATTCATTAATATGTAAGAACAACCGTACAAATTAAATTCTAAAATATTGCATACTTATAGGATTGTTAATTAATTCTCAATTATTCTACTTTAACTGATGGCTATTTTTTATTTATAAAAATTATTATTCTAATCTTAAAAACAATTAAAATACATAATTATAGTAAAAAAAAAGAAAAGCAGTTATTATAAAAAGTAGAAGTATAATATAACAATATACCGTATACCGGAATAAGGAAAAATTTAAATTTAATTATATTGTCCTACAATAATAAAATGTATGTAATTTTGGTTTATTAAGAAAACATATTATAATCCTAGGTGGTATGTACAATGTTATCCTATTAAACAAAAAAAAGAAAGGAAAAATTGTGTTATATGCAGTCTTTCAATTTTTTTAAATTTATTCACAATGCGTGAAATAAAATATTTCAATTCATTTTCCCTCTTTTCCTCTTTTATATATTATATATATATATATATATATATATATATAGCAAATATATATGTATATATGCATATATATATTTTTTTATTGTTTTATTCAATATTTAGAGCGCGAGGTTATACAAAATGAATATAAGAAATAATGTATGTAATTTTACTTACTCAGAATATATTCTGAGTAAGTACATATGTGTGTATATACATAATATATTCGAGCATAAAATTTATTTAATGCATATATGAATTTAATATGCGAATATATCTGCATATATACATATATATAACATATATATATATATATAACATATATATATATATATATAAAAAACTTGGATTGTGTACTAGGTGTTTGTCCAAAAATATTTCACATATCCTTTTAAAAAAAAAACGAGAATAATAATAAAAAGAAAAAAAAAACAATTTAAAAAATAATAAGAAAAAGAAGAATAAAAATAAAATAAAAATTAGGTCTTTAAACTTTAAAGGGTAATTTTTATGATTCAGCAATGTGAAGAAAAAAAAAAATCACATTTTTTTTCTATTCTCCTTTTTTTTTTCTTTAATTTTTTTTTATATTTGATTTTTCTTTCAATTCATTGTTGACTCTTTTACATTTTAGAATTGCAATATTTGTGAATGTGAATAACAATATTTTTTTTTTTAGTAATTTTTTAAAAATAAAATATAGAAAAAGTGGGATTTCTTTTAATAATATAGATTTTGTTGAAATTAAATAATAAATTTTAAATTTTACATTTTTTCTATTTTCAAAATATAGATTTCGAGAAAGAAATAAATACGAAAAGAAAAATGCAGTTTGGAAAATTGCAGTTTTCCAATGATTTTCATTTGGGCTTTGTTGTATTTTTTTTTCTTTAATAATAGGCCATAGTAATGTTTGATCTATTTTAAAGTGAATATATTACAGTATTGCATACATAACGTATTATATTCTATTAAATTTAAAATTATTAAATAAACATTTTTGAAATTAAGTAATAGAAAGATATCGAGAGTGTTATTATGCATAATATTCATAAAGGTCTGTAATTAATTTGTAAATGAAAAAAAAAAATTTTAAACAGTTTAATTTTCCTAACAGTTGCAGTACTAAAAAGCACATGTTTCGTTTTGTATTAAATAAATGTGGTCAATTTTATTTGACACATTCCTCTCATATATATGTAAAATAATTAATTTTAAAATGAATAAAAAAAGAGAAAAATATTAAGGCCTAATTTAATTAAATAATTTCTAACAAAAAATAAAAATTAATAATATATTCAAATTTGATTAGCTAAAACCGAAAGACAGAGCTGATATAAGCAAATCTGTGCTAGCCGGTGTGAAATAATAGGACTTAAATGGGAACTGTCAAATAAATTTATATTGATAATAGTTTTACATATTATGGTAGCTTTGTTTATAGAATTGTTCGCGTTAAGTTTGACCACCATAGCCTAGAATTTTCTAATTTTTGATTAAATTGTTATAGAAATTATCACAAGAATAGTTATCATAATAATTTAAAAAATTTCAAAAAAATTATTTTAGAACGGTGCCCAGACAATAGTACACTCCTTTGATGCAAAATTCTAGTTAGTAAAGTGATAAAGATTAACTATATTTCAATTATTTAATTAACTATAGATCTCAATGTTCATATGAGCCAATTTTCAACACTATGTACTTAATGAGTGACAAATATAGTAATTATTTATAGTATGTACTTAATGAGTGACAAATATTGGTAAACATGTCTGTATATCAAAGATCGTTTTTTCTTTGCATTAAAATTTACGAAATTGATCCGTACGGGCAAAAATAACATCTAAAAAGTTGATAAGCAACTATAAGATTTTAAGAAACAATTACTCTTATGTAGCTAATATATAAAAATATATATATATATATACAGCCTGTTATTTTATTTCAAATTTCATAAATTTCTATAATAAATATTTTTATCTAAATATAATATATAAATAAATAAATATTATAAATTAAATAAATATAATTTAATTATAAATAAATAAATATTATAAATTAAATAAATATAATTTAATTATAAATAAATAAATATTATAAATTAAATAAATATAATAAATATATAAATAAATTTTTTATTTTTTTTATTATTTGAATTTATTTTTAAGGTTAACAACATATTAAAATTAAGTTCATTCGCGATTGGAACGAATAAATAACGTTACACTGCAATGGGTGGCCCCAAAAAACAAGAGGCACCACCTGGTAGTGGGCCGACATCACTTTTTATACTTACAGAAACAAATATTATTAGAAGATATACAAAATTTATAATAGAATGGCCACCTTTTGAATATGCCGTATTGTTGACAATCATAGCAAATTGTGTCGTTTTAGCTTTAGAAGAACATCTTCCTGCTGGTGATAAAACAGTTTTAGCGCAGAAACTGGTAAAAATTTTTTATTAATAATTTTGAAAAATAAAATTGCTTAATATTTATTTTCATAAATTTTTTTATAATTTAAGGAAAAAACGGAAGTCTATTTTCTAGCAATTTTCTGTGTAGAAGCGTCGCTAAAAATATTAGCCTTAGGATTTGTCCTACATAAACACTCGTATCTGCGCAATATATGGAATATAATGGATTTTTTTGTTGTTGTGACTGGGTAATTATTACATATACATACGTATATATATAAATTTTTAAATATTTAGAAAAGAAAAAAAAAAAATAAAATCTTGAATGTTAATTAAAATTTTTATACTTGCAATCACAATTTATATTATTTTTTCTCTTTTTTATTTTTTTAAATTTTTTATGATTTTTTCAAAAAAAAAAATAAGTAAAATTTATTTAAATCTTTTATTTTAATAATTAAATTTATTTTTGCATATTAATATCTTAATGCAAAAAAAAAAAATTTATCCAAATTTTTTTTTATTTTATATTTAAAAAAAAAAAATCTAAAGTTCAATGACAGTGTTCGCTGAGGCTAAAGTTGACGTTGATCTTCGAATGTTAAGATCATTTCGTGTTCTTAGACCACTTAAACTAGTTTCAAAAATTCCAAGTAAGACTGTCAAAATGTATAAATAAAAAGAGTGTCTTTAAAAATCTTAGGTTTCTATATAAATTAAAAACTCTCAAATTATGTATGTGTTAAAAAATATTATAAATATATATTATAGATATTAGAGATTTTGAGAGATTTTTAATTTTATATATATATATATACATAAATATTCATAAATAATTTATTTCAAATTAGAAATTGAAATTATTTAGAAATATATTATATACATATTACTTTATATATTAATGTCAAAATTAGAATAAGCTATTATAGATAGCTATATTTACCATATAAACATTTTATAATAGTAGATGTACGCTAAAAGATTTTAAATCTTTTCTTTCCACAAACAAATTCGAAAAAAATTTTGTCAGAAATTTATTTTACATAAATTTCAACCGAAACTTCAAGGGAATGACCAAATTAAATTCTAGAAATTTTTAATGACGAATCAATTTTAAAGTTATATTCATTAGTGCTACAAATAAAGAAAGATGTATAGCATTTATAAATGTAGTTTAAAACTATATATAAATCATTAATATTTTAATGGTATAACTTCAATTTATATAGAAAAATATAAAGAAAGAAAAACTTATATACATAGTTAGATTTTCCTATGGTTTTGATTTTTATTTTGATTCTTTTTTTTAATTTAATTTAGTACAAGTACACAATACAGGTATAATTTATTATTCGAAATATAAAATTTTACAAAATGGAGAGCCAGACAGACAACCATTTTTATTTTTCGTTCAAACAACATTATCTTGTTTTAAATATATTTTCTTTAGTTATAAATTTTTACTGTACATGTGCACCATATGTGTATATACACAAATAGTAAATATTATCATTTGAATTATTTTTACATTATAGTTTTTATTTTTTCTACATTATTTGAAAATCATATGTTATAGAATGATAATTTCTTTTCAATTAAATAAAATTCTTATAATGTAAATATATTATGTAGATTAAAATTATATAGAAAAGACTTTTCTTTCTCATCATATAGAGAATTTTTGTTCATATAGAAATAGCCCATAGATAATCGAATAGAACGCATAATTTTATTATTTATTTTGTAAAACGATCCACAACCATATTGAACATTAAACCATTTCTTTTATTAAATTTTAATTGAATTATTTTCAAAAATCAGAATATTTGAATTGCTTAATCAATTTTGCAATGGGTGTGCAATTAATATACTTTTTATATGTATGTAAATAAATGACTATACCATAATTTACAATTTTGCCTCTTTCATATAATTGGGTAGAATTAAATAAATCTCTGTATACAATAATTCACGCAAAATTTTGGCCTAAAATGTATATTGAATTGTATAAAAATTTACATAATATTTGTTTTGTATAAAGAAAATCTATTAAAAAAAAATCATATAAACTATATACCAACCGTTTTGTTAGAATTCTCCATTCTATCTCAAGTGAATTGATAAATTGGCAGTGTAAATTTATTAAATTTATAATGGCACAAAAAATCTATTCAGTATTTTAATATCTAAAGCTAAATGTGATAATATTGCTCTTTAAACTCAAAAAAAAACAAAAAAAAAATAAACATTAGTTTCTTAGGATAAAAAATAACTAATAGTTTTTAGAATTTTTTATTACATATTATTTTAATCACTAAAACTTTTAATACTCTTGAAACTAAAATTTCAATATATAGTTTAGCATTAGCCGTGTTTACACGATGAGTTTTGCATCAATAGATGACATACATGTGTTTCAACCACAAAATTAATGTCAAGCATTGATGCAAAAGTTGTCGTATAAATACAAGTATTTTTTAGTTCAAATTTTGACATATTTGATATTCCTATTTTACTCGTATAAAATGTAATTAATTTAAAGTCAATAATTTTAGAAAATATTACAATTAATATTAAAATTAATATTACATCGAAAATTTAGCATTGCAATACTTTCGGTAATCGTGCAATGTTAGTTTCATTGACTTCAATTTTTCTCTTAATAAATCTAAACTACGTTTTTTCCCAACTTTTGCTTAATATACATTATGTGTATTATGAAAAATTCAATTTTTCCTTTAATTTTTGATAAAATGTATTCATCATAATTAATTAATATTGATAATTATAATTATGGTTGAAATTAGTCATATCATTCAAAAATACCAGGAAAATAGCCTAAATGTAAACTATAATCGTTTAGTGACATCTATATTTCAATAACAAGAAAATGCAAATGTCTCTGAAAATGCAAAATTAATTTCTCACTTTTTTCTTTTGTCCGTGTGGCCACTTCTACAATATTATTGAATAATGCCAAATCAAAACAATGTCAAATAATGTCATTAACTTTTTAGTATTAGAATTTTAAATTAGTATTCATTCATATTTTATTTGTTATCAAAATGTAGATTTTTTTTCATTTCATTTTATTTTATTAGAAATTATATTTTCATTTAAAAAAAAATCAATTTATTTTTATTGCTATAAATCGTTTTATATTATATTCATTTAAAATCGTAATTAATTATAAAATAATCAGATTTGTCACAATGGGAGTGCATAGTGGACCAGAAGGTCCGGAGGTAGATCTAAGAACATTAAGGGCCATCCGTGTTCTGCGGCCTTTAAAATTAGTTTCTGGAATTCCTAGTGAGTAGAATTAAAAAAATAAAAATAAAACAAAATAGAAAAATTCTAGTATTAGAAAAATAGTATTAGATTAAAATTAATTTTAATAGTTTGAATAAAAAACATTTACATTAAAATTTATTTTGTAAAATTAAAGTAAATTATTTGTTTTGCCTACTTTAATTAATTATAATAGTTATTAAAATAAATAATGAGCAATCAAAATTTGCTATCAAAAAAATTTTTAATACTTAATGTTTTCTATAAAAATTGTTCATTAAAAATATATAATGAAAATGATTTTGTTGAAAAATTTAAAAGTATTGCTAATAGCATTTTTGTTTTTAGAATTAAATATATTTTATAATAACTTAGTTTAATTGAAAAACGTATTGAAAGAAAATCATTATTATTTTTTTCTGAATATTCGTTTTTCTTTTAAATACAATTTATATACATATGTTCTCTCAAGTTATCAAAAATTATAATGTAAATTTTATAATTTTACTCAAAAAAATTATAATCCTATTTCAGGTTTACAAGTAGTTCTTAAATCAATTATTAAAGCCATGGCGCCTTTGCTTCAAATTGGACTGTTAGTGTTATTCGCAATTATCATATTTGCTATTATAGGACTCGAATTTTATTCTGGAGCTTTACATAAAACATGCTATAGTTTAGAAAATCCTAGTAAGTAAAAAAAAATTATTAAAATTAATTCAATATATAGAAACCGACATTAAATTATACATATATTTTTAGATCTTATTGTTAAAGAAGGTGAAATGGAAACACCATGTAATGCCGATGATTTTCCAAAACAGAATACATCAGCATATTTATGTAATTTTACAAATAGTATGTGTTTGGAAAAATGGGATGGACCCAATTCAGGGATAACCAGTTTCGATAATATTGGGTTTGCTATGTTAACAGTATTTCAGTGCATTACCATGGAAGGCTGGACTGCAATACTGTATTGGGTAAATTAAAAATTTAAATAACTGAAATGATTATTTAACAAAAGAAAACATAATCAACATAAAAGTATTAAAAATATATGTATTTTAAATTTTCTTCAAAAAAAACAAAAAACAAATTTCCCAATTACTTTTCTATATTCTATAATTGAAAAAACGTGAAATTAAAACCAAAACGATAATTTTTTTTTATTATTCTATTTCTAATATTTTTTTTTTCTTTAAAAACTTCTTGCATTTCTAAAATTTACAACTACATATAATAAATTTTATAGCTATATATAGGTTTAATACAATATCTTATATACGATTGAGCTGAAAAGACACACAGAATATTTTAAAAGTCTAATTAGAAAATCAGAAACAGAATTTATTCGAAGAACGAAATTGAAACCTTAAATTTTGATCTTAAAACTAAATATTTAAAATAATTACAACTTATTGCAAATTTGTTAGGGAATACTATAAACTATAAATTTATATTATCATCGCATATACATACATACATTGTAAAAATGTATGTATTTTACAATTTAATGTATCAATTCATATACATATGTATGTAGGAATAAATGAATTGATTTATTTACCTAATACAGAATTGCCTATCTTTTAGATAGAAATATTCGGCAACCATTATATTATAAATTTGTTGCACCATTTATTAATAATTATATAATAATTTTTTTTTGTAAAAAAAAAAATTTTTGACTGCAGTTACAACAGGTGAGAGTATCGTTTTTGCTAGTTTTTTTTTTTTACTGTAATGTTTTGATCCTCATGCGTATAATAAAAATTAATTCAGAATATAAAAAAAAAATTGAAAGTAATTATTTATGAAAGTAATTTAAAGTATGTAGTAATTTTTTTTTTGTGATTTTATTAGTTAACCTTAAAAATGCAAAAAGCAAAAGTTAAAAAAACACAAATTATTTTTACAATATTTCATAAACAAACACAAAATAATAAAAAAAAAACAACATGTCTTTAGTTACTTTTCATTTCAACAATTTGGCAAAATAAAAAAAAAACACTTTTTCAAATTAAAGTTAATTTTAAAACAATAAGAATTTATTTCAGGCACTTTAATAAAATATTTTAAATAGTTTTTTTTGCTCTCATAAATACATAATTAACACATACTTTTGTTATCATACAGTGGTGGGTAGTAGACAATGTTAGTAGGGATAACCGATATTTTTAAGTATAGCACAAATACTTTTAATGAAAAGCAAAAAAAATATTTCATATAAAATATAAATTAAATCATTTATGACAAAACAAATATAGCCAATTACCGTAAATTTTCACAAAGTTATTTCTAAATCGTTTTATTTAAACAAAAAAAAAACTTTGATTGGCTACAATTTTTGCAAATTTTTTAAAAAATTTTGAATATTTTCGATTAAAATCTTTAGAAGTTTTGGGGCTACTTTTTTGTGCTACAGACGTACAGATAGAAAAACAATGAAAATTTAAAAAATTATGAAGATTATGAAAATTTAGAAAATTTAGTATGAATTAATTAAAACTCTCATCACTGACTAGACATTATATTCAAAAATTCTATAAATATATTATAAATTTTTTTATATATACATACGAGTACATATTATAGAATCAATATAATTATTACAATTTTATACAATTTTGTTTAGTTTGCTAATAGAAATAATTTTTTTTTTAAATACAACATTATACGATACATAAACTATAGAAACAAAATTGTAGTAAAATCTAAACTTGTTTTTGTATACATATATAATATTTGTTTTAATAATTGCTGTTGGAATATTCATTAATTTCAAACAAAATTCTCATACTTCTTTACTTTTACTAAATTTTATATTTATTAAAATATTAAAATCTATAATTTTCAAAATTTAATAATTTAATTTTTAGATTTTACTACAAAAAATAAATTTTGTTTTTACAACATAAAATTAATACTTATACAGAATTGAATTTAACTCATTCATTATTATATACTATCAATAACATTTTATACTATACACTATTTAAATAAACTATTATATTACGTATATATATATTCGTGTTGTCAAAAAGCTCATAAACATTATTTAATATAATTACATTTTTTAATATAAACGCTTTAATTCCCTATTTTTTTTTATTTAAACTTTTGAAATCTTTATATGCACCATATAAAAATATATGTATAAAAGAAATTATTATATTGTTATATTAAGTATAAATTTGATATTCAAAATTTAAAAATCCCTTAGTTATAATTATATTTCAAATTATTTATTACAAAAAAATTCGGAATATTAAAATTTAAAATATTAAAACAAAATTGGAATTTGGTCCCCAAAGTAAATTGTATAAATCCTCTTATAATACATGTATATATATATATATATATATATATATATAGTATATTAATAATATATATATATATACATTTTATTTAATATTATATTTTGTTATGTTTTTCTTTATTTTATTACTCCTATAAGATAATATTATTAAAATATTCGTATTATAAAAGTAGATATTCATTTTAATTTGAAAATAAATATATTATAATATAAAGTATATAAGAAAATTTTATACATAACATATTGCACATCTTTGAAGTAAATATTTTGGCTCCATATATTCACGCTTAAGTAATATATTACAATTAAATTATTATATTTATACTCGTATGCAAGTAAATGAATAACAATTAAATTTTTAAGTTAACATTAATATTAAAAAATATAATATTTTTATTAAGAAAAGAAAAAGACAATAAGTACAGAAAAGTGCAATTTATTTTTTTAATTTAATATAATTAAATTAACTTAAAAAAGTTAAAGCGATTATTTAAAATAAAAAAATAAATTGTTAAAAAATTAAATATCCTTAAAAGATGGCAACAATCAAATATATATGTATAATAAAAATTACATAATATTATTTATCTAATTTATATTATACATATAAAACATATATATTAAATATATATACAGTGACGGATTAAGTCAAATTTTTTCAGTTTAGAAATGTATTTTAATTATTATTCAAATTATATCAGTGATAAGTGAGAAAACTAATTGTCACTCATAGCAGTAATAAGAGTAACTTTCATAACAATAATAACATAGCAATGAAAAGTAAAAAATGGCATATGAATTAATAAGTGTTATCATTATTGAACTTTTGTTGGTTCATTATCAACATTGTTGAGAATACAGATGTTTGGACAAATAATATTTTTCGTATGAGAAAATATTCATAATTAAAATAATTTTTAGAATTTACTGTCCAATGAAAATTCAAAATCTCATTTGTAGTACAACAGATTATTAAAAACTAATTTATTATATATTAAATATATATACAGTGACGGATTAAGTCAAATTTTTTCAGTTTAGAAATGTATTTTAATTATTATTCAAATTATATCAGTGATAAGTGAAAAAACTAATTGTCACTCATAGCAGTAATAAGAGTAACTTTCATAACAATAATAACATAGCAATGAAAAGTAAAAAATGGCATATGAATTAATAAGTGTTATCATTATTGAACTTTTGTTGGTTCATTATCAACATTGTTGAGAATACAGATGTTTGGACAAATAATATTTTTCGTATGAGAAAATATTCATAATTAAAATAATTTTTAGAATTTACTGTCCAATGAAAATTCAAAATCTCATTTGTAGTACAACAGATTATTAAAAACTAATTTATTATATTCGCTTAAATTATTGGAATTTTGTTTTCCAAATGTATTTAATGCAAAATAAATTATATATTTAAGAAATTACCAAAATTTTATTTTACCTAATCCGCTTCTGTATAATAATATTTATTTAGCAATCACATGAAATGATTGTTAAAAAAAAAAATCAATTTAATAATATTTCATATATAGAATATATTGAAATTTTATTCAAATTTATAATATTGTGATTACAGACAAATGATGCTTTGGGTTCAACATACAATTGGATTTATTTTGTTCCTTTAATAGTTATTGGATCATTCTTTATGCTCAATTTAGTTCTCGGTGTTCTCAGCGGGTAAGTCTTATTCTATAACAAATACATTTTTTTTTAATTTATTCAATTTCTAATTTAAATTATATATATGTGTAATCTATATATACAAAAACAAAAAAATTAAAAATTTTAAATAATTTTATCTTCAAAGGATTATTTTTTTTCTTATATTTTTTTTATTTTATTTTCATTTTTTTTTGATAATTTTTATTTTTATTAGTTTTTATTATATATATATATACTTTAAATGAAAAATGTATATGAAGTAAAATCAAAATAAAAAAAAAATTTTAAACCGTTATTATGTATAAAAATATAGAGAATTCTCTAATGAAAGAAATCGTGTTGAGCGACGTGTTCAATTTCAAAAAATGAGATCAACACAATTATTTCAGGATGCAATGGCTGCATATCTTAATTGGATAACACAAGCAGGTTTTAAAAACTGATCCTATGATATATATTTATATATATATATATATTTACATATGCATATATATAAGTTTTATTTATAATAATAATATTTTATTATTACTATATATACCACCATATCCCCAAAAAGAAATATGAAATAAAAATCTAATATTGTATTATGTATTCGTTAAACACTAATATTTATATAAATACAATAAATATATATAGTTATTAATTCTCATATATATGATTCCCCCCAAAAAATATAGAAAATTGCTATATATACCTTTACATATTTCATTATAATTTAATAAAATTAATCATATATACATTCTATATAAATATATTATATATTTCCCTATTATTCTAAAAAATGATAATTTATTTCCCTGTGTGCTATTTTAAATATTATACATATAAAACACATACATATGCGTATATATTGAAAAATTAAATTGAAATTCATTTAAAACACTGAAAAAAAACCACATATTAATTATATAAAAATGTGAATAATTTTTATATATTGTGAAAACTATGAAAATTGTATGAAAGTTTAGTTTTTGATTTTAAATTTTAGTTTTTCTATGTTAAATTTTTAGTTAATAATTTTGTTTAGATTTTGGTTTATATATAGTTTTGGAAATAAATTATAAATTTATTTATATAATTTTATAAATTATGAAAATGAAAATGAAAATTTTATATATTATTTCCATATAAGTTAGAGTGAATGAAGAGGAGACAAAAACAAAAAATAAATTAAATATTTTTTATTTGTTTATTGTTTTAGTTTTCTATTAAATTTTGTGTTTAAATTAGTTCAAATTCTTGCTGCTATTTATTATTACATTGAAAATTTCCTTATTGTTCATTTTTCTTTATTATTGTTTTAGAATAATTTCCATGAAATTAAATTCCTTTTAGTTATATAAAATTTTGTTTATATATACTTTGTTAATTTATTTTATTTAATTTACAAAAATAGTTATGTTTAAAAAAATAAATCATTATATATAGTTCTCATTTGTTCATAATTATGCCACGTCTTATAATATAATATATATAAATGTAATTGAATGCATTATGGGTTTACAAGGTTATTAATATTTTAGATTCTATTCTATGTGTTTATAATAATATTGATGTATTATTTATTTAAATAAAATTGTGTCTTAAGTACACCATAATATAAACATAAAAAGCACATTTTAAATTCACTATTATTAATTTAAGATCACTATTAATAATTTACTTACAGTAAATTAAGAATAATTCGGACTTAAATTAAATGTTATTGAAAATTCAAAATTACTAAACAAAAATAATAAAATATTCGTAATTATTTTTAATATTAAAAATAATATTATTTTTTAAGTCAAAACTAATTTTTATTTATGTCAACATTAAGTTGTTTTTATATCGTTTCAATAATTAGAATTATAATTAAAAATTAATATAAAAATGAATTTAAATAATGCGCGTTATACTTTTAGTGAAAAATTTTAATGAAATCGAATTTTAATGAATTAATTTAAGCTTAAAATTAATTGGAAAATTTCTTAATAAAATTAACTGAAATTTTTTTTATATACATGTATGTATAATTTCTTATACTTCCTAGAAAACCCAAATATGTACCTATATATTATATTATATTACATTTAAATCAAAATTATATTTATCTATTACACAGGAAAAGCATGAAATTATGTTTCTGTTAATTTAGAAATATAAGATTAAAAAATCTTATCGTTATAGTGAAATTTATTATTTTTTCCAGCCACCTATTTTCAAAACATAACCACAAATACTTCTTACCAATTTACTTCAAATTTCTACAAAAAAAAAAAATCATAAATCTAATCTTCATTTATATATAATACACTTTAACTCTTATATATACATAAAAAAATTTCCTTTATATATGTATTATATACATGTAATATATCATATCAAATTTAATACATTTATAAATAACTTCAAGAATTCCAGGATTGAATCAAAGGCACAATGGAATATAATATAAAACTATATGAATACACTCCAAATACTTAACACATAAGCACATTGATATTGCTAAAATAATAAAATGTTTCACTTTTTAAAAAATTCAGCACAGAAATACAATAAAATTCCAAAAATACTTTCCAAATTGTATAAAAATAATACTTTCCAATTGTATAAAAATTACCATAAGTCTTATACTGTTATACATATAAGTTATATATACCTATATGAATTATCATAGTTAATTAATCCTGCCCCTTGTTATATTTATAACAATAATTGCATATTATAAAGTACAATCAAATCAATGATACATTTATAAAATTAGTTTTGAGCTTGATGGTATGCTATACTTGTTCATTTTTAAGGACAATTAATATATTAAATCTTGTTTCACATTATAATAAAAATTATTTTAATTTGGCAATTAAGTTAAGAGAGCCTATTATACTGTCGATTTTATTTTATAATAAATAATTTAAAAATGTTATTGTATAAAATTTAAGAAATTAATTTTAATTTTAAAAATTAAATTTTTTCGAATATGTTTCGCTAATAATCTATAAAACGAGCACACAATATGAACAAAAAGAAAAACTGTTATAAATGTAAATATAAGTAAAAGTTTAAATTAATTTATATTGGAAATTTTCAGAGTTCTACTTTATTAAATGAAAAAGAAATCTCCATCACTTTGGAGTGCTAGCTAATATGATAACAGAAAAATATTACAGTAGCAAAAATTATTTAATTGAAAAAGATATTATATGTATACCAATTTTTTTTAAAACAAAATGAAAATTATTAATTAAAATAATTCACTCAAAATTAATTAAACTAAATGTATCTTTTCTAGAATGTACAAAAAAAGAGAATTTATACAATGAAATTTTTTGACTTGAGTTTTTTGAGCATATGGTTATCGTTGTTTTTTTTTTGAATTTACCTTTTCAATTCCCATATTATATAAGATTTCAGGAAAAGCGTTTACATTTTCACTCATCTGTCTCCGAGAAAAGAAATATTGTAAACGATAAAATCGCGAAATATTAATTCGAAATTTTTATTAATACTTTTGGAAATAACGAATGAAAAAATAAGGAAAAACCAATTTTACCCGATGGCTGGGAAATTAATAACATTAAATTCATTGTGTCATAAATTAAGCATATAACAGTTTCATTACATATAGTTTACAGAAATTATACATTTTGTTTTTGTTGTTTTTCTTAAATTGAATATTATTTGACTTTTTAAATTTCATGTTTACTTATATTATTAATTTAAATATAATTTTTTGTATTATAATTTTTCTATTTTATTTTTTAGAATTTTTTTTTTGTCTTTTATTTTGTTTTATTATTAATTATTACATTGCCAATACATTATGTGTCATTTAAATGTCATTACTGTCATTTGTGTTTTGTTTTGACTATTTCATCTTTATTGTAGAGAATTCGCAAAAGAACGAGAAAAAGTAGAAAATAGGCAAGAATTTCTTAAGCTTAGACGACAACAGCAGTTAGAACGTGAATTAAATGGTTACGTTGAGTGGATATGTAAAGCTGGTAGAGTATAAATCCGAATGCATTTATAAAATTATTGATTTAAAAAAAAAGCGACACACACAAAATAAATATTGACATTTTTTACATTTTAATGTTAGAATTTAAATATATAGTTATCCTTTATATAAAAAAAATATATTAATATATTTTAGTTATTTATATATATACATATATGTATTTATTAAATGTCTATCTAAAAAGTTAATAATTTATAAAAATATTATTTTACTCTTAAAGAAAGAAAAATTCTAATCGTATTTTCTTTTTAATTTTATTTGATTTTTTTTTTAATTCTAAACAATTAAAAATTTTTAATTGTGAAAATACATATGAACAGAGGAAGTAATTTTAGCGGAAGAGCGAACAACAGAAGAAGAAAAAATGCACATAATCGAAGGTAAATTATTTTAAAATTGAAATCATAACAAGCTGATAGTCGAATCAATTTTCCTTTTTTTAAATTAAAAATGATAGCGAGGCGCCGTAACGCTGCAAAAAGAAAAAAACTGAAAAGCTTGGGTAAATCAAAATCGACTGATACAGAAGAGGAAGAGGCTGAGGATGATTATGGAGATGATGGTTTTTTAAAATCAAAAGGAAATACCCAAGGTAGCTGTAAGGGTTTTTGGCATGCAGAAAAACGTTTTCGTTTTTGGATCCGGCATACAGTTAAAACGCAATGGTTTTATTGGTTCGTAATCGTATTAGTATTTTTAAATACAGTATGCGTTGCTGTTGAACACTATGGACAACCACCATGGTTAAATTCTTTCTTATGTAAGATTTAAAGTAAACAGTTTTAAAAAATTTTAATTAATTGTAAATTTTATTTTTTAGTTATTGCCGAATTTGCATTTCTTGGCCTATTTATGACTGAAATGTTCGTTAAAATGTATGCATTGGGACCAAGAATATATTTTGAATCATCGTTTAATCGTTTTGATTGTGTCGTCATTAGTGGTTCAATATTTGAAGTTATATGGTCAGAAGTTAAAGGTGGATCATTTGGTTTATCCGTCCTAAGAGCTTTACGTTTACTTCGTATATTTAAAGTAACAAAATATTGGTCATCATTACGTAATCTCGTTATATCATTATTAAATTCAATGAGATCTATTATTTCATTGCTATTCTTGCTCTTCTTGTTCATTCTTATATTTGCTTTATTGGGTATGCAATTATTTGGTGGTCAATTTAATTTGAGAGGTGGTACACCAGAAACAAATTTCAATACGTTTCCAATTGCATTATTAACAGTTTTTCAAATATTAACTGGTGAAGATTGGAATGAAGTTATGTATCAAGGTATTATATCACAAGGTGGAGCTAAAAAGGGAATGATATATTCATTGTAAGATAATTAAAAAATATATATACGTATAATTAATAAAATAAATATCAATAATCTAATATAATGATATATAAAATTTGGTGATTTATTCGGTTTTCTATTTTCCATTCTATATTTGTTTTAGATATTTTATAATTTTGGTGCTATTTGGTAACTATACACTGCTAAACGTTTTCTTGGCTATCGCTGTCGATAATTTAGCAAATGCTCAAGAATTAACTGCTGCAGAAGAAGAACAAGTTGAAGAAGATAAAGAGAAACAATTACAAGAATTAGAAAAAGAAATGGAAGCTTTACAAGGTGATGTATCACCATCTAGATTAGAAGCGGTTGCTAAACATAGTGCGAAGAAAAAAGAAGAGGAGAAAAAAGAAGAAGAAGAAGAAGATCAAATAGGGCCAAAACCAATGCTGCCATATTCTTCGATGTTCATTTTATCACCAACAAATCCGTAAATATTATTTTAGTTTTAGATTATTGAATTCTTTAGTTTATTTAAGTTTTAATTAATTTATTTAAGATATATATATAATTTATATTAAACTATAACTAATCTAAATATATTTTATATTCGTAAGTTATAAAATAAGTAGTTTTGGTGGAAATTATTAAAAATTAACAATTTAAAAAAAAACACACTGTTTAGTGTTACATGTTTGAATAATTTGAGTAATAAAATTTTTTTTTATTTTTGCAAAATTAATTTTAAATTCCACCAAAACTATTTAGTTAACTATAGATATCAAAATAATAATTTAATTGTAGAATGTGTAACGTAAGTACTAATATTTTTTTATAAATAATTTCATTATTTCTCTTTTTTATTACTTTTATTTTTTTTTGTTACAAATTTTTTCTCGATTCTTGTTTTCTTTTTTTTTGAATCAAAATACAAAAATTAACACATAAATATCAACTCAAATACATCAAAAAATTCAAAACAAAATTAAAAATCAAAAACATCAAAAATCAAAAAAACAAAATTAAACAAAACATCATTAAAATTTATTATATATAAAAGAATACGGCGTGGAGCACATTGGGTTGTTAATCTACGTTACTTCGATTTTTTCATTATGATTGTAATATGTTTATCATCAATAGCTTTAGCTGCAGAAGATCCAGTTAATGAAGATTCCCCACGCAATCAAATTCTAAATTACTTCGATTATTGTTTTACATGTGTATTTACGATAGAAATGTTACTTAAAGTTGTAGATTTAGGCATAATATTACATCCAGGCAGCTATTTACGTGAATTTTGGAATATTATGGATGCTGTAGTAGTAATATGTGCCGGTGTCAGTATAGGTTTTGATATGAGGTAACGAAAAATTTGTTATCATAAATACACTAAATAATTTATATAACAAAAAAAAAAAAACAAAAAAACAAAACAAAAAAAGATATAAAAAAAATGTACATAAACAGTAGAACCACCTATTATCAATGAAGTAAATGGCTACTTTTAAAATAAAATATATATATGTTTATATACATATTAATTTTTGTTTCATCAAATACTTTCAAATGTATTTTTGCTAGGTTTATTGTAGATTACATTTTTTTGTATAGTACGTACAAACATATACATAAATACGGAATTAAAGAAACAGAAGATTTTGTATAGAAAGTCTTTTATTTTCATGAAAACATTTTATAATTTTAAGAGAAAAGACATAATCTTTTTTCTATAGAAATTATTTTGAATTTTTCTTAACAAAATAATTTTATAGCTATTTGTAAATTTTTTCTATTAATTTAGTCTTCTTTATTTTAAAACTCTTTTTGAAAATCCAATTTTTATTATGCATACTCGCATTTTCTCTTAAATGTATTCGTTTTTTTTTCATATTTTTAAATATTATGTAATAAATGCATTTTAACATTTATTATTGTGGTTCAAATCTTCGATATAAAGTTTACTGTTAAATTAGATGTAGTGAAATTTCTAGTAAACTACCAAACATAAAATACAAAGCGCAATATAATGTAAATTACAACGTATAAGAAAAAGATAAATAGGAAATCACCCGCAATTGTTCACTGTATTCAACGAAATGCAATACTTAAAATATGCAATGCAAAAAGTGCAAAAGTTAAAAAAAATCACAGAAAATTTTGCATCAAGTAATCAACAGCAAAAACGTATCAAGCTTGAAAAAATGCTTGCCTCAAGAAATATGAATATTTCTAAAGAAAATGTTTTATAATTCTTTAGAAATATTTATGTTTTACTTACAGTATTATGTATATAACACTTTTCAATAAATTTTGAACTCCTTTTAAATACATGTTAATAGCTATGCATCTATGCAATTTATACTTAAAAAACAAATTATTAATACAAATTAAAAAAGAAATGTCGGATGGCAATACTGATTTTAAAGAAAAAAATTTAAAAATAAAAATATATTGCATACTTACAGGATGATATTATGCCAATACGTAATTCTGTAATAATTATTATATAAAAGTAAAAATCTCCCAATTAGCAATTTTATACATTTTGTACCTCTGTCAATACTTCATTTTTGTGTATTATTATTATATGTAATATTAAAAATTTAGTTTAAAATTTATTCAAATCACCTTTTATCTTTTCTAAAATATAATTAAATTTAAAATAATATTATTTTAAGTATTATATAGTAGAAATATTAAAATTCAAAGAAAAAAACATATAAATTTTTTTTTTGTTTTAATTATTTCGTAAGAAATATTAAAATTTTATTTAATCATATTAAATTTAAAAATAAAAAATTAGATTAATTTATTAAATTTTAGATTAAATTTGCACTAAATTTAGGTTTTGTACTTTGTACTTGTACCTTTTGTAGAGGTTTTTAACATTTAATAAATATTTGTTTATTTCAACATCAAATATAAATTTGACACTTGTTTTGTCCACTTTTATGTATTTTTTTTTGTCTCTTTCTAGAAATTGAACTAAGGTAAAAATAGTAGATTTAAAATAAAATTATAAAATAATATTTTCATTTATTTTCTTGACATATTTGAATTAAAATTTTCGATATATATAGATGTTAGTAATTTTTAAAATTATGTAAGTTAGTATGACGCAAAATTACAAAAATTTATCAGGAAAACGTTCAAAATGCAATTAAAAATACGAAATATAATTAAATTAATTAGTTTTTTTTCTGTTAAATTTAATGCTAACATATAAAGTAAACTGTAGAAATTTTTTCTCAGTATAATAGAAAATGTTACTAAATATAATGACATTTACAAATATATTGTCATTATTAGCAGGAATGACATAATTTGTGCTAATACTTTTTGATAATGAATTCTAAATTATATATTTCATTTATTTTTATTGTCTTAAGAAGGTATCTACCAAAAGATTATCTGCAAATCTTAAGTTCATCTGCATATTGTTTATATTGTATATAGCTTGATGGGCATCTTAATAAAATTTTTCAGTTCAATGAGTTGGTTAAAGTAAATTTTGATGTATATACGTATATTCTTTGTTTTTCGTTATGATATAAAGTGGATAAGACAAGTATATAAACAAATAGGACAAGTATGTGAACGGTCTTCTTCTCTATTATAATTATATCAATAAATATGCGACTACGTTCAACAGTTAAATAGATTTTAAAAAGTGATTTAATGAAAATTGAATTAAAATTAATAATAATAATGCACTTGTAAATAATATAGAAATAACAATATATATATATATATACATACATATATATACACTTATATATTAACAAGAAAATAAATGATATTTATGATTATTTTTCTTATCTTATTCATATCCAACCTATAGAAAAAAAGCAAAAACTTAGAAAATTTAGATATTAAACATCCAAACAAATTATTTAAAAAATAATTAAAGCATTCATTTTATTTTTTCATCCCTTTTGTATACACATATTATTTATGGGAATCTTATATTGTATAATAAAAAAATTTTCATTGATAATACGGTGGTAAATTTTATAAAATACCATTATGAACATAAAAAAAACTGAAATACTTAAAATTTGTAAATGTAATTGGTTGTTCTCCTATATGCCTATATGATTAATTTATAAATGTTGTAGTATAGAAGTATATAAGCTTCATTATATATATATATTTTTTTTTAATTTATTCTAAAGCGTCTTTTTTTCTGAAATAAAAAAAAAATAAATATTTGCATACATCCTTAAGTTCCATAATGCAATAATACGATTTTTAAATTTTATTCAGCTTAAAAAATGTATCACTGAATTCAGCTTATTAATATATTTCTGAATAGAATTTAGACACCATATCAATGTATTATGGGGGTTAAGGTATCTCTATCTTGAATTTACTTACTTCTTCCTATATATATAAAACGAATATTCTTTGTTTCTTCTTAAATAGAAAACTCAACTTACATAATATACTATATAATTCTAATGTCTTTTTCTATATAAAAGCATATATTATGTGTATGTCCTTATATCATAGTCAGAAGATATCTACTACAATTACTATATGCACACACATATAGAAAAATTTTAAATATTTTATAGTTAAAGAAAACTAAACTCAACATTCCTTAATATTATATTTGATATAATTTATCTGTATAGCTACATAAATAGATTTTTCTTCTTATCTTATAAATTTTCTCAACTTAAACATTTTTTTAATTTTTTTTTTATAACTTTAAATGTTCGTTATTTTATATACATCTTGCATTACATGTTATGCTTGTCAAAGGTCTCGAAATAGTTGAGACATTGTAGTAGAATTTTCTGGCGTTCATCAACTTATCTTCTGAAAAAAAAGAAACATTGTAATTTCAAATTATTGCTAAAGATAAATGATAAAAAAACTAAATTTATGCCGCTAAAATTATTGCGGTAAAAATATACTTAGCCGTGTTCAATTATAAAAAAAAACACAATCGTTAAGTTATTTGCCGTTTTTAACACATTTTTTTATTTGTTTTTTGTTAAATAATGTGTTTTTATTAAAACTTTTTTTTTCAAGCTGCTTAGCTTATTGAAATGCGGCAATAATGGCTTTCGTACATCAATTTTTCTTTTATGTTTAGAGAAATATTATTTAATTTATAAACGTTTTCGTATTCTATTGTTGTTTTAAGCATATTTTCAACGAAATTGGAAAAATTGAATCAAATTACTTTCTCGCAGGAAACCTATTTTTCAAAAAGAAAGTTTTTCTAATTTTTTTAAAATAACTTTTTTTTTGGCAATTTATTTTATAAAAAAAAACAGATATACGAGTACATACTTTATTTCGCTACCGCAGAAATAAAACGACGTGTTTATTCTGTTGCAAATTAGCATAAACCAATATTACAATGACAAAAACGACTCTGAAATTTGTCGTTACCATAAATCCGTCTTTTTTTGTCAAAATTTTTGTCATTACCTTTGTTAGTTTGGAGATTTACGATTTAGTTTTCATCTCCCTCTACATTTTTCAAGATACAGGCTCTTAGAACAAGGAAAATTTAAATTTCCTGCTTGAAAATTAATGATAAATTCCTTGCCTTAATGATGAAATTTTTTTTTACCATATAATTCAGGTAGTTTGACGTCGCCTTCGACCATTATAACGCTTGGTTTACTAATGAGTATAGTCTAAAAAGAAACTTGGTGTTCAATTGTATTATATAAGTTTTTATAAGCTTGAAAACGTTTATATAATTAATATTTCTACAATTATATTTATTTTAATTTCTTGCACTTTTATTATTTTTACTTTTGTGGCTTATTTACAAATAAATTGAAGTAACGAAAAAATTTTTGTTATCAAAATACTTCAAAATGAATAAACAATTGAATAAACAAAGTAAATGGATTAAAAAATTAAGTGTAACAATAATTATAGATAAAATTTTTTATACTGATAATATAAAGTTCATATTATTTAGTATTTTCAAAGTAGTTATTTTTGTAATCTTAACATTCTATTAAAGAAATTCTAAATAGTTATAATATAATACTATCGTTTTACTATTTACTCAAATTTAGAATCGTTCACACTATGATTCTTTTATTTATAACAAGTTAAATCCATTTTAATTCAGCAAAATTTTGCTAAATTTCAAAATAATATGGTATTTGAATGTTATTAAACTTCTTATAAAAGTCTATATTCTTTAATTCAATTCGTTACTTTTATAAAAATAATTTAATTAAAATTATTGTGTGCTTTTCAAAATATATATATGTTGTACAATCCGGTCAATTCGGTTACATCATCGAGTTGTGTAAATAACCAAGTTTAATATCACACTTTGAGAAAATAGACACGTTTTTTTTTAATTGCACAGATTTTGCGAAATTCCCACATACAACGTTTTTATTGTTTATATGTACATATATTAGTTTATTGAATATCTGGCTGAAAAAAGAAGTAATAAATACTAAACTAACTGTATTGTTATTAAATAATATAAATTTGGTTAACAGTTGACATTAAATTCAATTTGACAATCCATTAAAATTGACATTACATGGGAAAAAAATGCAGAAAGAATTTCGATGTTCAATCTATATTCGAAAAATATTAAAATTATTAACTTTTATTTTAGTACAATTTTTGGTAAATGTGATTGTAAACGACTCACTTTAAATGAAATTGAAAATTTTTAATAATAAGAATTGATGATTTTAAGAGAGTAGTGAAATTAAAAGAGTTGCCATTATCTGATTACAAACATATGTAGCACTTTATAAAAATTAATTGTGTTTTGACATTTATTTGAAAATAAGCGGTTTGTGATGCTATCTATTAGAAATTATTTCAAATTTCAAAAACTTATTTTATAACCATGATTCTAAAATTCTCTCACTTACAATTATTAATTATGTGACACATCAAATCTATTGCAGACTTTTTTTTATTTTTCTATTAATATGAACTTTCTATCAACATTTTAAAGAGTTTTAATTAAATATTATATTAACTTCAGTATAACAACTTGGAAACAAAATAACGAAAGCCAAATTTTATAAATATTTTTTTATTTAATTTGAAACTAGAATTTTTTTTTTAATAAAATTATTTATAAACTTGATAACTTAACGATCATTTTGTTTTCATTGAAAAAAAAAAAATAAATTTATATAAATTCATTTTTCACTCACAATTTTAAAATTCTTACTGATCGTATACACATTTTTAATGCATTGGAAAGTTTTTATACAATCATACATTGTTGTTTTTTTTGTTTCTTTATTAAGTTTTGAATAATTAAAATATTTTTTTTAAAGGGAAAAAAATTAAATAATTTGAATTTTAAGCATCTTAGAAATTAAATTAAGCAGAAATTAAATTAATTTTTTTCGCATAATTTCTGTTTTTGTCTTTTTCACTTTTTTGTTTTTGTATTGTTAATTTTGTTTTCTCTTTTACAATTTTACAATAAAATGTCTATACTTTTTTCAAACTTTTTTTTTCAGAAAATGATAAAAAAAAACACATTTTTTATAGAGTATATGTTGTGTCCTGTTGTAAATGTGCTGCTAAAGTAAAAAATATGAAAAAAATCTAATAAAATATAGAAATGTCCAATTTTTATTTTTACTTTTACTTGAACGTAAAGCTTACAAATGTGATATAAAAATATTAATTAAAAGAAATAATTTAAAATATTTGATATAAATATTTTTCTGAAATAATAAAAAAAAATTTTCCAATTTATGCAAATATAAAATTGAACATTTCTAAATTTTCTAATAAAGTTCTCTCTGTTTCATTGTTGTTCGTATACACTTTTATTGCTTTACTTTTTTCGCTCTTGTAAAATCTCTAAATGTGCTGTAATAAAAAGAAAACAACCAAAAATACTTAATTTTTATTGTATTTGCCAGCATTTAATATACATAAGAATTAAAAAACGAATATACTGTACTTTTGTAATAAAAATTTTTCCTTTTTTTTTTATAGAAAATAATAATAAATAAAATTTTTATTTTTTATTAATACAAATATATAAATATAATAAATTAATATAGTGGGAGCAGCGCAGGTCAAAATTTATCAACAATTAAATCACTTCGAGTACTTCGTGTATTACGACCTTTAAAAACTATCAAACGTGTTCCAAAACTTAAGGCTGTATTTGACTGTGTCGTAAATTCTCTAAAAAATGTTATAAATATTTTAATAGTGTATATACTGTTTCAATTCATTTTTTCTGTTATCGGAGTACAATTATTTAATGGAAAATTTTTTTATTGCTCGGATGAAAGCAAACATACGGCTATTGAATGCCAGTAAGTATATTTTATACATATGTTTAGTAAACTTTATGTTTATGGTTTTTTTTTGTATATTATAATTATTAATTATATTTTATAATATTACTTTTAATAAATAAAGCGACATTTTATGTAACGTATCATAAAAAATTAAATTAAATTTTTTAATCACTTCAAACATGGTTTGTTTCTTCAATAATTTTTGCGACGTGTTGCTAAACTATAACAATAAATTATTGCACAAAATAATTTGATTCATTTTCAAATGGCGGCGCTGAATTCATGTTTTATTTAGTTGCTAGTATTTCCGTCAAAATGACATTAAAAAGATAAAAAAAATTCATTCGTAATTAAAGCTTGAATAGGTCAACTTCTTTTAATTTTACTGTTATTTTTGCTAACTTTATATTAAAGTAAATTGATAAATTTAATAGTGTAAATTAGTGTATATAAAATATTAAATATATTTTTTTTACGAAATTTGTAAAAATTTTATTTCTTTGACTATAATATTAAATAAATTTTTTAGGGGATCTTTCTTTAAATATGATGAAGATGAAGTATTACCAAAAAAAGAAGATAGAATATGGCGAACGAGAAGTTTTCATTATGATAATGTAGCTGTGGCAATGTTAACATTATTTGCTGTACAAACTGGAGAAGGATGGCCGCAGTAAATATATTAATTAAATAAAAATAATCCTTGACTATACATATATAATAAGAAAAATCATATTAAATAAGAAAAATTTGTTATTTACATATGAATCATATTTTATTTTTACCTCTTTTAGAGTTCTTCAAAACTCTATGGCAGCAACATATGAAGATAGAGGTCCAATACAAAATTTCAGAATCGAAATGTCTATATTTTACATTGTTTACTTTATCGTATTTCCATTCTTCTTCGTAAACATTTTCGTGGCCTTAATTATTATTACATTCCAAGAACAAGGTGAAGCCGAATTACAAGATGGGGAAATTGATAAAAATCAAGTATGTTTAATGTTTATACGAGAATATAAAGAGCGTATATTTGTATTTTGTTTTAATATAATTATAAAATTAAATACTGAAAGTGGGATTAAAATTATATTCCTTCTTAATTACACTTGTATATAGTTGTAAAAATAATATGACTATTAACTGAATAATTTTAATTTTCATTTGATGTAATGTCATTCTTATAGATCAGTATATTTTTTAACAAAAATCTATAGCATTGTCTGAAAAACCTTAATGTACCTTGTATTATTAATATGTGCATATATCTTATTTCTTGCATAATGTTTAATAAAAAAATGAAATAGAATTTTTATTATATAAAAATAGAAAGGAAGTACAAATACTCATATTATACTTTAATTAAATAATGCTAAAGAAATTGTATTAATAAATACAAATAGTTTTAAGTTAAAAATATATATACGATGCATTCCTTGTAACGTATACAAAATCGTAATAATTGTGAATTTAAAATAATTATTTTAATAATTTAATGGTACTGTTAATTAATATATATTTTTATTCTTTTTGTTTGTTTTTTACAATAGAAATCTTGTATTGATTTTACAATTGGAGCTAGACCGCTTGAACGTTATATGCCAAAAAATCGTGATAGTTTCAAATATAAAGTTTGGCGTATTGTGGTATCAACTCCATTCGAATATTTTATAATGATGTTGATCGTATTCAACACACTATTACTTATGATGAAGGTAAGTAAATTTGAACAAAATTTGTTTTTACAAAGAAAACAAAATTTTTTTTTATTTAATTTTGTTTATTAATTATGGGAAATAAAGAAAAAAAAGTGTCTTTTTCTCTTATATAAATTAAAAATTATTCCTAAAATATATGAACAAAAAACATTGATATAAATACAATACAAATCAAAAATATTTTCTATTCTATATATAATTTTTTTTTATTTTTTTAATATACAATTGTATATGTAAATGTGTTTTTGGTTTTATTATTTTCTTATTTTTTTTTATATTTTATTTATATTAAATATATTATACATATTTTATGTATTTATCAGGCAAAACTATATATACATATAAAACTGTGTGGTCTTTAAATCGAATTTATATATATAAATGTAAAAAAATCTTATCTTATATCTTTGTATATGCATTGTCTTTTAATATTCTTCTATAAAATATAAATGGGAAATTTATATATTAGTATTTAATAAAAAAAAAAACACATCAATATATGAAATACATTTTATTTTTCTTGTATGGAAAACTTTACACCTTCTTATATACACACATTTTTTAAATAAACTAATCTTATATATTGATGAAATATAAACAAATAATAAATAATATTATAATTTTTTTTTCTTATATAAATGTTGCGTTAATTTTCTATATATTTATTACATATTTTGTTCTATATAAATCTGTTTTTTTTTTAATTGTTTTGTAAAATTTTTTGAAAACTAAAACAAAATCTATTTAATAATTAAATTATATAAAATAATATGCTTTCATGCATGTGAGTTTTCTCTGTGTAATATTAAAAATGACATTTTATAAAATAAAAGAAAATATTAAATCATATACTATAATTAAAATTTACATATACTTTTGATGGATGTGTGAAATACGTATGCGTAAAATGAAAGTTTTTTGTTTTTTGTTTTAAATAATAATAAATCAAAAGACAGTACATATATTAAAAAGTTTTATTACAAATTTAATTGTTTTAATTTTTTCCAATATTTGATAAGGTGGAAACAATTCTTCTTTGGAAAATTATAGAAATTATATACTATATAATTTCTACTATGCAGTCGTAAGATAAAAAGTCTTAAGTTTTAAAATTCACCATATAGACAAAACGAATATAGACGAATGAAAAAATTTTGGTGGCTTATAAGAATTTTTTTTTTTCTAAAATTTTAAATATGGAAGAAATAAAAAATGCAAAGAAATTGCTAATATCTTAAGAGATAAAGTGTTCTGCTTTAAAATCACTTCGGAGTTATTTGCAATGTATTAAAGTAAAAATAATGAATTAAAACAATTAAATTTGTCCTAATTTTTGTTAAAACTTAAATTTTTTTTCTGTAATTAAATTAAAAATATATTTAAAAAATAAACTGTCTAGAATTCTATATAGTACAAAGATAGGCCCAATTTAAAAGAGAAAAAATTTCAAAAACTGCTATAAGTTTTATGGAATTTAAAAGAAACCGAAAAATAATTTTGATGTGATTGCTTTGAATTAAAAAATGATCAAATAATTATTTAGTTTGTTTATGTTTTTTTCTTGTGTTTTATAAAAGTAACATACTTTTCAATTTTTCGTTTTTATTATGAAAATTTATAGATTATTCCTCATACGCCGTTTCAAAATACTCACACATAATACGCTTATTGATAAAAAATCACCCATACTAAATTTTTACCTAAAAATAACATAAAATACTTCGTATAATTGAAATTTTTGAATAAAGAAGTAGGTTTTACCAATTTTTAAAGATCGCAGTGAATATTTGTGACCAATTATTTCCTTAATATTGTGTCACATTCTTAAATTTTCAATTCATTGAGACTATAAAGTGAGAATAATTAAAGGTACTTTAATAATTACTTTGATAATTTATAAAAGTATATTCTTATAGTGTTAACAAATTGGATTCAGTTATTTTGCAATTCTATAGATAATATTAATGGTCATATAGACATATTAATGGTCTTTCTAAATTTTAAATTTTAAATTTTTTATTTTTATTCGAGTTGATTTAAATATTAAAATTTTAAAATAATTTTTTTTTACTCCACCTAGTTTATAAATATGTTTAAATTAATCAGATTAAAGTTTGTGTATATTCAGAAATGTAAAACAAAATATATTTTTTGCCTTCATCATTATATTGTATTATTATTGAATGTAATATATGAATTAGGAAATTTAGGGATCTTAAGTATATTTTATTTTAAAAGTTGCTGTGTTTTGAAAGATTCAAAAAATTTAGGGAGAAATTTAAAATTTTTTTTTACTCATTTTGTTTTTTCAATTCTTATATATTAAATTTCATTATTTATTTTATTATATCTCTTGTTGTTGTTGTTGTATTTTATACTATTATAACATTCAAAATTTATATACGTTTACAGGTTTACACGCCCCCTGTGCCAAATAAAGCGGTATGAACTGTTTTCAAATTAAAAAAAAAAGAAACAAAAAATTTATATAATTTGCTTCAAATTAAAAAATAAAAAAAAATTAAATAAATTATTCCACTAGAAATTATACAATTACATATATAGATAATTTTGTATACATTTATATATAATATACAAAGAAAAATATCAGCATTATTATTCAAAAGTTTATATACTATTGAAAATATAATTGCTGATATTTTATTATCATGGATTCAATTCAATTCTATAATTACAAATATTGGAATTATTGTTGTAATCAATAATAGTCAATAATGTCAATGGGGAAATTAATCACTTCTATAACTATACGATATTTGTAACTATTATAGGAAATGAATTTTTTTTCAATATATAAATTTATACAAAATTTATTAAAATAAATTGTTAATTAAATAAATTGCATGCTTTGCTTTTAAATTAATAAGAAATTATAGAAAATTTAAATTACATATGAAGCAAATTTTTTTTTGTTAGTTCAAATTAATTATCAAAAATATCAAAAATATAAAATATTATTATAATAAAAGCATGTTTCTTTGGAATGAATTTTAATATACATATATACATATTATATATTATATTAACCGCATATTTAATTTGAAAAAAAAAAAATAAAAATAAAATCATAATTTGCGTTTTTAAAGAATTAATTATTCATTTTCTTAATTTTTCATGAATATATAAAGAGCTTTTATAATAAATTACAAAAAATATAAAAATTCAATAAATTTGAAAAATTAATATCCTCACATAAAATGTAGAAATAATACATATAACGTATAGAAACATACACTAAAATAGCAATATAGCTTAAAATATTTTTACACATTTAAATTAAATTAACATTATTCCTATATATATATATACATAACATACATAAATAACATTTATCACACATTATAGTTAATATATTATTTAAAATTACTTATACATTACATTAAACATAGGTTGTTTCCTATATAATATGTCAGTGATTAGACAATTAATATCTGCCATTATATAATTAATTTTTGCAATTGACATATTATAAAATTTTTGTCAAACACAATCTCTAAAAAATTAAAGAATTAAAAAATTAAATGATTGTAAATTATGTTGCAATGGTAAATTAGGATTAATGACGTTTTATGTGTCATTATCCAATGAATTTCATGACTTAAGTGAATTGCAAACATTTGACATATGGTGTGAAACGACCATATAAGTCCATATTGTAACAGAAATTTTTTAATACATTAAACATACATACTTTTCTACATAAACAGAAATAATAATGAAAGCTTCTTTAAATATATTTGCACTCGTAAATTCCAAAGAATAAATATTATAACAATTTTTAGCAATATACAGTTAACAATTTTCACTTTTCTAAACAAATTTTTTTTATTAAAGCGAAATGTCCTTAGATAAACCCTGTTTTAAGTACGTGGTTTTATGAGCAAAGTAATTAATATAAATCAAGACTAAATATTTATAAATTTTACTTAAATTCTCTTGATTTGTCGTATTCTGGAATAACGATCTTAATTTTTGGAAATTATAAGCTGTATAGGTTTTGATTAAGTTTTTCTTTTTTATGCTATGGAAAGGAGAACTGATTTGAAATGTACAAAACTAATAAGTTGTTAAGAAAATATTGGGAAATCTTGAAAGTTATAGGACTCTAGATTCTTTTCTAATGTCGTTCTGATATGTGTAACATTTTATCTTGCCATTAAAAATAGAGAGATGCAATGGCTATCCACATATTATGTAGTGAAACATGAAAAGATGGGGTGGGGGCGGCGACTTAATTATTTGTTTCAATTCGAATTTTGTTGTGAAAACAAAATGTTTACGATTAAAAAATGAAGAAATACTCGTAATTTCACTACTTATTATGTTGGCAGCCTGATTAATTTAATTTTCTGATATTTGTTTCATCTTTTCATGTTCTTTTTTTTGTTAATTAATTTATAAAAAAAATGATTTTGAAATTTTTTTATTAAGCTTTTATTTATACATACATATAATATTTAATATATAGAATATTTTATTCCTTGAAAATTGATCGATTCGCACACGTAGTTAATAGATAAAATTTGGTTGAGAGTTTTGGAATGAATTTGATTTTATAGTCTTTGACATTTTTCTCTATTTTCTTTTTTTGGAATGTTTTAATTGTTTTCTATTATATTAAAATTTTATTTTTGTTCTATTTTTCTTATATAGTAATTCTTTTTTTGTTTTCTTTAGAATAGAATTTTTCCGCATTTTTAATTATTATTTTATTATTATAAAACATTTCTTAACCATAATATAATTTTTGGCTTTAAAGATGAGTTTTTATAGTTTACTGTTAAATAATTAATTATTTAAAAAAGAAAAAAAAAATTATTTTTTTTGTTAATTACATGAAAAAAAAATCGAAAAAAAAAATAATAATTCTAAAACTTACTAAAACAACAAATAATTAAGAAGCAAAAAAAAAAATTAAAATTTATATATAAATAGTATCATCAACAAGGCGACATTTACGAGAAGTCCTTACGATATATCAACATGGGATTTACCGGAATGTTTAGCGTTGAAACAGTATTAAAAATTATTGGATTTGGCATTAAGGTGGGTTTTAATTTAAACAGCCCAGAAAATAATAAAACAAAAAAATAAATAAAGTATACGAAAAGACTTTGAACAAAACTGGAAAATATTAAAAAATAAAATTAAATTTTATAATCTGATAATTGTTAAAAAAGCAGCAAGGTACTGAAATTGTCTCGAATTAAAAACTTTATTTAAATTTGAATTGGAAAATTAATCCTGAAACTCATAATTATTGTGCAAAACAGAAAGTTATTTTTAATTGTAACATGATATCATATGAAATGCCTTGAATTATTTTAATGTTGAATATTAGGATTTTAGTTTCGAATTAAAATAAGTAAATCAAATAAAACAAGACAGATTTTCAACCAAAAAATATAGATGTCGCCTTTGATTATGGGTAAGTTATTGCTTATTACTTGCACTTATCCCTTTGTGTAAGGAGACGACTGCACACATTTGCTAATAATTGAAAAATTAATTTTTAAAATAAAAAAAAAACTTTGTGACTTTAAAATTGTGGTGAAGATTGAAATTTAGCGATCAACATAAAAGTACAAAAAAGAAAATTAAGGATAATTTTTTTTTTAGAAACTTTAAAAATCGTTTCATAAATCATTTTAATGTGTTTATATCATTGGTTCTAGCCATCATCAATTCGAAGTGGCATTTATTTTGCACATTTATTTATTATAATTTGATTTGCTTAAGTTTTATTCCTTTCTATTTTGAAACGATTTTGCTATAGATCCTTGCCCAAAAAAGAAATCTAGAAATCTAGAAAAAGAAAACAAAAAACTCACTTTTATATTGAAATAAAATGGAATTTCATTTATTTATGAGGTTTGGGATTAATTAATATTAGAGAGTATAATATTTTTATTAATTTCATTTTTAATTTAGTTTATAATGATTTTTCGTTATTTAAAGCCTAACATTTACAAAAAACTACAGAAATGTATGAAAAATGTAGCTATGGTTATATTTTCTTTTTTTGGTATACGGCCATGTTATAGTTTTGAAAACATTTTTTTTTTTCAAATTTTATTATATTATTAATTGGGTACAAACATAATTATATCAAAATATTTGAATGATTTAAAATATAAATTTATAATAATATACCCTCGCAACGCATATAATATAAGAAAAAGGATTTTTTCTCCATTTTGCTCACAAAAGCTCCATTTTTCCCAGAACTACTTAATATGTCTTATAAATTCAAAACCAAGGTATAAATGTCTATGGAATGTCGATAAAAATCCATATGCTAAATGAGGAAGACAAGCTAACTGAGCAGAGCTGACTATCATCTATGATATAATTTAAATAGATAAAAAGTATAGAATTTATATTCACAAATGGATTTTTCTGTTCTAATCTCTTCTATTCTCTAATAAGGAATAATTTAAATTTTTAAAATATATTAAACAAATATTTCTATCAATTTGCTACGGTTTCTTTGAATTCGGCTCTTATCCTGTGCATACGCAATTATTTTTGTGTATTTATGTTAAAAGAACAATAGTTATTGATCTAAATGCATAATACAGAACATGGTTTTTTAAAAAAACGTTTTTTACTTATAATAGTTGTGCTATATTGATTTGATCTGTATATATTGAAAAATTTTTCAAGTAAATGTTAATTACTACACATACATATATAATTTAAAATTAACTGGCGGTCTAAAATTTAGTTAAGTTTTTAAATTTATTTAATAGTTCAATTATATAGAACGATTATTTGGATGTCAGTCCCTGCACACGGAAATATCAAACCCAATTTAGTCAGTTTAGTGCTAATATTGATTATAAGCAAAATGTTGTTATCTCCAAAGTAAAATAAACAAAATTCATGTGGTAGACATTGACATTGAATCAGAAAGTATAATTCAAAAATTAATCAAATGAACCGAACCACTGAATTATTTAGAAAAAGTGAACGCAAAACAATAATTGTGTAGTTAAAGTGTTACAATTTGTAAAAAACAAAAATATTTTTATAAATATAATTTGCGTGATATTCATATTTTAAAATACTATATAAATTATGCATGGCCTGAGAATATTGGTTTAAAACATTTTTTTTTAGTTTAATTTAATACATAATATAACAAAAAAAAACCAATATTTTTGTTATTGTATAATAAAATAAAAAACAATATGTGTGTTTTATGCTATTTCATTTGATTTTTATAGTCAAAATGCCGTCATTACATTTAATTATTACAATACATTATGTTTATACATTTATATTTATCAATTTAAATATTATTGCAATAATAAATTTATATATATATATGATTTGGTGTTATACATTTATATTGTGTTACAATATTCATATGAATATATTTATTGTTATATAAAATTTGCTTTAAAAAAATATATTAACTGCAAAATTTAATTAATTATAAGTATGTGTATTATATTATGTATATTTTATATATGTATATGTATTTAATGTATTTATATAATTATACAATATTAATTATAAATTTAAGAGCACAAATTTAAAATAAATGTAATTGAATGTGTTGTATTGTACATATATATATATATATATAGAATCAAAAAAAAAATATAATTATTTAATTAATTGTAAATATTCTGATAATTTTTTTTTTATTATTGGCTGTTATATAAAATTGTCGTATTCAAAAAAATTATTTTATTATCGATGTTCGTGAAAATCTCACATAATGTTATTTATTGAATATGATATTCATTTATAATTATTATTCATATACAAAAAAATAATTAAAGAAAAATAATTGAATATTAAAGTAAAGAAAAAAATACAAAATTGAAATGTTTAGAAAATGAAGTATTTTAGATTTAATAAAAAAAATAAATATTTAATACTTTATTAAACAAAAAAAATTTAATATTTAATATATTTTAACAATTATTAAGCATTTCAATTATGTATTTCTTTTTTTGTTTTAATTTTTTATTGCTCAAACAAAACAATATTATGTTCACATATTTATCTTACATATTATATATATACATAACTTGAAAACAAAAAGAAAAACAAAATACAAACAATATTATCATCAGTAATTGTAAAACAGTAGAATATTATGTTAATTTTAGTTCCATGATGCACCACCTCTGCATATTGACATCCTGACGTACATGAATTTGGTTTTCACATTGTTCTTTTTATTGGAAACTACGCTTAAATTAGTGGCTTTCGGATGCAAGGTTCGTATTTTAATCCGAAACAAAGAAAAAAAGAAAACAAACTAACAAATATACAAACAAAAGTTTTATTTTTAATTATTCAAGAAAATTAAAAAAAAAAACAAATATTAAAAAAAAGAAGCCAGAAAACAATTAATTTATGTTAGGAAAGTAAAAAGAAAAGCAAAGTAAAAAGAAAACTCTTACTTTAAAGTAAACAACACAATATATTCACAATAATTTTAATTCACAATAATTTCAAATCACAATAATTTTAAATTCTCACTCTGTATAATACAACTATTGTAGGAAAATAAATAGTATGTTGCGAGAAAAAAGCAAAAACTAGAAAAAAAAAATAATTTTATTGAACAAATTCCTTTCGAAATAATTTGAAATTAAAACCAGGCATTATAAGCAAACAAACAATTCTAAAATGACCTATTTATTATATAAAAGTCAAGAAATATGCAAAAATATTATATTCCATTTTGACATCCTTAAATGTATTTAATTTGCATTAGGTAACAAGAATTTTCTTTTTCAAAATCAGAAAAGCCTTAAAATAAATTGTAATAAAAACGAAAAAAAATTGTAAATTGACTTTAAATTACAGAAAACGTCATAGAATATTTTAATTTTTTTTTATATTAAAATGGAAATTCTATTTTAAAAAAATATTCATCTCATTATATATAATTGTATATTATTCTGAGAATAGATCTCCGAAATTTATTCATTTATTTAAAGTTGTTCAAATAGAGAAGAAAACCATTTTGAAATAGCTATGGTAATATTCAAAATATTTATTGTATAACATTCAAAATTTTTTTTTATTAACATAAAAATCATCATTATTATTTAGCATAAATTAATTTTGCATTAATATAATACGTCAATGTCAATCAAAAAAAAAATATGCAATTATTTACAATTTGGATGTCATCCTGATTGTTTGAATTGTCATTATATATTAATCTTTCATCAATAAATGTCTTTGTAAATGTTTTAATTTTCATAGATTACCATTGACGTTGTCAACATTGAGTTGAGAAAATTATTTATTAAAAAAAATATTAAATTAAATTAAAATGTTAAATAAAAATTTAAATAAAAAAATGTAATAAACTGGTTCTTGATAAGTACATACTTAAACTTAATGAAATTGATCTTGGTAGATATAGATTTCTTAACTCATTGCAAACAACGATTACCGAACTCTAAAATTTAATTTTTAATTTAATTTTTATTAATATTATTGTTTATTTTTTTTATTTCGTACTCCTATAATAATCGAAATAAATTACATAATTAAACTAAAAGGAAAAAGGAAAAATTTAATAAATTTTAATAAAGAGAAACATAATTAAAAATTAATATGACAAATTCTGATTAATTATTGTTATAATAAAATTCAAACCTGAATCATCATACATTTGTATGTATTTTAAATTATAATGTATAAATTATGTTTAATGTTTTTGTTTTATATTATATTGAATATTTTGTTTGTTTGGTTGTTTTGGGTTTTTTTCCTTGTGTTTGTTTTTTTGTTTATTAGAAAAGTTTTGTATTTGTCATAAGATAAAATGTCCACCGTAGATCTCGAATTTAAATAGTAGTTACCATAATATTAATTATATTCATATAAAATATAAAAATCGCTTTAAATCCTAATGTTTGTTATAATTCCTTACATATCTTTTTTCATATAAAAATTAAAATTTTATAATGCTTTTTTGTATAAAATTTTTATATATTTATAAATAATAAAATATGATAGTTAAGAAAAAATTATTTATAAAATATTTATATACATATATATATATAATGTATATATGTATATGTTATATATTTCTATATTTATATAATTAAATTAATTTACTTGTAACAAATTTTTGTAATGCAATAATATCTTTTTTTTTATAAATTAAAGACAATTTATGAAGAAAATTAGAGAAATTTGTAAAATTTAAAATTATTTTTCAACAAAGATTTTCAAAAGAAATAAAAGTGTATAAATATAATAATTATTATTATCGATAATCTAAAAAAATGGAAATTAGAAAATACATAAAACACATATATTTAGGGCATATTGATTTTATTATAATAATTAAAAAAAATTGTTAATGTAATTAAATGGTAAATATCCCATATTGATATTATGTTATTCGGTTAATTTTTTTGATTTTTCATTTGTTCTATATGTGATTAATTTAATTTTTTTATTAAATTAATTAGATACTCCTGTTTTTGTAATATGTCAATCTTAACAGATTGACAATCGACTGTATATACTTAAATAACTTCAATGATATTCTTTTAAAATAAATTCTTTATTGATTTTTAAAAATTGTAACTATTACAAATGTTCATATAAAGAAATATTTTCTATTCAATTTCATATTAAACTTTAAAGAAAAGTTATTTATTGCAAATATTTTGAAATTCATATATTTCGAATTAAAAACTTAATTCATTATTGCTTATAGTAATACTGTTTTTAAATTTGATCTAGTTAAAGCTTAAATATTAAAATTTTCAATTATCGAATAGATTTCAAGAATTTATATCACTGCAATATGATACATCATTTTAAATAATCTTCATTGCCTTTATTAATTTATTATATTATATAACAGCGTACACGTTTCGATTAGTATATAATTTTAATTTCAAAATAAATCAAAATTATTTTCTTCGAAATCCGATCTTATAGTTCTATAAATTAAAAAATTAATATAGCTTAAATTAAGAAGTAACTCTTAGATCGCTTCGTATTCATATTAAAAAATTTAAAACTATTATATTTTTTTTTATATATTTATTTAATTATGATATTCTCAATTTAATTAGAGAGAAAAAAATAAATTATTCATATAATACTATTACCATTTTATTATAAGTAAGTATTTTATAATAAATTATAGCAACATTAATTATTTAGTTTATTATAATTTAATTTTTATTAAAATTAATAATTTCCGAATAAATCAATTTCAGTACCTCCATTTCGGTAGAATTAAAAAATCTGTAATAAAATACAATAATAAAATTTAATTTAATTTTATTAAGTTTTGTTGTTTCAGTATAATTTTTCGTTTTTATGAAATTGAAATTTGAAAAAAAAAAATTAAATAAAATTTATACATAAAAGAAAAAAAAACAGACATACATTATTATATAAAATATATAATTATATTATTATACAAAAAAAATATATAATTATAATATAAATTTTGTTTAATAACTTATATCACATTTCTATTTATATTACAACATTTACTAATTAAATTTTCATTTTTTTGTCTTTCCCTTTATATCCAATCTATGACATAATTAACATTATTATAAACATTTATTCATATATACAAAACAAATATAAACAAAACAAATTACCATCCATACATAATTTATATTCATTCATTTGGTCTCATTTGGATATATATATAAATATAGAATTTCTTCAAAGATCCTTGGAATATATTCGATTTAATCACAGTAGTTGGAAGTATAATTGACGCCCTCTGGATGGAATTTGGTGTAAGTATTTTTTTTTATTGAATTATTTATAAAGGGATAAAAAATTTAGGTGTTATTCGTCCTTTTTTATTATTATTATGTTTTTTTATCTTTTTAATTCAAAAACAACTTTTAAAAGATTTTTTTTTTGAGTTTTTAGAACTCAATTCAATTTTATTTATTACATTATATAGACAAAAAATAACCAAAAAAAAAAACAATTGAAAGTGTTAAAAAAATTTATTCATTTCAAAACACTTTTCTATATTTCTTCTTATATATACAATACGCAAAAATTCTTTAATTTTAAATATTACATAAAATTAAATAATTAATTTGTTCAAAAAAGAAAAACAAAAAAAATTCATAATTTTTTTTTTAAATATTATATGAAAAGGAAATGAATTAAATAAATAATTGAATTTAAAATTAAATTCCAGAATTTTATGAAAAATATAATTTTATGGTTTAAGTAATTATATAATATTTATGATTTTTGCGTAATAATTCTATACAAACTTTTAGAAAATTCGCTAAAAAAAATAAAAAAATTCAAATGAATTATTTAGAAAAAAATAAAATAGAAAACAAAGAAAAAAACGTTAATTTAAAATTATAGAGAAAAAAAAATAAAATTATTAAAAAATATAAATTTTATTTTATTCTATATTAAAGAAAAAGAAAGATATTTTTTAATTATTATATAGGATTTTTAAATATTATTATATAGGAGATATTAGGTTTTTTTTCAAACCCTTATTTACTTAGATTAAATGAAATTTTATATAATAATTTTTTTATATAAAATAAATTTTCTCATTATAAAATATTTTTAAGCACTCTTATATTATATTATTATTATATTTACACACACCATATCATATAATATAATACATAAAAATTTATTATATTATAACCAAATATTATAACAAATTTTTATCTTACATAGTATATTATTACTATATATATTTACAATTATATATATATATTTTAAATTCATACACCAATTAAATTAAATATTAATAAAATATTTTCTTTTTTTTTTTTCTTTTTAAAATTGTTTTTTTTTTCTTTTTTGTGTTTTTTTTTTTTTCTTATACACACGATTATTAATAATTATTTTACGATTTTTTTGAATGGTTTTTTATTATATATGAACTTCGGCTGTGTTTTTATTGAAAAATTGGATTGAATATATTGAATTGAATACTATCATACACACGATAATTTTACACACACAAATAAAAAAAAAAAAAATTTTTTTGTTTATTGCAACACACCACCACTACCACCACAAATTTTTATTGTTCAATTTGGAATGTTCGCACATATTTTAATAAAAAAAAATATAAAAAAATAAAAAATAAAAAAAAAAAAAACTATTGAAAATTAAATTACAACAACACCACCAATCAAAAAAAAAAAAAATTATCAAAAACAATTTATTTGCACTGTTCTTCATTTTGAAATCCATAATGCAATTTAAATTTTTTAATATTTTTCAATTTTTATCTTAAAAAAAAAAAACCAAAACAAAATTGTCTACAAAAATCAATAAAATTCTTACAAAATTCATCACAATAATATCAATAAAAAAAAAAAACAAAAAATTAATAAAAATCAGCATGATGTAAGTACATTAAAACACCTCATATTTTATATATATATATATATTTATTGTTAATATTTGTATATATATGTATATTAATTGTATTTTGCAATATTTTCTTTTTGTATTTATGTATTTTTGTATTATATAATATTTAAAAGTATATTTAACACTTCCAAAAATCAAATTCTTTTTATATATATTAAATTTTTGTTATATTTTTGGTTATCCTTTATATATTTATTATTGTTTATAAACACTATATTTTAAAACATTTGGTAAAATAAAATAAATTTTTTTTGGTTATTTATTTTCTTTATTAATTATTTTTATTTAATATTATTAAAAGTAAATTAATTTGCTTAAAATAAAGTAAAAATGTATATTGCTATTTGTTTCATGAAAATTTCAAATAAATTATATTATATTTTTTTTCCCTTTATGAAATTCACTTTGGATTTCATATTAGAATATTAATGATCACGTGACGTTATTTTAATATTAATAATATTAAAAAATTTCAATTATATTAAAAATCGATTTCTTACTTTATACCATTCCTGGAATAAACTAAAATTGATTTGTTTAAACAATTGATAAATTTAAACAATCGATTCGTAATTGATTCATAATAATTTAATATATTAATATAATAGCTATAGGTAATTTTAATAGCATGAATGAAAATTAGAATTAAGATCATATTTTATTGGCATTGGCATTTCAAGTTCCCCATTCAAATAAATAAACAAAATGCTGCCCCTAAATTTAGGATAACGGTAAAAGGAGAAATAAATAGAGTATTTTCCAAAAGAAATTCTAATTAAATAAACAAAGAACCGTTTCTCAGATAACTATCTCAAATCGCTACACATTTTTAAGCTTCTTACACAATTGTATATTACAATAAGTGTGTATTTGAGTTCAAATATTACTTATTTCTTTTAATTACAATTTAATGCTATATAAAACTATATATGTTCTAAAATTGAGTTTTTTTAGAAACTGTTAGAATTATTTTTATATAACTAAATATAACTATTTAAAAATTAAATAAAAACTGAGAAATAAAATTATTTGTTACTTTTTCTTTTTATAAATTAAAAGAACGCAATCAAAAAAAAATTTAAAAAATAATTTCAAAATTCAAAATATAATGTAATTTATTAATTAAAATTTTTTCATTTTAATATAATAATTTGGCTTGCTTTTAACTATGAGTTTAAAATGTATTGCAATATTGTTTTTGTTCTAATTAGACAATTTGGAAAACATAATGTTTTTTTTTATTATTTTTACAATTTAAATTATAATTGAAACAAAAAAATCGTTACATATATCTGTCACATTAAAAACTGTACATTTTTATAGCACGTTGTGTATACTTGTATATAATATATATATAAAAATTCACACTTAATTATTATTTTTTAAATTTTTATATTAATTTAATTTTTGGTTTTTATTTTATTTATTAATATATTTTAACAAAATAATTTTAAAAAAAGTTTTTATAAAAATTAAAAATATATATTTTATTAATAAAGCATATTTCGCTTGAATTTTAAAAATTAAGTGAAATATAGCTACTGAATCAAAAACATACGTTTGGGAAAATAATTTAATCTATATATGTACTATTCATAAAATGCTTTTTCTCCTTTTCCTTTTTTGTTTTTCTTAATCTTTTTCTCAAATATAACTTTTTTATTTACTCTAATACAATTTTTTCACTACAAGAATAAGTAATTAATTTAATTCTTTTAACTATTTGTCATAAATAATTTTCTGTAAAATATTATATATTCTCTATATTTATTACAATTATTTAAAAAAAAATAAAATCTGCTTTTGAAAGCCTATTTATATTCTACTTCTAATTTTGTATCAAATTCTATATAATTAAAGCTTTAAATATTTAAACAAAAGTACTACGAAAACGGATTTTGTAAAAATATAATTTAGAGCTATAAAATAGCTAGTTAATTGAAAATTATGAGTATATTCTAAATTATACGTTAGGAAACTTTACTGTTCAAATTTTACAATTATTTTTTGAGGCCATAATTACTATTTCTGTCAATTTAGTCACAATTCTATCAAATATTTATTTAAAATTGTTATATTTCTCCTACACCATTCTAATTTCGAATGATTATTAATAAAAGTATTATATCTACCCCAAAATATTTGCAATTCATAAAAAAAATTTTTTAGTATGATTTCCAATTTAGCTTTGTGAATAAAATTTTTAATTTATTATTATCTAGTGAATATACAAATTAAATATAAATTTAATTTTTTTTTTATTTTTTTTTCTTCAATGTCAACAATTTATAAGAATAAGAATATAAATTTTATTGTTTTGATTAAAATTCAAGAAAGTTTTAATAATTTAATTTTGAAACTTATGTCTACAATTATAGTTTTATTTTCAATGGAATTATTATTATTACAGATTTATTGGCACCAATAATTAGCACGCTTTTATGTTTTATTTTAAAACAAAAAATATTATGTTTTTTTTAAACAATAAAAAAAACCAACAATATTTATTATATTACACAATACATATAACAAAATATTAAAAAATAGTATAAACCAGACAAATTCAGAACAATAATTCACTCAACACTCAATGATATATTCTAATATAAAATTAAATAGCTGATTATTATATCAATATACATAATAAATTTAAATATTTATTCTGTGTCATATGCATATTGTGTATAATATATACAATGTATTAGGAGAACTTTATTTTTACATTTTAAAAACTATATAATAAATAATAATAGTATCAATTTGTCTTTATATATTTTCGTATTAAAATATATATTAAACTACTTATAATATGTATATATGATTGATATATATACATATATTAATTCGTATAACATTATTTATTAAATATAATAAAATAATGTATTACAATAAATGAGAAACATTTTAAATTTGTTATATTCGTATAAAATTAAATTATATTTACAGGTATCCCTCGTATAACACGGTTAATTGGTTCCGTGTTATATCGAAACCGTGGTATACGAGGTTTTTAAAAAGATAACAAATTATGTACATAATATTGTTAGGTACAATAAATAACGTAATTACATCAATTCAAGAAAATTTTTTTGTCCGTGTAATATCGAGACCGTGTTATATAAAAACCGTGTTGTATCGAAACCGTGTTAAACGAGACTGTAAAACTAATGTATTTTCCGTGTAATATCGAAAACATGCTCCGTGTTATATCGAGAGGTAAATTTTAGAAAATCTGAAATTTCATAAAAAAATTAATGAAAAACTTATTAACTTTATTTTTTTAATATAAATAAATAATAAATTCAATCATAAGTAATAACGAACAAAAATAAAAATATAAATTCATAATGTATAAATCGTAATG